ATTAATGTAACAAGTATCAACTTGAGAAAATGGGTAGCAATTTGCACCCAAAAAAATTCCCAGTGACTTGAATCAGAGGGTGAAACTCACCTGTTGATGACTAGAATTTATAATTGTTATGGTCTTCGGACGAAAAATAGCCACAATGATTGTTTCAAGAATAAAGACAAGACTAAAGAGTCCCCATGCTCTCTCTGGTGTTCCCGCTACATGGTGCAGAACAAGTCTGGACAGCTTAAGCCACTTCTCGAGCCCCCGGAGCCTCAATTCTTCGGATAGAGAAATCTGATTTGGCAGAGTATTGTCAACACTGTTTGAGTCAATGATTGTAATATCAGTGTTGTCGCGGTGATCTCTATCTGCATCCAAACTACTCCTCTGAAGTAATGCCAATATGGTTGGATCCAAGTTTTTCTCCTTCAACATCACAGCAAAGTTAGGGTCTAGCCCCTTGTCTTGCAACAAATTCGCCAGTTCAAGATCACCTTCTTTTGCTCTCTTTTTAAGCATTGATGTTATCCTAGGATCGTTTAACTGTTCCTGAAAAGCAAGAGCCAAATTCAAATCCAAAATCTGCTGGTTTGCAGAATTCGATGTGCTAGACTCATAGCCTTGGCTGTCAAGCCCACTGCTGGAACAAACGACCACGGCGTTATTCTGATCAGAAACTTTGTCCAGAAAATTAGACGTTCCTGCTTCAGGCTCTTGGACGACAGAACGACATGAGCTACTACGTAAACCTAAGCTTGGTCTTCCACTTTCTATGCTTTTTTCACTATTGATGCCCTCTTGAGAACTGCCCGTTCGAGTTAGATTTTCAGTCGTGCACGATTCTGTGGTACGATTAGCTTCGTTAGTACAACCAACATGGCCTGCATCGATACTACTACTTCTCTTAATACTTGAGCCACAACCATCTGAAGAACTTGATGAACTATTCTGCTCTTTTCTTCGGAAACCTTCTCTCAACCGGATCACTGTGCTCTGTAAGGCATCTCTTCTCGCAGCTGATGGATCTGTTATCGATAGATGACGGGAAACAGCAGCACCTGATAAAACCGATGCTACAAAAATGTAACTAATACAATGCCCTAGGTACCTGCAACAACAGAAAACATAATATGTTACATGCCTTTTAGGGAACAAACTTTAGTCTATTAATAAGTAATAAGGTTTTAGCTCAAATACAAACCAGTAGTGTATGCCAAAGCATATTAGGAAAAGACGAGATGTGCCAGCAACAAAAAGTGCCAGAACACGATTTTGGAGAAGCTTAAACCCATACAAACATGCCCCAATATTCCAGTCTACATGAAAATATTAAATATGAGGATGAGTTAGAAATAATCCAATCCTGTTTCTGCTCCAAATATATGCAACAAATTTTATCTTTGTACCAAGAACAATAACTGCAGCTGATGTAATGCCTCCGAGCCAACGTGATTCCCTAGCTGTTAGACCATATAGGACTGAGTAAGCAAGGAGAACTATGAGTGATCCTAGGTATAGGAGGCCGAGATGTGAAGCCCTACAAATATGCAAGAAAACAAAAAAGCAGATGTTTAAATTATGTCGCAGTTACGAACTGCAGCTGATAAAGGAAAAAAAGCATGAGAACACTTCAGTTCAGCAATGAACATATCATATGACTGAAAGTAACGAAATATCACTTGAGTTACTAGCCCAGAATCCTCTTCAGATTACAGTTGGTTCCCAATATTTAATAGCTTGTTAATTCAGGACCAGTTATTAAGCAAGGGGGCAGCTACGCCAGAAAATTATTAAATTTACAGGTAAAGAGCAATAAGAACTTACCTGCTGGTTTGCCGGGGATATAATTCATTGGGATCAGGTGGTTCTGGCAAACAAGCCACGGGGCCAATCTCTATACAATCTGAATAAGCAAATTTGTATGCCCTTCTTACATATTCGTCCACATCTAACCCGTTTCCTGTGGTGATGAAAAATTCGAGCAATTCAACAACTTAGATTGAGGATGGAAAGTCAAAAACTTCGGATGTTAATCGACATGGAAGAGTAGATTTTTGCTACTATGAAGAATTAAGGAGACTGACTAAGTTAAATAAGAACTGGAAAGCCATGTAAGAATTGGGAAAGCTTTACCATTAAAGACCATGCGGCAGATAAAGAGCATGTTTATTGCCAACGCGATTGCCGAGACACCAAAAAAGAAACCAGAAGGAGAATACTGCTGAGATGCATGCGCACCAGCCGTAACATAAACAGCACAAAGTTCATAGGCACAAAGTAAGGCAACACCAAGAAGGAGAAGTAACGCAACAGCTCCTGTTTAGCCAAGGGAGAAAGAAAGAAAGAAACACGTTCAATAGGTCATTCACGATAAGTACTGACTAAAACAGCCTATGATAAGCCCAGTAGTTCTCGTTCCTACATCGGCTACTTCGTGTACTATCATTACCACCAGTATTATCAACCATACAATGCCAAAAGAATCTTGTGAAAGAAAGTCAGAATGAGCTGATCGTAAACCTACTTGAGCTTTGCCACTGTGTCCTCCACCAAAGCATGATCGAGTAGAATGCCAGTAAAAGAGCTGTTCCAGCCATTATTATTGCAAGCCCAATGATATCTCGATCCAATATAACAATCAGCCAACAGCCCCAAGCAATCAAGATTGCAATAGGGGATACTACCACAACCCAAGCAACAAGAGATAGAAAACCACATACTGCATCTAGCTGAGGACCTTGCAATACTTTTGGCCATTTTCTAGCAAAGATCCAGCTGCAAAAACAGAAGGCATTCCAAAATCATTGACTCAACTATGGTCCTAGCTCAAATACTAGACAGATATAGTAACTCCACGGATTATCCATCAAGCGCCATAGATAACTTAACAACACCTAGAGTTTGCCCCAATATGTGGATTCATTTACCTATAGAGCCGCCATGGCCGCCAATTAACTGCCCAGAGTATCCAAAACGAACCCGAACCGAAAACCGCGAAAAGGGTACCCGAAATTACACAAGCAAGTAAGAGTCCTCGCTCATCCCCTTCCATGGCTTCTTCTCCCACCTACAACGGCATGCAACTCGGGAATCAAAATTCTATCACAGGGAAGCTAAAAGCTCAAGCTTGCACCGAAAAGCTCGGATGCGCAGCTCAAAATCAAGCCGAAATTTCGCAACCCTGTTTAAATGGGGATCCATACCTACTTGACCGAAATGAGCTTACTATGCAGTGGCATGACGGTGAAAATAGAAGCAGAAGGGATCGCTAAAACCCGAATTTTTCAGCTCCTCAAGCAAAATGAGGCAACTTTGGGTACAGATTTGGGGTTTTTTTTCCTTCACTAGGGTTTTAATTTCAGAGAATTAAGCTGTAAAGTAGGCAAAGGAGAAAGCAAGAAACTAAGTTAGGGCTCACTCCTGAGAGCTTGTGAAACAGAAATTCACTTCCTTTTAGGGTTTTCTTGCTATTTTGTAAGAAAATGTTGGAGGGTTTTTTTGAATAAATCTCAGAGAATTTTTCTCAGGTTTTGGGAATGGATAGAGAGAAGGTAAGATTAAAACCCTACCCTCGAATGTGTGTGTGTGAACCGTAAGTTAAAAAAAAAAAAGCTACAACCTTTCTTCTCTCTCTCTCTCCTCGAAGAACGACGTACAGTGTATTGTGTAGAGACTAGAGAGAGAAAAGTGCCTGTGGAGAAAAAAAAATAATTAATATAAAAATGAATTAAAAAAGCTATGGCTTTGTCCGAACAAAACACTAACGCCCGTGTAATCCACGAACCAATGAGATATCACGTGATTGAAAACGCCCTGAGTGTTTATTTTCGTCAGTGAAATGGAATGATTTGGAGCAGTTTAATTACGGATTTTGCAAATTGCAATATATTAGTAACATTTGTAAAATGGAATGATTTAATTTGAAGTATTTTAATTACGGAGTACTGTATATGTTCTTAAACTACCTATCCATGAATACACAACGACTGAGTACACAAAACCAACAGGTTTGTTTTCATTTTTGTAAACGAACACAATAGTGATTAGTGTGATTAAACTGATAATATAGTACCTAACCCATCTTTTTATACAATGACATAATCACTTAATAAATACGATTAAGTCTATTCAGGTTATACGCTCAAAGCTCATAACCAGGAAAAAGAAGTGGAATACCGATGTCTCTGTCACAAAATTTAAAACATCCAACTATATAATATAATACAAATGAGAATTTTAAATGCGTTTCTTTTCATAAGTTTATTAACTAAATCAAAGCCGATTAAGTCAAAGATAGTCTACTGAACCTAGAAGACCATATTGATTTTCAAAAGGCATACATTATTTGGAATAAGTAAAAGATAAATTTAAATTCACAATTTCTTATAAAAACAAATTATTCTTATTAAAATCAAACATATATAAGATATTATCAAGCTTAACATTATTTTGCAATTTATGATCAAAAATATAAGAAGGAAAGTCTTATTTTGATGGCTTGATGCTTTAAAAAGGTTACAAGAAAATCGATGTTGTGAAATTACAAATATATTTACATAGAATTTGGAGACTGTATATGGATACTCATATAAGTTCTTAATGCTCATTTATGAAATCTTTTGTTTTTTCTTTTACCAAAACTATAATGTGAAAACAGTGTAACAAGGAAAATATCATTCACCCATATGCAAAAGACCATCATCCAAGAGACAGTTCATGAATCAGTCATCACCAACTACACGTTCAACTGTAATCCATGATCACTTTTTAGACCATATCTCTCTCTCTCTCTCTCTCGCTCTCTCTCTCTCTCTCTCTCTCTCTCTCTCTCTCTCTCTCTCTCTCTCTCTCTCTCTCCAAATGTGAAACCAAATTCAACAACAAAAAGCAATGAGAAACAAAATAAAACGTCTTATAGTCAAAAAAGGGAATTAGGGAGTAGATTATGGAGATAAATTCACTCACCCAGGCAAAAGTTAGCTTTTTGAAAATTTTGTGAAAGTTATTAATAAGAGTGAGAAAGAGAGATTCATTCACTTGATTAAACAAATCACAATACAAAGGAGACATGTAAGATTACACTAAAGGCCAAAGTTTCTAAGTTTTCGAAGAAACTTAAGCCACACCTTCCTCTTCCCCATCTACTTATATGGAGAAGAAGAACCAAACAAACCCCAAAACTAAACATTACATAACTTTTACCATTCCTAAAACTACCGAAGGTGGATTGAGTAACTGTGTGTAGAAAGTAACACGGTGAATTCACAAGACAAGCCAGCACATTACTTGGTGCCGAGTTTAAGGACACTTGGCGTTTTTACCAGGACCTCCATAGTAGAAGAAATGACCCCAATCATCATTGCTTCCGGGTTGAACATCATAACAGTTGGACTGTTCAGTGAATGTTCCAAGTCCTTTTGGTGCCTTGAGGTTGTTTGACGCATCAACCACTTGAATGTTCCTGAAGTAACTTGCTTTGCTAAAGCCTTCTTCTGGGAATCTACCACTGCCCATTTGTGTTGAAGTGTGTTGGCCATCTGATTGCGAGTTCACCACTTCTCCTCCCCATTCAATCATCGATGCACTTTCCGTTAAGTAGGAGAAGAGAAAAGATGGCCAATATCCTAGAACATACCCGTTCCCAAATTGCATCCACCAGTGTCCCTCTTTCGGATCCTGTGACAAAGTTAACATACCATTTCCACATCAATTAAGACCAAAAGATTTCACCTTTTTCTTGTTTTATAGAACGGGCATTAAAAGCTTGTGTCTTTCTCATTTCTCTTTATGTCTTAACATACCTTCCAGATCAAAATACTGATATCGTATTGCGAGTTACGATATCCAGATACTGGAGAGATGCTTGCTCCCATTGCTATGTCGCTGTTGATTTGAATAAAACCCGAACACAGAAGATTGTAGCATCCAGTAGCTTGATACGCATCACTCTGCAAATAGTTTGCAAGCATAAGGAAAGTGAGAAACCTAAGCGAGAAAAAGAAAGCTCATGACCAGAGGATTTCGATAAGATTTAAGGATCTTACAGTCCAGTAAGTGAAGAGTCTTGTGTTGTTGTCACCATACAGATCCGGGCTCACCTGTGTAGCAAGAACAACAAAAAATTAATATACTAAGCATGAAAAGAGTTCCACAAATCATATTTTACATTTCCTAGATGTTAATAGATGGGATAGCATTGGTGTACCTGCCAACCAGCTTCGATGCTGTTAAGATCTTGTCCGAATGAGCCACCAAGAAGCCATATCTGCGACAAGCTGAACTCGTTCTGCTGTTGTATCTTTGGCTCCCACACATTTATAGTTGCTTTAGCTCCATAGTACTTATCTCCTTCCACATAAGCTATGGCATGCTACAGTTTAAGAAACAAAACAAAGAAAACATCTCAGATCAAGAAACAAACAAAAAGGAAACTTTTACACAGCCACACTTGACTCACCTGGTGACCACTTTGGTTGATGAGGTCAGGTTCAGCAGATTTAGGTAAAGGTACAGTTCTATGCTTCTTCTTGCCATATCTTTTAACTGAGCTCGCTCTCAAGACATCATCTTCCTTTGTCCTCCTCATTGGAATGGTTCCTTCAGGGCACTTACCGTATCGATGCCACAACTGAGGGATATGCATTTCTTTCTCTTTTGATGTAGTAGACACTTTGTTATCATCAAAGAGTCCTTCGGGATGGTAATTAGGCTTCATCTGCAGAAACACCAGTAGACTAAACATCAGCAACTTAGAACATAGAACACAAAGCCAACAAAACTCTGAATCAGTTTTTGTTATATGGACCTGAATCTTGTGATCTTTGAGGAAAGGATGGTCAAAAGCTGGTTGCTTTGAGATAGGAACACAGTCAATCATATCACCATCTGGGCTCTGTTTTTTTTTTCACATACAAGTAAGAAACTTTCGTCAGAACACAAAAAAAATCTTCATGTCCCAAAATAAAAAAAAAAAAACCAATTTCGAGTAGCATTTTTAATTGTAATGTAGCGAGAAAACGAGAAGATCTTTAATTATGACCATAACTTTTCTCAAGACAATGTCTACTTATTGTTCAATTAGAGCAAAACAAAAGAGAAAAAGTAAAAGAAATCATCATGTATAGTAGGAGAGAGAGAAATCAAGAATCATCAGATTATGATAATGTTTCCAAATTTCCCTCGCTTTGCCTATCAAAATCAGTCCAAAACAGAAAACCCCAAAAAATAAATACCAAAGAAGGAAGGAAGATAGATTTGCCCTTACCTGAATGCTCTTGACAGCAGGTTTGTTCAGCCTGTTCAAGTGTTTCTTCACTTCGAACTTCTGCTTCGATACGCCTGACCTTGCGGCGCATGATAGCGAGAAGAAACCCCACAGACATAAACACACCAAGAAACCTCTAGCTAACTTCTCCGTGCTAAGATGCACCGCTCTCATTGTCGCCACAAACACTTAAAAAACCTTCTCTTTCGTCAAATGATACAACACTGAGCTTCAGAAGAAGAAAAGAAACCCTAACGAGAGAAAGAAGAAGAGCGCAAACAGGAGAATGATAATGTTGCTCGTTGGGACAAGTCTTTTGGGAGGTGGGTCTGGTTTCCTTCTCGCATAAATCCAACCACACAGATCAAAATCTAAACTTTCCTACCTCTCTCTCTCTCTTCACCTCTACACCTACAAAGAGCTTCCACTTTCTCTCTCTTATCACTTCACTTTCCCCTCTCCATATCCTATATTTAATTATTTTTACCTTCTCTCTATAATTTATTTCACAATAAAATTTTATTTTATTTTTCCTTTCCAACTCGCTTTTTTGCTCTTTATGGCGAATATTGCTCCTTTTCCTAATCTTTTTATTTTTAAATATTCAGAATACTTGGCACAAGAATATTGTAAAAACAAATTAATTATAGACAATAGATACTGAAAATGACAGGAACCTATTTTCGCTATAATGTAGGTTGCGAATTATTGATGGGAGGGAAATCAACCAGAACAAAAAAAAATTGAATTTATTTTAGTAAAATGGTAAGAAAATGAAGGAATCTGGTGGAAAGTCCAAGAAAATAATTTAAAATTTTAAAGAAGACAATGTGAAATGGTCAGAAGGATCAGAGCCAGCTTGGCGTTTCATCCACGGTTTTTAAGAATACTATATGATACTAATAATTCAAAATTCAATGTCATCACTTATCACTAAGACAAAGATTCTTATGCTCTAATCCTGTTCGCATGTTGCTCTGCTTTATTTGATCATCTTTTTTTTATTAAATCTGTCCACAATTTTCGTCAACGGTGAAAGCGATTAACCGTAAAACAATGTGAAAAGTAAGAAAAAGTACATATCTAAAAGAAAATCACACGGTTTTTGATATAATGAAAACAAAAACTCTACTGCCAACGGAGTATTTTGTTGTATTATAATTCGTTAAAAATGTTTTTACATGGACGACTGGTCAAAGGATGAAAGGAACGCCCATAATATATTTATTTTTTAACTTGCATGCCCATGATTAAGATAAATGCGAATTTGATATAAAATTTTCGTAAGAACATACATTAAATATCATAACATTTATGAATGTTGATTGTTTCTCAACTTTGTGTACGGACATGGACATTTACAAGATGTTGATAAATGAAAGAAATGTCTTTTCTTTTGTTACGTGAATTTACATTTAGATAGACTTTGAACTTAGAAGATACATAGTCATGAATACTCATGATACAAAAGTCTAAGAATATCTAGAAGACCAGAAGAGTGTTGTGAGAAAAAAAAAAAAAAGGTATTATGGTAAATTTTTCAAAGTCTATGAGAACCTTCCGTTAAAAACAAAAATCCAATTAACGCCGTTAACTACAGTCAGCTGTGCGAGTCATGATTTATTGATTCGGAAAAGTCACTGCCATTAACTGGAAAAGCAAAGCTAGTTGAGATCACACGTGCGAGAAGTTGCATCGCTCACCGTACGCGTATGTCACGCCCGTGAGCCCATGACTAACGCACAGATCACGGAGAGGGCTAAAATCGGAAATTGGCTAAATATGTGGCCAAACGGTCAAAAAATAATAATTGATTACGAGTATTATGGAATCCGATGCCGAAGAAAGATAACTGCAAATCGAGAAGTTAATTTTTCCTATTAAAACTTTATACCTCATTATGATCAATCTTTTTTGTTGTTTTTAATCTCTTTTTAGTTTTTCTACTAATAATCGAGCCTCTAGAGTGTACTAATGACCCATAAATCTAGACGAACACTTCAATAAGAGTGATTGGTTTGTTGTCGGTGATTGGTTTCATAGCGGTTCACCATATGCAATGTTGAGATTTGAGACAATGCATTGAATTATAAAAAAGATGAACAAAATAAAAAGTATAATGGATTATATGGACAAAGTTCCATTAGGTAGCCACCCAAAACTTGTCTTTTTCATTTATTTTTTTAAATGCCTATTCAGTTTTTAAATTGTACATTTTTATGTTGTAGCTTCTGCCCACTTGAGCGTAAGTCCAAAAGCAGAAGTGAACAATGTCATCGATTATCGCTGCAAGGTCACGAATTCACAAACACGTATGTTTTTATCTGTATATTTTATGCCATGATGTATCACATGGTGTATTATCATGCCAGGGGATTATAATGGTTTCACATGTATATTGTACACAATTCGTTAAAAAAAATGTATATTGTACACAATTGTTTGTTATAGTAGCCGAAGTTATCAATTTTCTACTTGAATATAAATATCCACATTAATCCGAATAATTCAACTCGTTTTTGCTATTAGCGGGATCTCAAACCCGTTTTCATTTCATTGTGAATCAGATTGACATGGACATTCTCCTGATTTGAAACATTTATACTGTTAATCATATAATTTTAATGGCAATTAGTCTACTCTAAGTGTGTTGGTTTCTCCAATCTTCTAGTTTAATAAATGAAAAATCTTTTCCAATTTTAGTCAATCCATTAGTTTTTTTTAATAGATTTTTGCAGAATATAATTAAAGGAGTAGCATATGATAAATTATAAAAGATTTGATTAGTACATGCACAAGAAAGGAGGTGGAACCACAAGTTTTTCTACCTTATATAGTTTTTTTTATAGCACTCCATTATTGTGTTCATAATGCAAACTTTATCAACTTTGTGAATTCTATATTCTCTTTTTTTTGGTAAATTATTTACAAAACAAAAATGGAAACAAATTAATGATGAAAGAAAATGTTACAAGGTGAACTCTTAAGCTTGTTGGGCCAGTACTAAACCCTTTACCAATCCACTATTGATCTGAGTTTATATATAAGAAAAAAAATGTAACCTAGGGCCAGGACTAGTGCTTTTTATACCAAGCACAAATCCATAGAATTGGAAACTCAAATCTATATATAATACTTAGATACAGTAGAGATGTATGTGTGACATGATTGAACATGATCATGTGAATGGATGTAAGCGTTTGTCTTGAGGGAAAGACTGTTGAGACATGTGACTTTTCTTCTTTCTCTGTATTTTGTTGTTTCTTCTTCTTTTTCCTGGTGAATCACATACACATATGCAAATACAAACTTTTGAATACAGTTTTGACTTGTTACTATCCTTGGCGCAAAATGTCAAGCATGTGTTCATCTTCTTTTTTTTTTAATTGTTTCACACTAAAGACATGCACTATGTTGTGATTATACTTTTTATATTTTACACTTCACACAAATATATTTGAAAATTTTATCAAAACGAAATCAGATTATTATCGACCAAAAAATTTGAAATATAGAAGAAAAAAGGAGGCAAATGTGGGGCATTATCAATTTAATTTAAATATGAATTATCAATTTAATTTAAATATGAATTATCAATTTAATTTAAAAATGAATTATCAATTTAATTTAAATATGAATTATCATTTACATGGAGTATGGAGTATGGACAACATCTAATTTTTTTTTTTTTTTTTGCCATCTAATTTAAATATGAATTATCAATCTTTTGCATACATATTGGGCCTAGGTCTGAAATACAATCAACTGAGACCGGCCCATATAGAAGATCACATTGCCTTGGTACTACATTTACCAAAGATTCAGAAACTACTCACTGTGTGTTTACTGTTTACTTGGAAGTTGGGAAAATTAATTCTCTGTGTTTAGTAAACTGGGTTTGGAACTGTGGCCCGATTGTGGAATTATGTACTTTGTTCTTGAACTGAATCTACTCTAAGAATCGAACTTTTGAAAAGTCTGTAACATGTATTTTCGCCAAAAAATAGGTATTGAGACAGATTTCATGATTCTTTGGAGATTGTTTTCGCCAAAAATAGGTATTGCTTTCCTGTGTTATCGACAAATCCAGGCATGGGGATTTGAGAGAAGCAGACAGATAATTTTGGTGCAATAAAGAAAAGTTTCTTCAGAGATATCCAAAAAAAAAAAAACACCAGAGTCATCCTTGAAGTGTGGTTCCTGTCTCTCAAAACATCCGGTCCGAAAATCCTCGGTTATTGGATTCATGATACCAATCTCGGTGTCTAATATGATCAGCTTATTAGGAAATGAAAATCAACACTAGATGATGTTAAAAAGCAAGCATTTTTATACACATAGAAATCAACGTGGCAAGAACACAACCATTGCTCGAAGAACAACATCAAACTGAAACATAAGGATTGAAATTGAAAAGTTTATTGATTTTGTATATCTGTTTATGTATTATGAATATCCAAGCGTGTAATAATTTACAGTGTCTCAGAAACAACAAAATGTTGCAACTTTGAATGAAACAAACAGGGCATCTCTGCACCTAATCAACCAGCTCATAAAACCCCCCACAAAACATAAAGGCTAATAGAGAAGATAAAAAATAAAGTCAGCAAACTCAATCTGAATGGGAGTAATGGTCATAATAGTCATTAAACGAAGAAGAAGAAGATCGATCATCATCTGAATCAGAATAATAATAACGATGGTTATAGAGATTATGATCAAAGGCAAGTCGATCATCATCATCAGCGTCCGATGAAGAAGAATAAGAAGGAGCAGCAGATTGAGATTCATAGGTATAGGAGTAGAAGGAATCAGAAGGAGGGAGACACATAAAAGTCCATAAACAGAGAACGAAACGACTCAACTGATACATCGGGTAGCAAACCGCCATGTCCATAAGCTGTTGTGTATTGATCCTCTGCGACGACGGAATCCTCCAGATCAGCTGCCACGTGTCGGTAGAGACGTCGGCAACAGCCACAACCGCCGCACTGTTGAACACCATAACCAATCTCCCTCTCTCTCGCGAGGCTGCGTTGAATTAGGCGATGTCTTGTTGGTAGTCGTCGATTTGACTTTTCGTATCGGAACGTTTCGTGCGTTGGTAAAGACTTTAACGTTATCTTTTTGCAAGTTGACTGTTTTTTTCTTCTTTACTTTTTTGCACAGATCAGAAAGATAATGTCTTTTTATTCAATTTGGACCCAAAGTTATGATCTTTTCCGGAAATCATTCGAAAGTTGGAACCTTTGAGCAAAAAAAAATAAACACAACAGCCCAAAGTCAAAAACTTGGCTTATTTTGTGATTTACGGTTTTTGTGTGTTTTTCCTATAAGCCCAACCCTCGTCACTGAAGCAGGAAGTGGTCAAATGAAGAAGGCATAAAGAAGATAAGGCCACTGTGAATTTGTTTTCAGAGCCGCAACAATGGCTTTGCCTCATTCCACGATTGTTTCACATAGCACTACTCTTCCTATGTGTAGATCTTCAAAGCTTCGTCTTCTCAGCTCAACCTTCGCTTCTTTGCCGTTTTATTTCAATAAAAACGTCAGGAGATTAGATTCTTCTTATCTTCCACCGTCAGCTTCAGCAGCAGCTTCATCGTACTTTCCAATCGACGTTGAGTATCTCCGGCGAGAGTTCTCCGGCCATGGAGCCACTTTCGAGGATATCGGTATATATATATTAATTCTCTAATGTTGGTCTTCTTCGTGTGATCGAATAGAAAAAGCTTATACAACTTTGATGTGATTAGGTGAGACATGTATTGCTAAATTGAAACTGGACAATGGAAGTTCGGCCAATGTGATGCTGACACGTGGTATGGTAACATCGTACAAAGTCAAGGTCTGGCACGGAGGCAAAGTGGAGCTTCTCCACACATGGGTGGAACAAGAAGGAGAAGAAGAAGAAGTTGTGATACGAGGAGGTGTTTCATCTGCATTTAGCTCATCATCAGTTTCTGATGACGACATTAATGAATGGAGCCTCCATGGGATCACTGGAGATTCAAAGGATTGCGTTCAGGTGGAACTGAGAAGAAATGACAAGAAGATCAGCGAAGAGACTGAGATGAAACAGATTGTAACTCTGAGAGGAGACACACTGAGCATTGAGCTTTGTGTGACAAACAAAGGAATCACACCAATCAGGCTTGAAGGTTGTTCACTTGTGAGTTATTTGACAGTGAGCACACCTGAAGCTACATATGCAGTTGGTTTGGAAGGTTCAGATTTTGTGGAAACGGCGCCGTTTCTTCCTCGTTTCGGGGTGGTTCAAGGCGAGGAGGCAGAGGATAAAGCAGGGTTGAGTGGGGAAGAAGAGAACAATTACAAACAGTTGAATGAAGAGATGAGTAGAATATACACTTGTGCTCCAAGGAGCTTCACTGTTATTGACAGGGTAATAATATATACTATATCCAATAAAGCAAAGACAATACATAAACTTGTAAATTTAAATTTGTGGATTTTGATGAAAATGGTGATTGATTTCCTCAGGGAAGAAGGAACTCAGTCGTAGTGGGAAGAGAAGGATTTGAAGAAGTGTATCTGTACAGCCCTGGTTCTAAACTTGAAAGTTACACAAAATCTGCTTATGTTTGTATTGGACCATCTTCATTGCTAAACCCAATCTCTTTGGATCCTGGTTGTGTTTGGAGAGGTGTGTTACATCTTCACAATCCTAATTCTTGAGGATTGATTTTTTATAACTTGTTTTATTATAAAGGCCTGTAAGATTAAGAACCAATTTCACAGGACTTGGCATCTTCATGTCAGTACAAGTATATATTGGCATCAACATCGTATTTAGCCCAAACAATGCAAGTGAGAAACGAAGGAAATAAACCCAAACGTTCTTTTGAAACAAGTGAGAACATTCTTGCCTTTGAATAGTTTTCATCAAACATGTCCACCAACAATTATCTGCATGAATAGAAGTTAAACCGAAAATCCGGTCCGTTCCGACCGGAACTCATTTTTAATTTGCTTATCCGGTTCTTCTTCTTTTCTCTTTCTTTTCTTTTCTTCTTCTTCTATTTTTTTTTTTTTTTTTTGAAAGAGAGCGCAGGAAAGGTGAGAGGAACACTATTTCCGGTGTGTGGAGTGTTGTGATTACTATAGCTTTATCAATGGAGTTTGGATCTTCGATTGGGTCGTGCTTCAAGGCACCAAACCATCCTCTTTTGATCTCGGCAAGCCCTACCAACACCAATAACACGCTGACAAGGACAAGTAAAAGGTTCTCATTAAGAGTCTCTGCTGTTTCGTATAAGAAATTCGCCGACTCTGCTCTGCAAGAAACCAGCAAGAGGCTCCTTCTTGAGCCTTCTCCTCTCCAGGTATTTTCAGTTCCTTTTTTTTTTCTTTTGTGTTGGTTATTTCAGAAACCAGGTTAGTTTAGCGAGTCTTGTCTTTCTCATTGTTTCTTGTCTGCTTCCTGGGAAAAAAACTGTCAATTATGGTAAATTGAGTTGAATCACAGTGTTCCTTGGCTGTTTTGTGTATTTAGATCAAAGATTCTTGTAAATTGAATTGAGTGGACATTTAGACACAGTTTTTTTTTTTTTTTGTGTTTGAACAATAATCCTGTTTCCAGTAACTTGACTGTTAAAGGCTACTTATATAAACCTTCAGATTTTAGTTATCATCATCATTCATCATCATCCAACTGTTTCAGGAAAAGTATAGTAGCATGACAGGATTAGATGGGAAAACCCAACTTGAAATGCTTGCTTTCAAGTCTTCAAGGATTAGACTCTTGCGAAGCATGGCCATCGAGAGCGAGACAATGCAGGTATTCATTTTTTCAAGATCTAGAGCCACTATTATCTGTCTAAAAATTGATCTCTGTGGATATGACCTTCCAAGAAAATGTTGCCTTTTCTTACCCATTCAATAATTTATGATTGTTTTTAATGTCACCTTTTTGGGTATAATGTCTAGGTTTTTGACTGTGCTGGTTTCATGGAGCCACAATTTGATACGCCCATATTTTGTGCTAATTTCTTCACATCTGCCAACATAAACATAGTGGTGTTGTAAGTTATCTTCTAGTTATTGCTGGATGTATCAGGTCTGTGCTGTCCAAAGATGGAGACTAGATGTCCAAAACTTACTGTTTGCTCTTCTCTAGGGATCTAAATCCTTTGCATCAGTTGACGGATTATCAAGACAAGTATTACAAAAACATTATGTCCATATATCAAAAATATGCTGAGGTGAGCTCAAGAACTGAGTAGAAATTTACTATATGAAATGATAAGGATATAAGACGACTGATCTGAGGTTTCTTGCAGATTTTCCCATGGGGAGGAAAATTGACTGGTGAGTCCATAAAGTTTTTCTCGCCTTTGGTGATGTGGACCAGGTTTTCGTCTAGCCAAGAAAAGCATGAGGCTTTGTTCTCTGCGTTCCTCGAGTATTATCAGGTATACTCGGGTGGTTTTGTTGTGCTGCCAAAGGTAAGGTCTTTACAGGAAATATGACTGAATCTCTATCATTTTCTTTTACCCTCCAGGCATGGCTTGAGATGACAGTCCAAGCTACGGAGGAGATGGACCCATCTCAGGTGAGAGACAATTGTGAAGCACAGCACAAATACCTGACATGGCGAGCACAAAAGGTGATTTAAGTTCCTTTTATCGTTTTGAATGTTTGAAACAGACACTGTACCTGTATTCTTACAGTGGATCTTGTTTGTTGTTGGCAGGATCCTGGACATGGTCTTCTTAGAAAACTAGTTGGTGAAGCAAAGGCAAAGGTATAAAGATTGATCCCATTAGTTTTTGTCCCTATTAATTTGTGAAGATGATGCTAATAAATGATTCGAACAAAATCAGGAGGTTCTGAGAGATTTCCTGTTCAATGGGGTGAATGAGTTGGGTACAAAAACATTCATTGATTACTTTCCAGAGTACCAAACAGAAGATGGAACTGTGAGTGACAAACGAAGCATTGTTGGGAAGTCTTTTGAAACTCGGCCATGGGATTCAAAGGGACAATTTATTGGCTAACTTCTCATCTCGCTTAATCCATGTTTTATGTGGACAAGATCGATTTTAGTTGAACATGAAGTGAACTTTGGAAGTGACTCTCAAGTTTATTTATGTTTGATGCTTACTCAGATGAATACATAGGCATTAGTCGCATTAGGGCATCTCCAACTCTACCCTATTTCCTCTTCCAAATGCCATTTTGGAGGAAATTCTTCTCCAACCCTACCCCATATTCACCTGCAAAATGGAGGAATGCCATTTTTTCCTCCAAATATGGAGTAACCCCATTTTCAACTCCATTTTGCAGGTGAACTTTTTTATTTACAAAATAATCATTTACTTTTCATTAATTTTTAAAACTATATTTTTAAATTATAATTTAATCTTTTATATTATATATATTTAATTTAAAATTAGAGATAGATAGATTTAAAATTTGAGAATAGAAAATAAAAAATATAAGAAAATTAAATGAAACTAGAAATAATATAAAATTAAAAATACATAAAAAGTACTAAACTTACAAATAACATAAAATAAATTTATTACAACAACTGATTAATAAAAATCTGGTAAACTGCTTCCAGATCCACCAAGATCATTAAAATATTGTCCAAATGAACCAGATTGAGGCGGATTTTGCTGAGTTGATAACAGCTGATGTTCCATCATCGATTTTTCTTTTCATTTTAGTTTTTTTTATGTCACTTGGTGATATTTAAATTAAAATGGTGATATTTAAATTAAAATGTACTTTGTTTTCTTATTTTAAATGGTGTGTAATGTTATTTTTATATTATAGTGGTTGAATTTAAAATAATATTATAATTTATGAAAGTTTTAAGAGGAAAAAAATAAATGGATTCATTTGTAATTTTTATAAAAAGAGTGCATTATTAGTAATTAACAATAAAAAAAAGAATATACTCAGAATATTCTTTTTGGAGTTGAAAATTGAGGAATACCTTGGAGAGAAATCTAACTTCATTTTGCAGTTCCCAGATAAAAATGGGGAATACATTGGAGATGCTCTTAATCTTGATGGTATTGGAAACTGGTATTGGGTTTGATAGCGTTGACTGCTAAAACCTTTCCACTTGGGATCTTCTCATCCGGTGGCAAAACAAAGTTGTCGATGTATTTGACACTAACTTTTCTTTGACGATCTAAACAATTTTCTTGTGGCACCACAGCTGCAAGACAACACAACTTCAACTTGTTAGGTATGAAATTGGCCACAAAGAAAAAAAATAAATAAATAAAAAATAACCAAACCATACTTCTCACAAGGGCTGCCGTCTCTGAATCGATAGGCTTTGCGTAACATTTACTCCTTTGATACTTTTGACATACCCTGGACAATCATCTTTGGTTTTATCAGTATCTCTTTTTGATCAATTCACTACAATAATCATTCAACAAAAGCGATATTAATCTCCTACAATAATCCATCAACAAAAGCGATCTTAATTTCCTAGAATAATCATCAACAAAAGAAGTCAAACTGGTTGATACTTCAGACTTTGCTATCGGCCGACTTGAAGAGTACTTTGGCATACCTAAAGAGTCCTTCGAAACAATAGAGTCATTACCTATCACATACATCAAAGGACTTTTTAGGTTGGGCGATAGCAAAATTGAACTAGTATTAAAAAGAGATAATATCTGTTTTTTTTTTCAAATAACTTAATTGTTTGGTTTCTAGAATTAATAAATTAAGTTGATACACAACATGGTTTAATCGGTCATACCCAATGTAAAACAAACAAAAGAAACAGATTATCGCGAGGTAATTAGTGAACTTTCATTAAATAAAATGACACAACTGAATATATTTAAAATTGATTAAACTTTAAAAAGTTACATTATAAAGGTGAAAATGCGTATGCAAACAAAAAAAAAAGTAAAAGAGAGAACCCATGAAGTCACTAGAAACTAAAAACTTACCACTTAAAAAACCAATGCTAAACCACTTCAAATTATGTTTTAGTACCATCAACTTTTAAATCAGTTATGTCCTGTTCATCGTCATTTTTCTGGTCGCTTTTTTTGTTTTCTATTAGAGTCTGGTCTGTTAGATTTTATTTTCGTGTACGTTTTCCTAGTTAGTGTTTATACTTTGAAGATATTGTAGTAGATGTATGGTAGTAACTTGTAAGATTTGGTTTTCCTGCATATTGATTCCTCAAAACCTAAAGCTATGTATATATATATATATATATGTGTGTGTTTACATATATATTGTTAATTAAGAAAAGAAAGAAATGTGGGGGTGTTGCATTGACTGTTAAAGCTTCACTGGTCGTCAAGATCAATGTCTGGGTAAAACCCTAACTGCTCCGGCAAGTTACCTCCTCGTTCAATGAGATTAATTCCGGTGATCCTGGAAGTGAACTTTGATATTTTCAAACAAGAGTGACAAGATGTTCATCATGAGCTGTGAGGTTTTAATAATGATTTCAACCTCTAGTCTTAGCTCTTAACCTGAACTACTTAGATCAATTTAACCTTGATACTTAGTTTGTTTGTTGTTTTTAAGCAAGACACAAGAAATTTGGTAACCCAATTCTCTTTCGGTACGTCTGGGGAGAGACGGTACTCTCAACGATCCACTAGAACAATCAAGTGTTTACAAAGAATTTAGTTTCTTCTCTCTCACGTATAACCTCACGTCTATCTTTCGACTTGTTTCAGATACCACAAGTAGAAAAAACCCAAAACTATTAACCTTGCTCAAAGACGTGACGTGAAGAAGACAACTCAGTTTGAAGAAGATCGATGACCTAGAATCTCTTCACCGTGACTCTATCTCTCTGCTCCTTCTGTTAATTATCTCTGCTTCCCCTTTTTCACGTTTAAAACCCTTGTCTCGTTTATATACCAGCAGACACCAATTGGGTTTTAAACATGTAAGCCCATGACTTTGTTTTTCTTCTTGTAAACACACCAGCTTGGGTTTAAGCCCAATAAGCAAAACTTTGACCAGATAATGACGAGTTGACCAGCCTTATCTTCTTTAGTTGTATCGACAAACTCCACAAATCTCCACCTTGTCGATGCAACCCAAAAAAAAAACACGACCATTACCTGAGACGAAATCCTTTGTCGCCTCTCCGTCATATCGCCGTTCTAGTGGACCTTTTCCGGCGCTGCTTCTTCTCCGACTTCACCGCCGTCCTTGGAGCTCGCCATTGTCACGATTCATGGCTTTAAACGAGCCGATGAATCTTGCCGCCGTCTCTGCAAATGAAGCACCACAACTCCAGCTTCACCGCCGTTTGTCGCTAATGGTGTTCATCACTGTTGCCTGTAATCTCCACCACAAGATAATTTGTCTAGATGCGAGAATCGTCGACTATTCTCGATCTATTTGCTTCTTCGATGGTGAATCACTGTGGCTTCCAGCCTTCCACTGACTTCACCGTCAGACAATTCTGCTGCAGTCTTAACCGACGCCGCTAAGCTCAATCTCAGGTAAACCTGAAACTCTTTTAGTCATCTCTTTACCGTGACAACCATTTCAGTTTCTCTTCATCTGCGATTTAAGCCATAAACTTTGAAATCTGAATGTGTTTCTTATGCATCTCCAGCTGCCCAGACAACACCTTTGATTTCAATTACAAACTTCTCCAAAGTCAGGTAAGAACCACCGAAAAACTTTTATGAGATTTTATTTCAAATTTGACCATTTGAAAGATTTCCTTTTCTCCATCGATTTCCCTTGAGATGACAAATTGTTTTTCATAAAACCATGTCTCCTCTTCTCCTCTTTGAATTGGTGAACCGATAAAATCCAACTCTTGATTTCCAGATTTTACCACCTGAAACATGTGTCGATTTCTTCCTTTGTCCTGATACTGAATTTTTCTAATCAATATCCTATGTCTTGCGAGATGCCCAAACCGACAAGAGCAATCTCAAGACGTCTTGGAAACAATTACGGAATGACATTGAGAAGCACCATGAACTTCTCAAACGTGTTTCCAGGTAAGCACTTCATGAGCATGTCTGCTGGATTAGCTGTAGTGTGAACCTTTAGGATCTTGACTGAACCTTCATCGACTATATTTCTGATAAAATGATATTTGGTATCAACATGCTTTGTTCTGTCATGGTGCACACTGTTCTTTGCTAAACATATAGCACTTTGTGAATCACAATTGAGTTTAAAACTGTCCCCTTTGAAACCCAATTCACCACACAATCCCTTAAGCCACAGACCTTCCTTAGTAGCCTCAGATAGAGACATATATTCTGCTTCCGTAGTAGATAAAGCAACTACTTGTTGTAGACATGATCTCCAACTGACCGTATTGCCACCAACTTTGAAAACATAGCCTGAAACCGACCTTCTCCTGTCTAAGTCTGTAGCATAATTTGAATCACAAAACCCTTCAATCTCAAATTTCTCTGATTTTGTGAAAGTAAGACACACTCCTGTAGCTCCTTTTAAATACCTCAAAATCCACTTAACCGCAGCCCAATGAGATCTTCCTGGATTCGCCATGAATCTGCTAACTAATCCAATGGCAAAGGCAAGATCAGGTCGTGAGCCGATCATAGCATACATCAGACTCCCCACTGCACTTGCATAGGGAACTGAATCCATCAATCTTCTCTCTGCTTTTACCTCCTACTCTGTTAGACTCTTAAGCTTAAACTGCGAATTACTTGGAGTTACAACAGCCTTGCAATCCTCCATGTTAAAAGTTCTTAAAACCTGCTTAAGATATCTTTCCTGTGATAACTTGAGAGTACCTTTCTTTCTGTCCCTGATGATATCCATACCAAGAATTCTAGTCGTTGGTCCTAGATCCTTCATCTCGAACTTTTTACTTAAGCTTGCTTTCAAAACTTTGATCTTTTCCATATCCTTTGCTGCCACAAGCATGTCATCGACATATAGTAAGAGATAAACCATATCATCAATATATGATCCCTTAGTGTAAACACATGGATCCCTAGCGCTCCTTTGAAACTCCATTGACTTCATGAATTCATCAAACTTCTGATTCCATTGTCTAGGTGACTGTTTCAAACCATATAGAGATTTCTTAAGAAGACAGACCTTGTCTTCGTTTCCCTTCTCTGTAAAACCCTCTGGCTGACTCATGTAAATGACTTCATCAAGTGTACCATGTAAGAAAGCAGTCTTCACGTCTAGTTGCTCCAATTCCAGATCAAAATTAACCACAACTGACAACATGATTCTAATAGAAACATGCTTAACCACCGGAGCAAATATTTCATTGTAATCCACTCCTTCAACCTGTGTAAATCCCTTAGCTACAAGTCTTGCTTTGTATCTAGGTTCTTCAACACCTGGAATGCCCTCCTTGTACTTGAAGATCCATTTACACCCAACTATTTTTTGCTTTCTCGGCTTAGAGACAATCTCAAAAGTTTCATTTTTGTCCAGAGATTGTTTTTCCTCTTCCATAGCCTGCTTCCACTTCTTCCAGTCTTTACTTCGTCTAGCTTCTACGACTGACCTTGGTTCATTTAACTCTATGCTTTCAGCGCTAGTTAAAGCATAGGCTAAATAATCAGCATCCTCAAACCTCGATGGTGGTTTGATAGTTCTTCTCACTCTGTCTCTTGCCAGCAAATAATCATCAAGAGACTCTTCATCATCCTGATTTTCTTGTTCTTCCTCAGATTCCTGCTCCTCTTCTGATTCTGAATTTTCCGAAGTAGCTCCACCTTGACTAGCAGAATCTGTGCTTTCTGAAACTTCTCCACCTTGACCAGTGGACTCTTGAACCGAACCATTTGGAGTAGGTCCTTGGATCAATCCAGCTTTGAATGTAACTTTCTTCTTCTTTGTAGATTTTGTTACTTCATTTTGATCTCGGTCCTTATACAGCTTTTCCTCATCAAAGACTACATTCCTGCTGTTAGTACATTTTCTATCCTCCGGAATCCAAACCCTGTAACCTTTAGTACCCTGTGGATATCCTAAGAAAATCCCTTTAACAGCTCTTGGACTCATCTTGTCTTGTATTACATGAACATATGCAACACAACCAAACCGTCTGAGATGACTATAATCAACCTTTGATCCTGACCAAACCTCTTCAGGAATCTTGAACTTCAGAGATGCATTTGGTGATCTGTTTATGAGATAAACTGCAGTGGAAGCTGCCTCAGCCCAAAATTTCTTTTCCATTCCTGTTTCTGCTAACATACAGCTGATCTTCTCAGCTATTGTCCGATTCATCCTCTCAGATACTCCATTTTGCTGTGGAGTATAAGTGCAAGTTCGATGTCTTTTAATCCTTGAATCCTGACATAGCTTATCCATCTGATTGTTGCAGAACTCTAATCCATTATCAGTTCGTAGACACTTTATCTTCTTACTCTTCTGATTTTCCACCAGTGCTTTCCACTCTGAAAAGTTTTCAAACACTTCGTCGTTACTCCTTAGGAATCTGATCCAAACCTTCCTTGAGTAATCATCAATGAAAGTAAGAAAGTATCTACACCCTGTCATGCTTGGCTCGTTTGACACTGAGCCCCAAAGATCACTGTGAATGTATTCCAAAATACCCGTAGTAGTGTGTTTGCCAACTGGAAAACTCTGCTTGTGAGACTTACCAAACACACACTTTTCACAGAAATCTAAAGTGTGGACTTCCTTTGAGTTTAGATAACCTCCTTTGACCAGAAGATTCATGTTCTTAAGACTCATATGTCCTAACCTTGAATGCCATCTGTTTGTTAGATTTACCACTGTCCTGACCACAGATGCTTCTCCTCTCACAACTGTTCCCTGCAAATAGTACAGCCCGTTCTCATATTTTCCTGAAATCACTTTCTGGCCCTTCTTGTAGAAAGTAACTATGAAGTCTTTCCCTTCATATTTGCACCTGTTCTTCTCTAGCTGGCCATAAGAGATGAGATTTTTGCTCATGGTTGGTATGTATCTCACATCAGTTAATATCACGGTAGCTCCATCTGAGTTTATGATCTTGATTTTTCCAATGCCTTTGACTTCGCTGTGAGTGTTGTTACCCATCATCACCTTTCCGCCATCAAGCTCCTTGAAGTCATACAAGACATCTCTATCTGGTGTAATGTGGAAAGTACACCCAGAATCCATGACCTATTCATCCATAGTGTCTTGGACGCTTGCTGTTAAGACCATAGGTTCCTCTCTTTCATGTACTACATTTGCAGAATCTTGTTTCCCGTTCTTCCTTTCAGGGCACTCTTTCTTGTAGTGTTCTTCTTTCCCGCATATCCAACATTCTCTAGCTTTTGGTTGATTCTTTGGTCTAGACTTCGACCTTGAATCTCTGCTCTTGGATCTACCTTTACTCTGACCTGTAGTCCTCTTTTCAGACCTCCCTCTACTTGCAACCAAAGCATCCGCACTTGACTTTGATTTTCCTAGAAGCCCACTCTCTTTTAGCTCAATTTCCTCGGCATATGCTGAAGCGGTAACTTCATTCATAGTAAGTGTCTCTTTCCCGTTGCCGTATTTGAGAGTATGAACTAGTGAATCAAACTGCTTAGGTAAGCTAGACAACACCTGAATTGCATGCTCTTCATCACTTATAGTTATACTCAAGCTCTCCAAATCGTCCACCAGCCTAAGAAACACGTCAAGATTCTCCTCTATGCTTTTGTGCTCTTCCATCTTAAAACTGGCAAATCTTTGCTTCAGATAAATGCGATTTGGTAAGGTCTTTGTCTGATAATCCTTCTCTAGAGCTTTCCACACACCTAGAGCTGTTGTTTGCTTCATAACATTCCGCAAGACCAAATTACTAAGGCTAGAACATATCAAGTTCTTTGCCTTTTTGTCTATCTCCTTCTTCTTTGGATCAATCGGAGATGGAGTAGCCTTAGCATCTATCTCATCTTCTTTTCCTTTTCCTTTGTCAGATGCTGCGCTAGTTTCTTCCTCACTAATTGCAGAATCTAACCCCAGATTTTCAAGTGCCATAAGCATCTTGAATTTCCACATACCAAAGTCTCCTTTACCATCAAACTTCTCCACCTCAATTTTACGAAAAGATGGTTCCATGATTCAGACTTTGTAGATGTAAACACTTGATCGAATAACCTGGACTTTCCCGAAACAACACCAATCGCAGATCAGAAACTGAAACCGTATCCTCCGCTTAAACCTGGTGCTCTGATACCACTTGTGAGGTTTTAATAATGATTTCAACCTCTAGTCTTAGCTCTTAACCTGAACTACTTAGATCAATTTAACCTTGATACTTAGTTTGTTTGTTGTTTTCAAGCAAGACACAAGAAATTTGGTAACCCAGTTCCCTTTCGGTACGTCTGGGGAGAGACGGTACTCTCAACGATCCACTAGAACAATAAAGTGTTTACAAAGAATTTAGTTTCTTCTCTCTCACGTATAACCTCACGTCTATCTTTCGACTTGTTTCAGATACCACAAGTAGAAAAAACCCAGAACTATTAACTTTGCTCAAAGACGTGACGTGAAGAAGACAACTCAGTTTGAAGAAGATCGATGACCTAGAATCTCTTCACCGTGACTCTATCTCTCTGCTCCTTCTGTTAATTATCTCTGCTTCCCCTTTTTCACGTTTAAAACCCTTGTCTCGTTTATATACCAGCAGACACCAATTGGGTTTTAAACATGTAAGCCCATGACTTTGTTTTTCTTCTTGTAAACACACCAGCTTGGGTTTAAGCCCAATAAACAAAACTTTGACCAGATAATGACGAGTTGACCAGCCTTATCTTCTTTAGTTGTATCGACAAACTCCACATGAGCTAATCTAGAAACTCTTGTTAGACTATTGGGTATAGATAACTTGTTCTTCAAGAAAGGAAATGACTTTCGAATTTGTTTGAAGCAAATATTTATACATGAAATCGACCTAGAGATTAGTTATGGAATAGCGTTTTAGAGATTTCATTGTTTTTTATCTGGTTAGGTCTGCTTTTGAGTTTTGATCCTTGTCCAAATTTTTTCAGCCAAGCACTTGCTTAGTTATTAACACTTGCATGCATCTATGAGATGTTCAACTTAAAATGCGATGAAGATGATAAAAGAAATGTTCAATGACATACACACAAGTAGTATACGTGATTACATTGGTTATAAATTCTCGATTCAGTAATTGGCAATCGCGTTCAACAGATTCAGAAACCGGTTCTTGTCCATCAAAAGGTATATAAATATATCTAAGCGTTCTTCCTCGCAGAATAGGCACAGTAAGCTGCCACTCCAGCAAACGCAGCAGCCGTCACTACAATTCAACAACACAACACAACTCAATTTATGAAATTGTTTAATTTGGAGATAAACAAACAATTAATGGTGGCGAGAAATATAATTTTGAAAACAAACCTGAAGCAATAACAGCCGAGTTGTTACTATCCTTCAGTTTCGTAACCACACAATTGGATTCAAATCTCTTTCGATGTCGTTCTATATCTGAAGCCTGCATATTAGATGAGAAACGATTCATTAAAACATGAAAGTATGTAACTATGAATGTTATAATCAAAGTAAAATGAATTTACCGAAAGTTTTCCAACAATCATATGAGCTTTGTAGAAAATATCCTTAACATCATCATCATCACCCCAAGCTTCTTCAAACCTATTGATCAAATCTTCAGTTACGAGCTCAACTCCTCGTTCTTTAGCTTTCATCGCGGGCTGCCAAGATCTCAAGAACCCTATAAACCCTTTAAGCGAAAGCTTATGAGGAATGTCAAGCGTTATTGGCTTTCCTTCACATCCCATTCCTTTAACACCTTCAAAAGGAAACGGCAGCGTTTTGTAGCCGTCAAAGGCAAGATTCATGATGGGAGTTCTAAACGGAAACGTGGAGTCCACAAGACGTTTCATGATGGCATCGACTTCAGGGGAGATGACTAGATCGTTGTAGACCCAAACTGCGATCAAACCTCCTTCTTTGCGAAGAACACGTTTGGTTATGTTGTAGAATGGTGCGAGATCGAAGTAGTGAACGGCTTGTGCAGCGACGATGAGATCGACGGAGTTGTCTCCTCCGACAAGAGCAACCATTTGGTCTTCTGACATCGTTGTCGGAGTGTGATGGTAACTGATTCTTTCGTGTTTCACTGCCCGTTTTAGTTGTGCTTCGTTGATGTCTGTGGCCACAACTTTCTCGAAATACTCTGCGAGCTGTAAGTAATCAAACAATTGTTATGTTTACGATGGTTTTTTTTAGTTATAATATCAACAAGTTCATTGTATAGTGAAAGCATTCTTCCATAACAAGAAAACATTCTTCCATAACAAGAAAACATGAAAAAATAAAAATTTGATGAATGTTATGAAAACAAATTAGATTTAACGAACTCACTTTAACGAAATGTGAAAGCAAAAGTAATGGTATATTATTATTCATCACAAACATTTGATATTATTAATTTCATCGACTAAATCGCAAATTATGGCTCCAATTAAACCATGATCGTAAGGAAGAAACAGTTCATCTTCTTCTCTCGTAATTACTCTTTCTTAAGACTGACATGTCGAATCCCTAAATCTCTTACTCTACCCTAAAACCATGTCATTTTAAGGGATCTGGTGAAGGAAAGAAGGTAAAAATGGAAACTTTGGGAAGAAGATGAAGAAACATGCTTACACCAATGGCGGCTTGACCGTTGCCAGTACCGACATCCCAAGCCAATTTGTGCTGACCGGTTCGAGCTGCGAGCTTCGTGAACCAATCGATCGGATATCTTGGTCTTGCGTTCTGGTAAGCATCGGCTAGTTTATCAGACAAAGCAGCCATTAATATTCTGTTTTTTCTTTCTCTCTGCTTTCTTATTCTTTTCTTGCTTATTATCTCTGCTCTGTCTTTGTATTAACTTTTGAGAATTGACACTCTCATCTTTATATTGTGCTTTTGCCTAAAAGAGAAGAATGGAATTGGAACCAAGTCAAAATTGACAAAGTCAGATCTGGCGACGAGTTTACTTCTTAGCATATGAGTTGGTCTTTCTTCAATATTCTAAATATCTCAGTTGTATTTTATTTTTGTTTTCCCTACTCTCTAGTTGTACATAGTTGACTTTTCTTGTATTTCACAACTACTAATTGGTACAGAATTACTTCCTTTTAATAAAATAATAAAATTGTCTTACATGGCTGTGTATTTTTTTTTTTAATTTTTAATCAGGTCATTCTAAACAGAAAACTACAACTAATTGCCAGAAAAATTCATAAAAATCCGAAGTTAAAAAAAAAAATTCATACAAATCAGAATTGTCGTAAAGAAAACTTTTTTTTTTTAGTAAACCAAAAAGTGTTACTAATAGCCAAAAAAAAAAAAAAACAGTTGAAGATTACAATGCAGTCATCTTAATAAGTGAGGCCTTAGCACTTATAGGCCCATTAATTTATGGGTCTTGAAACTTGATTAGGAGATAACAATATGAGAACTTGCGCCTATCGCTGATGAACAATTTCAACAATCAATCGACCTCTATACATCGATCGATTCTTTGCGAATCTTCAACCCTCGATTGATCTCTCTCTCTTCTTCTCGAACTCTCAGAGTTCTCTGCTCTCTGGATCTTTGCGAGGGCTGAATTGATCAGTGGGGTTACCGCAAAACCCTAGATTTCATCAATCCCCAAGACCCGTAATTTGTTCGAGTAGAATCGATGGGTAAGAACGATTTTCTAACCCCGAAGGCGATGGCGAATCGGATGAAAGCCAAAGGTCTCCAGAAGCTTCGATGGTATTGTCAGATGTGTCAGAAGCAATGCCGGGACGAGAACGGATTCAAGTGCCATTGTATGAGCGAGTCTCACCAGAGGCAGATGCAGGTCTTTGGGATGAACCCGACTCGTGTTGTCGAGGGTTACTCTGAGGAATTCGAGAAGACGTTCCTCGATCTGATGCGTCGGAGCCACCGATTCTCCCGTATCGCCGCCACCGTCGTCTACAACGAGTACATCAACGACAGACACCATGTCCACATGAATTCCACCGAGTGGGCGACGTTGACGGAGTTCATCAAGTACTTGGGCAAAACCGGTAAGTGCAAGGTAGAAGAGACTCCCAAAGGATGGTTCATTACTTATATCGATAGGGATTCGGAGACTTTGTTTAAAGAGAGGTTGAAGAACAAGAGAGTGAAGAGTGAGTTAGCTGAGGAGGAGAAACAAGAGAGGGAGATTCAGAGACAGATCGAGAGAGCTGCTGAGAAATTGAATGCTGGTGGTGGGCATAGCTCAGGTGAAGGTGAAGGTAGTGGTAAAGAAATGGTTCAGGATGATGATGAGAAGAAGAAAGATGAAGACTTGAGGTTGAAGAGTGGGGTGAAGGTTGAATTCGCTCTTGCGGGAGTGGCTAAACAGGTTACTACGGGGAAAGAGAGGGGCGAGAGCTCGAAACACGTTGTGTTTGAGGACGAAGATTACGAGAAGCATGAGAGAGGTGAGAAGAGGAAAAAAGCTGGAGACTCGGGGAGGAGCGAGAAGGAGAGAAGATCAGCTTTGGATGAGTTGATGAAGGAGGAAGAGACGAAGAAGGAGAGGATCAATCGTAAAGATCACTGGTTGTTCGAAGGGATAATTGTGAAAGTCATGAGTAAGGCTTTGGCAGAGAAAGGGTATTATAAGCAAAAAGGTGTTGTGAGGAAAGTGATTGATACGTATGTAGGGGAGATCGAGATGCTTGATTCCAAGCATGTATTGAGAGTTGATCAGGAGGAGCTTGAGACGGTGCTTCCACAGATCGGAGGGTTGGTGAAGATAGTGAATGGTGCATACCGTGGTTCAAATGCCAGGTTGTTGGGTGTAGATACAGACAAGTTCTGTGCTAAAGTGCAGATCGAGAAAGGTGTCTATGATGGAAGAGTCGTAAAGTCCATTGAATACGAGGATATATGCAAACTTGCTTAGTTATATGATCTTTAGACGATATCAGGTTTTTAGGGTGCCTTGTATTTCTACATGAGCTTTTTTTTTTTTTCTGCAAGTGAGTCTCAGACATTCACTTTCATGATGAAACAAAGTGCTCAAAAGATTCTGGATCTTTGTTTCCTTTCATTCTCTTTTGCCAAGTCAAATCATTTTTGATGCCTGATTGATAGCCTCATGACCAAGGTATTGTGGATGCAGATGGTTCTATGTTAAGACATGTTCTTGACTCGCATTTGGTTTGTCATTGGTTTTACTCAACGTGGCTTGTATACAGTATACAGAATACAGATGCAGATGGTTTTATGTTACAACTTATATATTGTTTATTTTATTGTACTATCTTTTATGTTTTGATTATGCTTTAGCAAACAAAGCTTTAATTCGGTAACCAGATGAAATGTATGAAAAGGGTTGAAGGTAAACACATATATCCAATATATCATTTTCATATTGTAACTATAGGTATATAAATGAATGAAATTTATCGTTTACACGAAGCTGCTATATTTGCTTTATGCTTTACTCTCGGCCTCTTCTCAAGATTTGCCGAATTCTCAAGAGAATTTGATTACCACAAATATACATTAGGAAATTATCCACAAGTCTTAAAAGGCACTGAAAAAGCAAAGGTTTTTGTTTTTCCCGGTTGGTCCACTATACAAAGTTTTGGTTGGTTATTGACTTGTTGTCAATTTTAAATAACAAACCCAAATAAATTAACTGAAAAGTGGGGAATATTAACAACACTAGCATCTACGACTTGATCTTCTTCTTCCTCTATTTCCTTATTCTCAGGAAAATAAGGTTTTTATAAAAAAAAATTCGTTGTCTCTCTTACTCTTTCCCTCTCAAATCAGAAAAGTATCTGCCTTTTCATATTCCTTTCCTCTTCAATCTTGCTTTTTCATCGCTTATTGTCCTCGAGACGAATCTGTAACTTTTCAGTTAACATTTAGCATTGCTTTGTCTCTGTCCCTTTCTTAATAAATTCAGTGGATATCTATGCGTCTTCGATTCTTTTAAAGAGAATTTGTACATACGGTTGTGTGGTTATTCTTCTAAGCCTTTTTTTCTGGGTTTATCTGCGTTTTTTTCTTCTTCTTCTTCTTCGAATCGATAAATCAAAACTAGTTCTGCTTTTTTGTCGCTCAAAGTTTTTAGCTTTTTTCCCATCTGGGCACACACCAAATGGGCTAATTCGAATAAAGAGGTGTAAGAAGTTTCTCCATTGATGATCAATTGTTTCAAAGACTCGATACATGTCTTGATGAGTGTTTTGCTTTGTAAGATCCATTGCCTTCTAATCTATTTTTGTAAGCGCTTCTCTCACATATACTCGGCAAGTTTGCTCAAGTTGGAGAATACCCCCCCTCACGTGTCTTTGAAAAACTGTTGTTTCAGCTACTAATGACGATGATGATCATGATGCACATCAAGAGGTTGTTGATCATGCGGATGGTCATAGGAATGATGAGGTTAGAGAAGAAGAAGATGGTCAAATTGTTGGAGATACTCTCACTCTGAAAAGTAGTCTTAGAAAGGCGGATTCTAACAAGGAGGAGAAGAAGGTACAGTGGGTGGATGTCATGGGGATTAAGGAGCTTGCTGAAATTCGAGAATTTGAACCAAGGTTGGTCTTCTGCTTTCTGTATCAAAACTGAGATTCTCAAATGTAGGGACAATTAGTTTGGTCATAAGGTTTCTTAATTATGGTATCAGATTGGGAGTTTTGTTTTGGTTTCTTTACATGAAGAATGAGTTTTTGTTTAACTACTTTAAGCACCCATGTCTATTTGGTATATGGAGAATTTGATGGATTTTGGAATGATGTGATTATCTCAATTTCTTGCAGTGAAGAAGATGATATTGACTGTGGTCGGGGAAAAACCTGTTTCTGCGTTATCCTTTGATCCGTCTATCTTAGTTTTAGTGGAAGATCAAGGCAAAGGAGAAAGTTGGTGACTCCAGCATTTGAATCCATATACGTGGAGGTATATATAAAATCTGCATCTGTGTTCTTCTGCTCGCTTGAAGTCGTATGATGATTCCTAACTCAACATGGAAGCATTCTTTTTTTTTTTTTCTTTCCTTAGAGATGTAGTATAGATCTGTATCTTGATTCGTCTCTTCAACCATTTAATGAACGTTCTTTCTCGTTCAGATTATGGAGAAGTTATAGATCTAACATCAATATCTCTACTTGTGCGATTTAACTCATATGACTTTTACATCACTATGTTGATCAATGTCTACATGACAAGTTTAATCCGTCTGGGGGAGAAACTTCAGCTAGTTGTTGTATTTGACGCATCCCTTTTACATTTATAATTAGATTCTGTTTACTTTTGTCGCCTTCGATATCTAACTTTTCTACTTAGGCACGAATCAAATGTTTTAAATTTCGTTTCATTAGGATGCAAATTGATAGGTCTAGTGCAGAATATATCTCGAGGCTTAGGCTTTGGAGCATCTTTTTTTAGCTTTTTTTTGCCAGTTCACTAGAAGCTCAGTGAATTCCACAAAGAATGTGAATAGAGATCTGAACAAAACAATTGTTTATTTAGAGACCTAATGAGACTCCATTGTTTGTCCTTGAATTAAAAGGTCTGTAATTTCTGTAAGAAATCAGTTGACTATGGCACTTTTCTCCGAACATACCACTTCTGTAATGTTGCCTTTGTCTTCTTGCAGAAATGGTCATTATTTTTTAGAGTCAAAAGTCGAGTGTTATGTAGTAAACGAATCCAAGTGAGGGGAGATGCGAATTTTTTATTGCAAGGAGGGGAAGAAAAAGGATCAAGCTCATTGTACCATTACAAGATGACACGTGGCGAAACACCAAGACTGAATCATAGCCACTAAATCATGCAAACTTGTAATCCGAAAATACACGACGTCTCTTCCTCGGTTCCTCCATATGGCAAAATCCAACTAATCCCCTGTCTCTCTGGCTTGTGTCTGAGCTCGAACCGAAAGAAGAAAGGAATCAACCATGTCTTTAGCTCCGACCAGTTATCCATTTCTGTATTCTTCGCCTTCACTGCCAAGAACCCAGCAAAACCCTAGCTTGATCACTCAACCCAGTATCATTTCAGCGAAAAGTCTCTTCCTTTCGAGCAATTCGTCTGCTTTGTGCAATACCCATGTAGGAAAACGCTGGAACTTCGTTTTGAAGGCGTCAGAGACAGAGTCGTCTGCTAAAACTGAAGCAGGAGGAGGAGGAGGAGGAAAAGAGAAAGATGGAGAAGGAAATGAAGAAGAAGAGAAGTATGAAACATACGAAGTGGAGGTGGAGCAGCCTTATGGTTTGAAATTCCGGAAAGGAAGAGATGGTGGGACTTACATTGATGCTATCTTACCCGGTGGATCAGCAGACAAAACCGGGAAATTCTCTGTCGGCGACAGAGTTATTGCCACAAGGTTTGTTCTTTCTCCTTGTTTCAATAGATTATTAGTTTGAGAGATTGTGAAAAAAAAATCGGCTGAAATCTGAATAATTGCTCTGCATGTATTTGCTGTATGTAGTAATTATATGGTCAAAATCTCATAAATTATGTCAAGGGTGTTAAATACAAGACGAGATTAAACTGAGCTATAATTTGATTGGAATATCGATAATTTGCCTTTTATCTATCGTGTATATGTGTTGTATGTAACTATAGGACCTTGGATTGAGTGTGCAGTGCAGTGTTTGGGACAGAGATTTGGCCTGCAGCAGAGTACGGTAGGACAATGTACACAATCCGTCAGAGAATTGGACCGTTGCTTATGCAAATGGAGAAGCGATATGGTATGTTGAATTTCCCAAATTCCAGCTCTGTTTTGTGTTATCTATTCTCTCTGCAGAACTTTTGTTGTGTCTTGTTATCTTGTAGGTAAGGTGGATGATTCTGGTGAGCTAACCGAGAAAGAGATAATAAGAGCCGAGAGAAATGCCGGATTCATTAGCAGTAGATTGAGAGAGATTCAGGTGAGTTCCTCTTGAAATCTTTCTTAAAAAAGTATTATTTATGTTACACCAAAAAGTAATGTATTGTGTCTTGTGAACTGTGGGTTAGATGCAAAACTATTTGAGGAAGAAAGAACAGAAAGCTCAACGGGAGAAAGATCTTCGTGAAGGGCTGCAGTTTTCCAAGTAAAGCCTCAAGTGTTGTTGTGAGTTAGCCAAAGAAAAGTTGAGTATTGACTTGTCTCTTTAATTGATGTAGGAATGGTAAATATGAGGAAGCATTGGAGAGGTTTGAGTCTGTGTTAGGTTCTAAACCAACACCAGATGAAGCATCAGTTGCAAGTTACAATGTTGCTTGTTGCTACTCAAAGCTTAATCAGGTAAAATCTATCAGATATTGCGTTTTGACTTGCAGAGCTGATAGAGTTCTTTTGATAGGTTCAAGCTGGTCTCTCCGCTCTAGAAGAGGCATTGAAGTCAGGATATGAAGATTTCAAGGTAATTTCAATGAATCCTTATGTTCAACTGTGAGAGAGAGATATGGTGGTGCTTGTTGAAGCTAAGCAATTGTTTTGTTTTTAGAGAATTCGAAGCGATCCAGATCTAGAAAACATCAGGAAGTCGGAGGATTTCGATCCACTTATGAAGCAATTCGATGAATCTTTCATCAACGAGAGTGCCATTAACGCCATCAAATCCTTGTTTGGCTTTAACAAGAAATAGTTCACCACCTAAAAAGTTTTATGTCTTTCGATGTAATCTGTTCATAGCTTCGCTTCTCTTCTTGGCTATATTACTTGTGAGGAACTGTATCCAATCTTGAAAGGTGTTCTTTTTACCTGTGAATTTCTCTTACCATTTTCAGTCAATTTATATCTATATTTCTTTTGTACGAAATGGACATAAATTGTCAAACATTATCCTTCTTTCAATTAAAAACGGTCTCTTTATACGACCGGACACGTTGCCTAGTGGTTGACGTTACTTATGTTGCCTAGTGGTAGAACATTAAGGACTCATGATTTATTCATATGTTGGATACAAAATTTCATCAGATCACACATTCTCTTGTTCAAAATCATTACACTTGCGACTCATCTATAGCAAACTAAGAGGAATCAATTTCCAGCGAGTTACTTCCGTCGGAATATTCCGTTATCTCCTCAATATCCATATCCTGAAACAAAGGAAGTAAACAACAGAGTCAGTGATAAATTTGAGGGATATTCATGGGAGGGAGAATCAAAGTATCTGATCATGTCTGAACAAACCTGAGTTGTCCATTGGGTTGCCTGCGGGAACTGGCTCAGGCTCCTTGATCTCAACAACAACACAGTCTGACATCAAGAATGTCTTTGCAACAGAAGCTGCGTGTTCCAAGCAACATCTCACAACCTAAATCGGACATAAAGCACACTCAGGTTCATGGTTGGATCTTTGACGACCAAATTAGCTTTATAGCGAAGAACAGTTTTCTTACCTTTGTTGGATCGATGATTCCTGCAGCCATTAAATCCTCGTATTTGCCGGTTGCAGCATTGTAACCGTATTTCACGTTATCGTTAGAAAGCACCTGCAAGTTAATACAAGACAGCTAGTCAAGCATATGACTTAAACCAAGAGCACAAAGTGTGTGGAGGTTTTCTGTTAAACTACTACCTTCTCGCTAACTACGCTTCCATTGACTCCGGCATTCTTGGCAATCAGTTTCAGAGGGTAACTCAGTGCTCTTTTCACGATATCCGCTCCAACCTGAAGTAAGGCAATCAGAGAAGTTAGAAGACCTGAAGGTTTACGAGTTAGAATCTGAAGACCTGAAGGCTTTGATCAATTTACCTTCTCTTCATCATTTTCAAGGCTGGCTTTAATAGCATCAACCTTAGAAGCAAGTCGAAGCAGAGTGCAACCACCACCAACGACAATACCTTCCTCCACAGCGGCCTGGAAAAATTGAAATCCTGATCAGATGTAGTTCACGAGTAGAAATATAGCACGTTTTTAGAAGCCTCAGAGAAACAAATAACCTTTGTAGCATTAAGCGCATCTTCAACTCTCAGCTTCTTCTCTTTAAGTTCTGTCTCAGTTTGTGCTCCAACCTTTTAACCAATACAAAAGAAAAGAAGCTTTACTTAATATCTCTGGAACACATTTTGGATCAGACAAAGGGTATCAATGGGGTTCGTAAATAACCTGAATCACAGCAACTCCACCAGAGAGCTTTGCAATTCTCTCATTCAGTTTTTCCTTTTCATAATCTTGCTCCGCTTGCTGCACAAACCAGATACCATATTACTGTAAGTACGCTATTGACAAAAAGTAATAAAGATACCCTATTTGCTCTACTCTTCTACTATTCATCAATACCTCAATAAGATTCTTGATCTGTGTAACACGCTTTTGCACTGCGTCTTGTGTGCTCCCATCACCGACAATTGTCGAAGTCTCCTTCGTTAAGACAACCTTTGCGGCATTTCCAAGAACCTCTTTTCCAGCTTTGTCAAGTGAAAGACCGACTTCCTCTCGAATCACAGTTGCTGCAAGCGCAAATGAAAAAATAGTACACGATTAACATAAAATAAAAAGATTATGCCTAAACACTGGGCTCAGCAATGCACACAGAACTTACCTCCAGTAAGAATGGCAATATCGTCAAGATATTGGCTCTTGCGCTCTCCAAATCCTGGAGCTCTGAGAGCTGCAATCTTCAATGTGCCTCTAAGCTTGTTAACCACAAGAGTCGCTAAAGCCTCCTGCTCAATGTCTTCTGCAATTATTAATATTGGGTATCCTCCTCTAATCGCATCCTCCAGAACACCAACAAGATCCCTTGCATTGGTAATTTTCTTGTCAACAAGAAGCAACTGCAGTCACAGTGTCACACAATACATTAGTACATTACATCTGGTGCAACACTATGATGGAGTGAGCTCAGAGTCAGGGAACAGTTACCTTGCAGTTGTCGAACTCAACTGACATTTTCTCGCTGTCTGTCACAAAGTAAGGGGAGATATAACCGCGATCAAATTGCATGCCTTCCACTACGTAGAGTGCGTTCTCGGCACTTTTACCCTCCTCAAGTGTCACCACACCCTTCCTGCCAACTCTGCTCATTGCTTCAGCAATCATACTTCCAATTTCTTCATTGTTACCCGCACTAACAGCTGCCACATCTGCAAGTTCACTGTCTTCAACCTACATGGACATGACTTACTCTCAGAACCTTTTGTTATAGTGTCGTCATATATTCAAAGAAAGAGAGATATAGATTGTAACCTCCTTAGACATTTTCTTGAGCTCGGCAACCAAAGCCTTTGCTGTCTTCTCAATGCCTCTAGTGATCAATACAGGGTTCGCACCAGCAGCCACGACCTGAATGATACAAAACTTCAGATTAGTATTCTGTTCTTAAATGTTTCACCAGAGAAAACTGAAAGAAGAACGTTACACAGACCTTAACACCCTCAGCAATAAAACCTTGAGCAAGAACCACAGATGTTGTGGTACCATCTCCGGCCAGGTCATTAGTCTTGGCAGCCGCTTGCCTCACAAGCTTAGCACCAATGTTCTCAACCGGGTCTTCCAACTCAACCTACAGGAGAAAGTTGAAATTTTTAAGAGTCGTTCGAATGGAAAATAAACATCATTATGAAAGGAACAACAATTCCTTACCTCCCTCGCAACAGTCACACCATCATTGACAATTCTTGGTGATCCATACTTGCTTTCAAGAACAACATTCCGCCCTTTCGGTCCAAGTGTAACACCAACTAGGTCTGCAAGCTTGTTGACACCAGCCTAGTACACAACGGAATCAGAAACCAGAATCACATGCAAGACCTTTATGGCGCAAGCGGCAAAGTTTGGGGATGGATTTTCGCTACATAAAAGGAAACAGATACTCACTTGAAGTTTCCTTATGGTAGTTCCGTCTTTGTTGAAATGCAATTCCTTGGCTGCACAAACAATTGCAGGACTGGATCTTCTGGGTCTTGCGCACATATTCTGCCTCCTTCCGAATGAGCTTGAAGACAACTTGTTCATTAGTTTCTTATCCGATTTGTGACCATTTGGAGCAACCATAGAACCAATGGAAGACGTTGCAGTGAAAGTTGACGCCATTTTTTCACTTGAAAACACACACAAAGTTCAACAATTAGATAACATCTCCAAGATATAAAGAAAAAAGGCGATTCTTTTTGTCGATATATATCAAAACAACCCAATGAAACGACAACCCGGAAAGCTAAAGTAATGAAAATCCGCAACAAAATCAGAGAAAAGAGAAGAAAAGGCGACTCATTTCGAAGCAGAGAGCTCAGTAAGAACACCATTGACAATCAAAGGGAAAAACTCATCCATATATCTAACAAATACACAAAAAATGTTATAGAAATGAATTAAATACTCTCTGGAAAGAGTTTTTGAAAAGCTTACAACAAATTCTCAGCTAACAGAACAACACCAAACACACATAAACTATGCCACCGAAAATGCAGAGGCTCAAGCCATGAAAAGGGTGAAGATTAAGAAACTAACAGAGGTTAAAGCGAAGAAGCGGAGAAGGAAGTAGGAGGTTCTTCTTCTTCTTCACCGGAAGGGTTTTTCCGGATAAGAAAATGAAATAAGCAGCAGGTAGGTTTATCTCCTTAGTTTCCCCTTGGAGGGTGCTTTTAACGTTCCCTTAGCTCTTGAAAGCTTTGAGTTAATCTTGGCCGTTGGATTCAACACTCCGGATGGGTAATCGGATCTTAGATCTGTCTCCTGGTCCGAATAAATTGGGCCTTAATATTGGGCCCTTTTCAGATATTAGAGTTAGTGACTGAGCAAAATTATTATCATTTCTTGAAATGTTTTGTTTCTGCCATTCTTTCTTTCGTCTATATTTTTTTACGAAGTGCACGAAGATTTTTTTGTTGTATTTTTAATAATTTGTGGGATATTTCGTAAAGGAACTTTATAAAATTATGCTTTGTAGGATCTGGATATCATATAATTTGGGAGCTTGATTGATAGCCGAAATATAATTTGAAGATCCATATATCATAAAGTTATTCGGATATCCGCTCTGTTCTAGAGCTAACTAAGGTGGTCATTTTCATTTTTTTTTTGTTTTTTGTTTTTAGATAATATTTCTGTTGAGAATCTCTCTTCATTGTCTTTATAGATTTGAATTAGGATCTAAATTATATTATTTTTTTTCATGCATCTTCTTCCTTGAATTTGTCTCTAATTTCCAAACTAAGCTAATTGAAATGTGTTGTTCTTCAAACAAAGTTTTTCTAAGGAACTGATTGGACTTACCGGGTAGTCGCAAATCTCAGGTAAAATGGAATAAAGATGTTCTTGGATATATAATCAGACCACTAGCGTTCGTATTAATAATATCAATTAGATTGCATCAAATTTTGTTGCAACTTGCAAGAAAAAGATATGGATTCGGGACAAATACGTGTCGGATCCGACGTGGCGTGAGTATCATTTTTCAGCCCAAAAAGGACAAACCTTTTGCCACCTAAAACTCTAAGGAAGTGGGTTACTGTTGCCAAAAAAAAAAATTAAGCTTTCACTTGTCGCAATCGTTTGGTAGCACGAAGTCTTTCAGATTGATTTATTGATTGTTGGCGGGTTCGACGAAAGCGTCGAGCTTTCTCAGAAATCTCAGAAATGGCAGCTCTTTTAGGCAGATTATGCCGGAAATTGGTTTTTCCGGGCACAACTCACGGAGCTAAAAGGTTATCGACGTCGGCGTGTGAATCAGACACCGTGAAATCGTTGAATCTGTACTCTGCTATTAATCAAGCTCTTCACATCGCCTTGGAAACCGATCCTCGGTGAGTTTTTCATGTTCATCTTTTAGTTAGAAGAGTTTTTTTAATTAGCGAAGCCTGTTTCCTTCACTTATTGTCTAAAGCATTTGAGTTGTTGTTCTTTGAGAAATCACGCTGATGCTCAGAACTCTACATTAAATATATTCTAAGGAAGAAGAAGAGTCAAAATTATAGGCGATTTTGGAAATTTAATGAGGGGAAATATAGTTAATTAGTTACACGTTTAGGTCCTCAATGTATGAGTCTGACTTTAGTCGGTGGAACTCTTTTGTGGAAGCTCTTATGTCTTTGGGGAAGATGTTGGCTTTGGTGGAGTCTTTCGCTGCACAACAGGCTTAGCTGAACGGTTTGGGAAAAACCGTGTCTTCAATACTCCTCTTTGTGAGCAAGTATGTGTTTCTGAATCCTTGATTTGTTTCCTATGAACATCTGCTTTTGTTTCTTCTTATTGTTCTTGATTTGAATTTATTCAGGGCATTGTTGGATTTGGTATTGGTCTAGCAGCAATGGTGAGTTCTTTTGTTTGTGCTATTCTTCTGTTTATGTTGTAAATTGATTAAAACACCTATGTGTGTTTGATTTTCACAGGGAAATCGAGCAATTGTGGAAATTCAGTTTGCAGATTATATTTATCCTGCTTTTGATCAGGTAAGTGTTTCATCTTTACAACAAGAATCTGATTCTCATTGCGGGGTTTTTGATCGAGTCTTCGATTCATAGATTGTTAATGAAGCCGCAAAGTTTAGATACCGAAGTGGTAACCAATTCAACTGTGGAGGTATGTCTAATCTATACATTTCTTCTTGACCACAGTATCTCTTTTACTCATTCGGGTTTATATGGATCTTGATAGGACTTACGATAAGAGCACCGTATGGAGCAGTTGGTCATGGTGGCCACTACCATTCACAATCCCCTGAAGCTTTCTTCTGCCATGTCCCTGGTATTAAGGTTGTTATCCCTCGTAGTCCACGAGAAGCAAAGGGACTGTTATTGTCATGTATCCGAGATCCAAATCCCGTTGTCTTCTTCGAACCAAAGGTACTTCTCTTTCTCTTACACCAAATCAGCTTCTTCTTGATTGTCCCTTTTAGTCTTGAAACTTTGATATTCTTTCAGTGGCTTTATCGCCAAGCAGTAGAAGAAGTTCCAGAGCATGACTATATGATACCTTTATCAGAAGCTGAGGTATATATGTTCATTTCTCACCGTCTCTTTTAGGAGATGACGATCTCATAGTCGGGACTGACAAAAGGAGTTATCGTCAGGTCATTAAAGAAGGCAATGACATAACACTTGTTGGATGGGGAGCTCAGCTTACCATTATGGAACAAGCTTGTCTGGATGCAGAAAAGGTTTAGCTTTATCTTTCAACTCAATGAGGATTGGTTGGCAGTTATTCATGCGGGTCTTGAGTTTTTGCAGGAAGGAATATCATGTGAACTGATAGATCTCAAGACTCTACTGCCTTGGGACAAAGAAACCGTCGAGGCCTCGGTTAAAAAGACTGGCAGACTTCTTGTAAGTTTCAAGCAATCTTGATTGCATTGTGGGGCTTTGTTTTTGCCTGGTCGGTCTTATAGATAGCTTTTGCTTGGGTTACAGATAAGCCATGAAGCTCCTGTAACAGGAGGTTTTGGAGCAGAGATCTCTGCGACAATCCTTGAACGTTGCTTCTTGAAGGTATAAGGTTAAGGTTAATTCATCTACAAGATTACTCTTAATCAGTTTTTTAACTGTTATTTTTTCTGTAGTTGGAAGCTCCAGTTAGCAGAGTTTGTGGTCTTGACACTCCTTTTCCTCTTGTGTTTGAGCCATTCTACATGCCCACCAAGAACAAGGCAAGTTCCTCTTACTCTTATTTCCCAACCCAAAAACGCTTTTTCTAACAAATCATATGGGTTTTCACGTTTTATGCAGATATTGGACGCAATCAAATCGACTGTCAACTACTAGCGACCGTCCGATCTGTTTCTTCAGAAAACTTTAGTTTGTTGTTTTACATTATGCATTACAATATGGAGCTATTTTATGCGGTCTAAGTGTTTATATTAGCCGCTTAGATTCGGTTAATAACAACATATTTTAAATCTTAACTCGTAAAACATCTACCTTTTTTCATGCATTATCTATGGACATCCAAACATTTGAGAAACTTAAGTCGGCTAAAAGGAGTTTATTACAGAGACTTGGTGTATTATTACAGAAGGTTAGCAGAGAGCTAAGTTACTCTTGAATGATTGGGTATTACTCATTGAACAAACATTACAGGAAACAACATACTAGAAAGAAATTTATAACAAACAAAAAAAGAGACTGTATATACATTTTTTTTGGTTTCCAATCTGAATCAAACCAAGTTCTTTGTTGGATGAAAATAACCTCACCAAGCGCTAGCCACCACCGAGATCTCTAGTTCATGGCAATCCAAACGTGACATGTTTTTCTTTTTCCTTTTGATTTATCGGCTCTGGTGGTATCAAAATATCATAATCAAACAATTGATTGATGTAAGATGTATGGCAAAAAATAACATGCAGAGGGGGATAAAGAAAGTTGGAGACTTACATACTATTATTGCTGGATTTTCCTGAATTCTGTAAGAACAGGGTAGATATTCTCAAAGGCTGTGTAAGTCTCGTCTCTCATCTGATAGTGTAACCTCATGATTTTATCAGATGACAGAAGCATTTTCATTCGAAAATTGTCAAATCATTTGAGAGGAAGTAAAGAGATTACCTTGGCTCCAGTTATAACAATCTTTCCAGACACAAAAATTAGTAGTACAATCTTTGGTTGTTTCATCCTATATATCAGTCCTGGAAATAGCTCAGGCTCGTACTGGCATCAATAATGAGAGAGGTAAGAATCATCAGACCGCTTATCTCCATCTTGTAACTATATATGCTTAAAATGCTTGAGATCACTTACACTTGAAAAAGCACTGTGAGAGTATGCAAGACCTTCAAGCCTAATGGGGAATTTTACGTCACAGGAGCCTACAATATTTTGAATCTTGAAATCCTGCAAAATGTAATCAGAGACATAAACAAATTGCTGTTTGAAATGAAACTAAATAATACAGTGTATGTTGGATCAGAACCAGAGATAGACAGACGTGTAAGTACCTTGAATTTTGCAGGGAAGCCAAGCTTTTGAACAATCCGAGCGTACTGAATATCAAAAAGGCATTCTTCAATAACAAATACCAACTGGAAATTTATCAAGTTTATGACTACAATGTTCCTAGAAGAAGAAAAATAGACTATAATGAGAGGAGCTGGTATACCTTTCTCGCAGCAAGCTTTGAAAGATGTTCACTCTTAGCTCCCGTACACACCTAAAATTGGACAAAATAAATGCTATGTTAAAACCACATGAGCTAAAATGACCGTACATGCTATAAACCTATATAACATATACCATTTTCCCAGAAGCAAAAATCAACGCTGTAGTCTTTGGCTCTCTTATCCTCATGATCACAGCAGCGAAACGCTGAAATATGAAAAACAAAAAATGAAACCAAATTTGAGAATACAAAGAAAGTAGTACAAGTAGCTATAGCCAATCAGATTCACAAACACAAGAACACTGTTGACATAAGTGAATATAATTTCATTTCACTAATCAATACAGATCTGTAGATAGACTACTGGCTCCTTCATAGTTCTCAATGATTTTAGATTTTGACTCAATTCGAATCAATATGATAGATTACTAAAACAAAAATATGGCAATAAAATGCAAACCTTGGGGTTATATTCAGCATTCCGAGCCTGCAGAGCAATGGCTTTAAGATCAAGCTTGCAGTCTAAGTTCACTGTTGAGACAATATTTCTGAAAAACACAAGGAAAAAAAGGACAATATCTTGTCATTCACAAAATACAAACTACGAGTCTACTAAACGGTGATATACAGACAAGACACAGAAGAGAGCTCACTGAAGAGTTGGAACAATTCCTGAAGGATGCTTGATAAGGTCAACTGGCTGGCTTCCTTCCATTCCTTGATCAGCCATTCTCTAACATACAGACAAATTGTAAATACAAATCAGCAAAATCTCGATTCATCGAAATTATGTGGATCCAAGCAAACAAGCATCCACGAGAAACATGGTGAAGTTTCAACAGTATCAGGTTGTATCAAAGAGGAGGTTTGATTATTGAACTGTAGAAATGACGAGTTTTTTTTGTTGTTGTTTCACAATCAAATAACGACAGCTTTTCTGTGAAAGCTATGAAACAAATAGAGAGAAAATGAGATCCAATTCGAAATAAAGTAAGTTAAAAGGATTGTTAAAGTTATAACAGTCGAATTCATTGACCAAATCAGGTTGTATCAAAAGGGTTTTGATTTGATTATTGAATTCAAGAGACGTTGTTACACAATCAAACAACGAAAAGCTATGGGAACACAACTCCAGACTATGAGAATTAACAAAAACTCAAATCAAATCCGAAGAATTGAACACGTTGGAAAAAGAGGGTAAGGACCAAAATCAGACCTTTGGCTAGTTTGCAATCCGGATTCTCAAATCTAGGGTTTCGTTTGAGCCCAGACGATTGGAAGAGAAATTGCCCGGAGAAAGATTTGTATGAGAAGGATTTAGCTTTTTATACAAAGAAAAGAGATTTAGAGAGGGAAAGAGATTTGTAAAATGGGATTTATATAAAGGAGAGAGTGGTTTTCAATATCGCTCTCTGGGTTGGCTCTCTCTTTGAGGGGATGAGATTTGATCTGAGAGGCTTACAAATCGCGTTTTGGATCTGAGGAGCTTAAGGACTTCTTACACCTTATATATACTTTCCCTAAACTACCCCTCACTCTTAATCTTCGACAAGGGTAATTCGGAGAATTCATGTCTAAAATTCTAACATTACTGTCTTTCCTTGATTTGTAGGTGAACGTCCACTCTTTGTCTACCACGTACGATATAATACAAATACACCATGTGATTTTGTCTTTCTTTTTTCAAAGTTTTTTTTTTTTTTTTAACTCAGTAGTAGTAATCTAAAGTTGTATGTTTGAGGCAAAGCAAAGTAAATAGTAAACATATATATAGTGTTTCTCCCTTAGAATCATTAGAGCATAGCCAATATGGACCTCAATAATATAATCAAACAAAGCAAAGTATGTATATAGGGAAGGAGGAATTTGGGTAGTTCTCCACTGGCTTCTAATATCTCTTATGAAGTTTATAGTATTGGTCATGGTTTGGGGTATTTTACTGACTGCGTCAAGACCTTCAAGTCACCCTCAAATAAGATCTCTCTAACGCACCAAGATTGTCTAAAACAGACATTGATCATATGAGGACTACAATTTTGACTTCCAAGCTGAACATGCATGAGGGAGGGATAGTCCTTTGCTCCTAAACTATTTTTCTTCACCCCTTTCATATCAAAGGACTCAACCACTCCACATTGTTCCGACTCTACGACACACGAGGCACCTACATATATATTACACTTTTGCATTCTTGAAGAAAAAGTAATGGCAGAAATAACTTGATTCACTTAGCAAATAATAATAAAGATTACATGTTTTTATTACTTACTAGTTACTAGTTACTAGTATAATAATAGGAATGATATGCTTTTGGATTATGGAAGAATTTTTGTTTTTCTAAAACGGAGGAAAAGAAAGAAAAAAAGAATTAAAAAAACTTTCCTTTTTTCTGATAAGAAGAAGAAACTTTTAAAAAATAATAAAAAAACACCCTGAGATCGGATTAGCAATTTAGCAGTGTAAAATAAATAAATAAATGGATTAAAAAAAGGGTGGATAAGGATAAAAAAAAAAAGGAAAAATAAGAAAAGGAAAATCCTAATCCTAAAAGAAAAAGAGGGTTTTGGGAGTATAAATACAGAGATAATCGATGATAAAAAAAAAAAAAAATACAGAGATAATCTCCTAGGGAAAGAAGAAAATACACACAATATTATTTCTTCTAGTGAGGTTGGGAAGAAAGAGATGCCTAAGCTAAAACCATGTGGATGTGGCGGCACCAGGAACAGCAGGATTATACGTTTAACTAACGTGATTACAGAAGCTGATTTCGACTACGGCGATGAAGACTACGAAGATTGGTTGATTGATATGAGAAACGACGGTAAGCGATATGGTGAATTGTTGAAAGTTGTGATCCCGCGACCAAAACCAGATCATCATCTGACACCGACACCAGGAGTTGGTAAGATTTTCTTCGAGTATGCGGATTCCGATGCAGCATCAAGGGCTAGATCGGCCTTTCATGAAAGGCCATTTGAACTAAAGATTGTGGTGGCTGAGTACTATCCTGAAAACATGTATGCACAGGGCCGGATGCCTGAATTTGCTGGATAATAAACACCCTTTCTCGTATCTATCTATCTAAATCTTGTTTCAGTTTTTTTTTCTTTCTTTATTAACTTTTATGTGTTCTCTTAACTAACTTTTTGTTTTTGGTTCGCTGGATTTTTGGTTGATCTGATTCTTATCTAACTTGTGTGCAGCCTAGCTTCAGATATGATCCACTCATTAACCAAGCTTATATTTATAGACAAAGCTATACTACTAGTCTTTAGTTTGGATACACAATATTGTTAGTATCAAGTTCTGTCTTCTTCCCCTGACCAGCAAAATACATTTGCGAATAAGAATTGAATCTATTTTTTTTTTGTTTAGGAGCACCCGAAGTATATATGGATTTAGTTTAAAGATGATGGTCACTTACTCGGCAAAGGTTCAGACCATAGTTGTGTTGTACGCAGAGAGTAAGAGAAGAATCAAACCCTGACAATTCATTGGTGTTTTTTTTTTTTTTTAGTTAAGCTTTATCTGAAACTTGAGTCACATTCCATTATTTCACCACTAACCTAACTGTAGCCACCCATTTTATCAAAGAAATACTCAACTAAACTTAAAAAAGTGGATTTAGTTGATCAAAAAATTAAAACCACAGGCGACCTTACCAGAATTATCCAATAAGAAGTTTACAGAAAAAGAAACACAAATTGATATAGATTTTTTGTTTTCCAAAAATAGTAAAATCAACCAAATCCGAGAAACTTATGCACAGGCAAGAACAGGTTCATGATCATATCAAGCTTCTTGTTGCTCAGTAAACATGTTTCAACTTGTACCCGTCGATGGATTGCTGCTATCTTGGGACGACGAGAACAAGCTGCCAAACAGCCATGGGATCGAGAATCCGCTCCTAGTACCATCATCGTTCTGCTCCTCATCCTCTTCTTCTTCTTCTTCTTCTTCTTCTTCTTCTTCATCTTCACGGCGGTTTCCATCGCTGTCCTCAGTTCCATGGCTGCTGCTTGTAGCAGAAGCATTACTGACTCCATTGTTGTCATTTGTTTCTCTTCTTACTGACTCACTCTTTGTTTCGTCTGCATGTAACTGGTATCTACAAACCGGGCATGAACTGTGGAGCTCAAGCCATGGGAGCAAGCATTCACCATGAAACTTGTGCTCACACGGCATCTGTTTTGCCTCGGTGCCAATATCAAAGTCATCTAAACACACCGAACATTGCAGAGTCTCTTCGATTTTCACACTAGCCAAAGCCTCAACAGCTTCTTTCCGAGCTGGAGGTGTTCCATATCTGTTGGGATCATTCTCTGCTAAACGCTGAAGCAACATCTCGAATCCAGGACCGATGAAATAGTCTCCTAAAGAACCAGCAGATACAGAATCCGTGTTACCAGCAGAGCTTTGAACCATGATAGTTTGATTGAACGGATTGATCAAGATCACGCGTTCTCTGTCTCCATTGCTCTCAGATTCTGCTGTTAACCCTGCTCGTATCCCCTGAAGCAACTGCAAAAGCGAAGAGGAATGTCTTCTCCTTCTCCTAAGAATCTCCTGAAGCTGCCAATCCAAATCGTTTTCTCTACCATTTGCGGTTTCATTCTCAGCCTCTGCCTCGTTCTGATTATCTTCAACAGACTCAGCACTCTGGTTCCTTGAGCGACGCACAGGACCGTTCATGAGTTCCATCAAGATCGGAGCCCAGAGAGAATGGTTTGCTCTCTGATCGTTGGTATCTGAAGAATCTTGTTCCTCTTGCATCTCTTCAATAAACCCACTCCGACAAAAGGGGCATTTGATCTCAGCTTCCATTACTGGATTCACAGTTTGAGAGCACATGTGACACCAGTACCTCGATGCAATTGCTTCTTCCATGGCCGATTCCTTGTACTTGTAGTAACCCTGTTCATAGCCAAAAACAACACTCAGCTTTAACAAAACAATCTTCAAATACAGCAAAAAAGACTTAATTTTTCATCAGGCGGCTAAGGAACTTCATTCAAACCAAATATAGCGAGGAAGAAACATCAAACCCTAGAATCAGTGAGTTGAAAACTGCGTTTTTATCGACACTGAATCTATGGTTTGATGTTTCTTCCTCGCTAAATGGAGTTTTGAAACCAAGTCTTTAAACACGACCACAACATTCATAAAAAAGGACGAAATCGTGACAATATTTTGAAACCAAGTCATTAATCATAGATGTATGATAGTCCTCGGACTCAAAGAAGAAAGAAATGATTTTTTTTTCAAAACTGAACAAAAAAAATTTTCGAAAGAAGAAAGAAGAATCTGCGTTCGGAAACAACCCATTTGCTAGCCTAAATCAGCCGTGTCGAGTAAATGATGAAAATAAGAACAACCTAACTCAAAAAAAAAAAATACCAGAAATTAAGCACGTTTTGTTAACCTTCGAGTCTTCTTCAACCGCAGATATAATCTCCGTTAAGCACAAACAAAAGTAGAGCGATAAGGAAAAATTTCTGATACTGTCTTCTTTGAAACTAGAAAAAAAAAGATTGTATTTGTGGGATTGTGGTATATCTACGAAAGGAGGAATATTGACGTGAGAAAATAAGAACAAGGATGATTCCAGATCCTTCTGGGTCTCTCTCTGTCTTTAATAAGCTTGCGGATTTTGACACCATTTTTTTAATTTAATTAGAATCAGCTGATTAATTATCAGTGGACTTTTCTCGAAACAGCAACACATGGATTTTGGGTTTTTTATTTATTTTATCGGCTTTTATCCTTTTTAGCTCGACTTACTCGTGGGCTCTTTTAATAATTTATGGGCTTTTAATGTTTCACTAAAAGCCAACTAAGAGAAATGAACAAATCGTTAGTGAAGCTAACGCTGCAAATTCGGACACGATGAGTCATTTCTTTCAGGTGTATCAATGAGATTAGTAGAGTTTGTAGTAGGAATTAAAAAAATTGGAGGTTTAGATTGAAGTTGGAGCCAACTCGAAGTTAAGGATTATGATTTTCCCCCTTTAGACGTGTCCAACTTCCGTATTAACCGAGTAGAACGTATCAAACCGGGTCTAAACCGCTTATTCTGACGTTATCAACCATGTCCAAAGAGCGTTTGGACCGGTTTCAAGCCGTGTCCAAACCAGACCGTCCAACAATCTCTCAAAGTCTCATATCATCTCTCTGCAAAATGTCACTACAGTCTTCATGCTCACCAACGCATGAGCAACCCACAAGATTCAAGCTAGTTTATCAATATTTTCAGAACTCAAGATCATTTCCCTAAAATTTCATATCAAACACAAACAGACGAAACATATCAACGCCGGAATCTTATACTATCTCCATTGCAACAAAAACCAAAAGTATCTCCATTTACACACAAGAAAAAACCCGGAAAGAATCATGATGCATCAAGTAGATTCTGACTCCAATCTAACAAGAGATCCCGAAAAAATAAATATTTTCATACAAAATAAATGATGAAAAAAGCAAAAGTAGAAACGGTGCTTACTTGGCGTCTAACATATAGAATCTCATCTCCTGATAGGTGGTATATAATCTTGCTGCCCTCTGTATGGACATGAAGATTTCATGATTCCCTCGCTAGCCCAATAATAGTTGCGTCTGCTTCATATCCTAAACATTAGCTAATGCACAGCAGGCAAGTTGCTTGTTTAGAATGTAAAACAGCACCACCGTTCTTGAATGGGGTTCTCATAATGAAGACATCCCCGGTTGCTTCAAACCCTTCTCTTCCTACAAGAAGTTGAGACGAGAATTTCCTTATGATATCTGATGGGTGATAAGGAAACGCAACAAAAACACGACATAGTGCAATACGACCAAGAACCATGAAAATGTCAAATCAATAAAGACTAACATCAATTGCATGTAGTGATCTGGATGTGGGAGACTTAATCTGAGAGGCTTCTGCAGCAGATGGTGATCCATTGTTCCCAGCTAAATAATGATTCACCTACAAAGGACACAAAGATGAAAAACTTTAAATTGGCTGAGTAGCATCTTTCTTTACTGCTGTTAGATAAAACTTCCCATCATTATCACTATGTAGTGTGTGTACGTACATCCTAAAACGGGAAATATCATTACTCAGAGACCTATCTTGTTAAGGACAAAGAGCTAAAAGAAGATAAAGAATCATCTAGCTTATTAGTTTATCCCAGATTCGGTATATTGCATTGCATCCACGACAGCTCAAACGGATTCGAACGCGAACCAGGAAACTCATCTTAGATGGGAGGCTTGATAAAGGTAACCAGGCAGGAAGAAATACAGTCAGAGAGACCGTACTAGATAAATTACAAAAACTCGAAATAGAAAAAATAGCGGAAAGCTCGACTACAAAGAGTGCACATAAACAAGTCAACAGGGGAAGAGAGTAGAAAGCAGAAAAACCTGTGTTGCCTTGGGTGAATTCATATTGGTTTGGCCCTCTTCAAAAAGAGAGGTGTAGTAGGCTGGGTCGTACATAGAACCTCCCAAGATTTCTTCTGCACCTGAACATTGTCTAGCTATAGCAGGAGTTGGTGGGTTCAAGAAGCTATTTCGTAAATCTGAATCTGTTTCACGAGGAAGTGAATTGTCCACAATAGAAGCCCCCAGCCTATAAATCTGAAACCATAAGAGTGACGACGACAGCCTCACAAAGAAGCCAATCATTTCCATAGCCATGGTCAGCTTCACTGAAAATATGAAGAAGGTTCCATACGTCTCAGCTGAAATGCTCCTGGGGTCGACAAAGGAGATGTTTTGTCAATCAAAAGGGCATCATATGAACAATATTTCCTTATATCGAAATGCTTTAGAAATCGGAAGGGAAATATGCTAATGATCAATCATTTCAAAATGAATAGAGTGCCTAAACAAAAGTTGTGAAACTGATATCCAATTTTTAGTCGAATATGTGTGTAAAATCTCTCAAAAGCAATGCTGCTTAGTTCAGATTCACAAACAAGGTTTTAGTTTGAGAGCGATACCATATCTCATGGGTGAAAAGAATGAACCACGAGACATCAAGAAGAATAGCGCAGAAAAGAAGAACAGCGTAGGTCCTGCCGAGACTTTGGCTATTGCTCTCGATTGCCACAAGCGCAAACAACGCAATCGCCAAGTTTATTAGCAAAACTCCATTGTATAATGCTCCTAGTGATCCAATCAGCGCACACCCAATCTGAAACCACCGGAAACAACAACAATTCAGAAAAAAAAAAACGCGATTCTCACAACGATGACACAATTTCTCGAATCGATGAACCCTAGACCGAAAACAGATTTGAATCAACCACGGGGAGAGAGAGGGAGATAACCTGAGTGTAAATAAGGATGACGGCGAGAGATTGGAGCCTAACATAGTCGCGAAGCCAAGGCTGTATTCGATCTCGCAAAGAACCACAAAGCATCATAAATCTCGTCGCTACTCCGATGTCCCTTCATAAAAGACAATATCACGAAGAAGCTTCTAATGTCGAAAATTCAGAGAACTTTTCCGGCGACAAAGCACAGATCAACGGAGAGAGAGAGAGAGAAGGGCTGAAGAATCGACGGTGGAGAATATCGTGAGGAGGAGGAGAGAGTAAAGAGTTTGTTTGGCGGGATCACATCGAATCGAAGAAGAGGAAAACAGAAAATATATTCTCCCGAGAAATTAAATCTCTCTCTTACCAAATTTAATTAAAATCAAAGACTGCGAATAACGCCCTCTCTGCTCCTTTCCTTCCCAGTTCCCCACTAGGCCCACTACTTCTTTCTCTCTTTTTTTTTTTTTTTTATTATTACCTTCCTCAGTTTGTTTATAGTTCTCCAGATTTAAAATCACTTTTTAATTAGCAAGAAAGTTTCTGGATTTATAATTAAGAAAGGGAAATATCTCTTCTGCTGTTATAAAAAATAAAGAAGCCAAACCAGCTTTCAAAAGATGATGAAAAAGCTTTAACTGTATGGCCATTAAGGCATGAGCCACGTGAGTGTTAAGTCAGCAATTTATAACATTTTCAAGGTTAGTTGATGACGTAACTACATTTCAACATTAACAAAAAAAAGGAGTAGACAAACACACAATATTTATAGAAAAAAATATACGACTTGACTGTAAGTCGAGACTTGAGAGCTAGACCAAAATTTCTTGAGACAAGCTAGCTTAGGTCTACGTAAAAGATGAGAGACTCGCTTGCATTTGCATACTGATTTGAACAAATTGTCTCATTTTCTCATCTGTGTGAAGAGTTCCGATGGCTTTCCTGTTGCTCCGGGGTTGCCACCAAAGCCTGCGAACCCACCACCACCGGCTTGGCCTTGTCCTTGGCTGCCAAAACCTCCAAAACCACCACCTGTCAACGACAGACAAAATGGTCAAAATGTTTGAGCATGCGTATGTATAGATCAATGTTAAGATGCTTTACCTCCTGCTGCTCCCACGAAACCTCCACCACTAGGAGGAGCAAAGCCTCCAAAACCTCCGGAGCCTGAACCAAGTCCACCAAATCCACTGGCGGCTCCTCCTGGAGCAGCACCGGCAAAGCCTCCACTAGCTGAGGCTAAAGCTGCGAAACCACCAGTTGGACTAGAAGAAGCTCCAGCGAATCCCCTACCAGCTGAAGCCATGGCCGCAAAGCCACCAGTAGCACTAGAACCAGCAGCTGCAAAACCCCCAGACGCTGGTGCATTTGGGAGGCCATTCCCTGGGTTAGAGCCACCAAATCCACTTGGACCACCAAACGTAGCTCCAGGGAGACCAGCACCAATCTGCCTCGACTGCCCAAATGAACCAAGAACCGATCCTAGAGCTTGCTGTCCTCCACCAATCTGTGACGGTTGGCCAAACCCGCTCTGAGTAGGTGGTGTCTGAGAAGGTGTTGTAGAAAATCCACCAAACCCTGCCGGTTGAGATGGTTGAGGATTTTGAAAATTGAATGATGCTGGTCGGAATAGCTCGCCGCTGGGGACTGCCATATTGAACGGATTACTTGTTGTTGTTGTAGCATTACCAAAGGGACCCCCAAATGGATATGCTTTGGGAGCAGCCGGGTTTGGAGTTGACCCAAGCCCAAAACCTCCAAAACCACCCATACTAAGTTCAGTCGTCTGGCTAGCCTCTGAAGCTTCTTCGTCCATTTCATCTTCTTGTGTATCTACAGTGTCTTTTTTCTCACCAAATGGACTTGCAGAAGTTGATAAAGATGCAGGGAAAGAGACAGGTGTCGACGATAGCTGTTGCGGCTGAGAACTACCTGGCCAACTGAATGAAGGCGGCGCCATGCTTAAAGGACTAGACTGAGCTCCGGATGAAAACCCAGACAGGAACCCAGATGAACTGACAGGGGTTACTGTAGTCTCTGGGTTTGGAATCTCACTTTTCACTGGCAGCAGCTCAGTTTGTACTTTTGTCGCATTTGCTACAGAATCTACAGTACTTCCCATACTTGGAATTGGCGAACTATGAGCATCTGGTTTTTTAGGCTCTGAGACTGGCTCTGTAATGGACTCAGCAGAAGACGGGGTGGAAACTTGAGGAGACTGAGACGCGTCAGGAGCAGTCAACGATGAGGAGGCTGATGAAAACAAACGATTATTATCTGTTAGGGAACTGGTTGCAGAGACCAGACTAGATGACACTTGTGATGCTGTGGAAGTTGGTGGAAGAAATGAAGATTGGCCAGCTGAAGATGTGACAATTTCAGGGGATGATGGAGACAAAGCTGGTAACTTAAAAGAGAAGCCAGTTGTGGGGCCAGGTGATTGAGAAGGTGTTGACGTAGCTTCTTGATTGAGATCAAAATTGGCACTGGTCAACGATTTACCAAATGGAACACTGAACCCCGTAGCTGAACCTGAAACTGCAGATGTCGATGTGACTGAAAACTTTTGAGGGACTGATGCTAAGCTGATGGGAATAGATGTTGGAACTGAAATTGATAACAGCGGTGTCATTGACCAGATATTAAAGTTGCCATAGTTGACTATAAAATTATGTTGAATCAAAAGAAACAGACAGAGGTCAACGTAATTATACCTGAATCTTGTGTAGAGGATGGCACTGGACGTGATAATGGTGTAGATAACGTGGAAACGGAATCAAGTGACGTGCTAGACAAAGGTGAAGATGAAACTGACACCGTTGCAGCAGGAAAAGTTACTTTGTCACCAGGGATACTGCTACTGGTATTGAAATCAAACAGCGATTTTACAGGGAAACTAGATGCTGGTTCACCAGTAGGCACCGACGACAGTTGAATGCCAAAACCTTTGCTAGGTTCAGAATCGGATCTTGACGATGTGGTACCAAGCCGCTGCACATTTCCAGCAGCTCTATCAGGAAACACATTTGCTTTGCCTTCAGAAAGTTTAACTTCTCCAGCCTTCTTTTCTGTCTGTTCAAATACAGTCGATGCCACTGGTCGTTTCAGAAGCAAATTTGGTCCTCCTAATTGTGAAACTGTCTTCGGATCCTTACTCTGCGACGGGGCTGATTCCTCAGCATAAGAAGCTTTATTGTTCGACATATTTCCAGACCAATCGAAACTTGCCTTCGACGCAGATATTGGAGAGAAGGTAAAGGGACTGTTAGATTGTGGCATAGGTGGCCTTGATCTGAACGGGGTTGATTGCGCTTCAGATGTGTCTTGTTGGAATAATTCCATTTTTCCTATTTTGTACAGTCAAACCAGAGAAACGATAAAGAATACTAATGAAACACTGTAAAATCAAATTATTGCACTACACAGTAAATCTTAGCTCACCCTTATTCGAGGAGACTACAGGTGATGCATGATCCTTCAGGCGAAGCAGTGATTGCTCCTGTGTATTAATCGTTGACCGTATTCTCTCATTCGACACAGTCTGTTGGTTCATACCCGTCTTCTGTTGCTCCTGCAGAAGCATCCTTTTGACAGTTGTTTTTGGAGGCTCAAAAGCAGCCCAATTCTGCAAAAAGTAGAGCAAAGCGTGAGGATACACCATAAATTACATATATTGTGTGGTCTAGTACTGAGTCAAAGATTTCCCATGAAATTACCCTGTCTAATGATTCTCTCCTCCTCCTAGCCGTTTCAGGGTCAGAACTTTTCATACCAGATGACTGACGTTGTCTGGACTGTGCATTTATACTTGCAGGAATAGAAGAGAGTAATAGATTTTTCGCTGAAGATGCATTGTTAGCTTTTACAGCATCTGGCGAGCTGAAAGAAGCATCATAAGGGATCCCAATTGTCTCAAACAACTCCTGCTTCACATTTTTTTTGACAGGTGAATCGATTTTCAGAAATGTCATTTGTTTTGAGAGACAGTCAGAGAGTTGCTCAGCAGCTGCCAATTGGGAACTCATTGTGTTATGAAGGCTATGAAGGAATTGCACACGTCTGCAGAGAGAATCAACCCAATTTCAGTGGTGGAAATGGGGAGTTTATGGCCAACTTAACCAATTTATAATGATGGGTTTTTATTTAAATTTCACAACTAACCACAAAATATACCTTGAAGGGGCAGACCTATTTGGCAAACCTCTCCGGGCCACAGAAAGTCCTCCATCCTCTTGGTAGCGATCGAGTTCAAGCCGATTAAAATATCTCTCTAATTCAATCAGTTGATGAGTCAAATCCTGAACGGGAAAAGTAGTGGATAAATTAAAAAGCAAGCTTAGAGGGCAGTAACAGATAAATGAGTGAGATATATCAACCCATAAACAACCTTGTTTAGTTTCACAATATGCTGCCGCTTGGCCTCAAGCTCAGGATTCAACCTCCGGCGGTTCCAAAGTTGCCAGTACTGGTTATCAGAAGTTTGCTTATACAACCCTTCCATGTATGTCTTTTTGGCCAAAACTGAAATCCCCACATGAAAGAATAATAAGACAACAAATAACAGCCTGATAATTTGCAGCCTAAATTCCAGTGTAAAATATGAAACGGTATTAAATATATCTAGAGACAAAAGAACAAAATTCCTAGGGACTTCCAGAGCAACATATGTAAAAATGACCTCATTTAAAGCGCAAGCTTATGCTAATATTATATGTGAGAATAATGTACTTAACATATGTGAGAATAATGTACTTAACATATGTGAGAATAATGTACTTAACATATGTGAGAATAATGTACTTATCACCACGTATCCCCGTAAAAGGATACATCATATATAAATATGATTTTATCCTGATTTGTTCCCCACTTCTCGATTAAGTTGAGATTTGAAGTCTGGTGGGGCAGAAAATGAGATAGGATAAGAGTTCAACTTGCCTCTTTAGTCAATCCTTTCTAGACATCACTGATAGTGCTTAGAAGCAATGTACATTCACTATATTCCTAGTTCGCCTATTGCATGATAAGACACCTTTTCAGAAAGAAACAATAACCCGCTATCAAATTTTTTTCGCGCTACATACTGGGATGATAAAATAGATAGATCACCTTGAATTGTTTTGTCCAGAAGATGTTGGATCTCTGCTTGCTGCTCGTGAGTTATGCTCTGAAGACCATCAAACCATATTAGTTAACAATACAAAGAAGGCCAGGATCAATGACAGTATTTGTATATTGCAGGAGGGTGGTTTGATCAAATATTAAAAAGTTAATCGAAAGTTAATACGAAACAATAATGAACTTTTAAAGACACCTTCCACGTTTGGCACTTGCCAGCAAGACTTTGAAGTCCTTGCTCCAATTCTTCAATATGACTTTTGAGTAATGAGGTGCAACAATCCTTGAAACCACCTGGTCCTTCAATGGACTGTAAAAGCGCATCCATTTCTCTGGCCATCTCATTTATCTGGCAAATGAAAGGAAGAGTAAGGTACGCCAATGACATAAGTCCAGTAAGATAAATACTAGAGCACAGCATGAGAGTTCGGAACACCCTTTTCCTATAATACATAACCACATTATTAAATCTTACGAAATAAATATTGTGTGAAAACTTTACATTACTGGGTTGCTTTGACATGGTATTCTCGAGTCTCAGAGGTCCAGGACTGGACGGAGTTTTGTGCTGCTGAAGACTAGAGGACTTTTCGAACGAAGATTTCACCTGTAGTGACAATTGAGAGGCACGGATAGACGGAATTGGCTCGATTTTTTCTACCCCTTCATCAGCGTCTTGATTTTGGCCTAGCGGAGGAGTTAAATTAATCAGAGCCGATGCTTTAGCAGTCTCAATAACTTGTACAGGCTTCTCTTTGATGCACGTAGGAGGATTTACATAACCAGCTCCCGTCTGTTCTGATTGCTTATGCTGAGTATCTTTCACAGAAGTAAAACGACCAGAGGCAAAATTTGGAGGTGAGATACCTTTCCCACTTGACCATGGCTGAGCTGGTGTATTTTGTGGTGAAGGAACAGTAGCGTTCTGCGGGCCAGAAAATGCAAATAAAGCTGGTGTACTCTTTGACCCAAAACTGGTCTGAAAATGCAGAGACTTAGACTGCTCAGATAAGTCTTTTTGAAACTTATCAGAAACAGGGAGGATAGGACCCAGTCCTGCAAATTTGTTGGTGTCATATCCTAAAGACGAAGGAGTTACCCCAAAACTTGTTCCGAACTGCCTAGGAATCATGCTTTGTTGACCATCTGCAGCTTGTAATGGTTTTTCAGCATAGAATTCTTGCTTCCCGTTGTTGTCCCCAGACGCTGAATTTTTTACAGAACCAATTTCCTTACTAGAAATTGTTTCATTTGGGAACCTTTGTTCGGTAGGTAACAGAAAAGTTAAATGATCTGAGTTGAGGGGTTTCAGTTCATTTTGTACCGAAACATTCACATTTCGTTGTTGTTCAGGCTCTTCAGAAGATTGTTCAGAAAGATCATCTCTAATTGAAGGGGCATTAGCATCTTCTATATCAGAAGAAGAAGCCAAATCAACATTATCTGAAGCTGGGAGTCCTGCAACACTGTAGAGGAACACAACGTTACTGTTTCATGTAATGTAGTTAAAGAAAAGGAGAAACTTATAACCATTATGAGAGACAAAGCCTACCTAGCAACATTAAACATGACCATTTTTCCTTCCAAAGTGAGGCACACAAGAACACAATACGGCGGGAGTTCTTTCATTTCATCATCTCCCGAACGGAGATTAACGGTCCCTTCAACAGAAACCCTATCGATACAGAGTCCCATGATCATATTGTCGTCTCCATTTTCTGGAAAAAGAATGATCATTTTTATATCGAACGTGTAATGTATGAAAAAGCACATTGGAATGCAGCAACTCTGGACCACATACCTTGGAGTCCAATCCTTGGCAAAAAGGTCTCTCGATCAATATCAACAACGGCAACTGCACTTTTATCATCACCAAGTGGCCAATTTAGCAAAACAATATGCTCATCTATGCTCTTCCTGTTTGCTATGATTGCCAGTTTGCTGTAAAGTTGACAATATAGAGGAGTAAGCAAAATTTTACTATCTTCAACATTGAATTAAGTGGTAGTTTACTTTGTCCATGTTCCTTATTGCGATTAAGAGGAAATCAAGAATAACTAAACTGACTCTATTGCGCTTCAAGACGAGAATTGTAAATACGAATTAGCTCAGATTTACTTCCAGTATTATATGATAGTTGAATTTAAAACAATTCTCATTAGCGAACTTAATTATTTACAGCTCATCCTAGTTGGTTACGTATGAAAAAATATCTTAAGATCCGAATAAATCAAGAGTTAGAAAGATTGACAAACGGCTTGCAGGGCGAAGGTAAATTCCAGCATTCATGAAAAGATAAAGCAAAGAAAAAAAATAAAAAGAACATAAAATTAGCCTAAAGTACCATTTGTCTATGTAGCTAAAGAGCAAATGAGGTCCAACACCAGCCGGAACAAGATCATCCATCGAACATGGAAACAAATCAGAGAAGGATACAGCAACCAGATTGGACGAACCCTGCAAAGAAGAAGCTCAAAAACCACATATCAGATAAATATATAAGTACAAGTTACAGATCCTATTGTTTCTTTCTATCCCATAAAAACGGTCACTCACATCAGTTATCTTCCCGTCCGGACTCTTAATAACCTGAACAAAGTAATTTTCTTCCATGCCATCAATCAGCTGGAAGCATCCGAGAAGAATACAGTTGTGACGTACCCATCGAATAGAATCAACTGTTGCAAAGTGTTGTTGGTAAACAGTCAGTCATTGAGCGGGTTTGACTTCAGAGCGATCCATGAAACTTTTCAACGGAAGTATGCATAGAACCAGGGAAATTTGAACACCATTTCAAGAAATACAGATCTATAGGAATGTTACCAAGATTTAGATGGGAGATAGCACGAAATAAGAACTTTCAACAGGATCATTTTGTAAATATTCTATGTCCAAGCATCGGAATAGAGGACGACTCAGTCCATACGAAAACACCTCATATACCATACAACAACTATGCTATTTGAACCAAAATGGAAAATACTGATTTGATAGGCTAAAACATACAACATACCTTTCACAACACAGTTTTCATTGGAATCACCATTCCAGGCGTCAAATGATAACGCTATGCACTGCTTCTCGTTAAACTTTGACGACAAAATCCGCAGGCTATTATCTTGAGCCACAGCAATATAACTCCCTTTTGAACTCCATTCAACTGGAAAAAAGAACATAGTACACAATGAAATTCCAAAAAACATGGTTTATTGTGTTGCTGAAGAAGTAGCAAAAGTAAATGATACAAACCGGCGTCAACACCATCCATAACATGTCTAGGGGGTGCATTATCAATTCCATGAAAGAGATTCCCATGGTTTGAAAGAACAAGATACGAATGTTTATCTTTCCGTGTCCACCGGAAATCCTTAACAAAGTCTGACTCATCAGGTGAATAAGAAAATGAAGGTTCTGCATCCTGCATCAAAGGACAGATAAAGAAAATAAACTATCAATCAACATAGATTCTCATTCCTAGCAAAGGGCTGGATAGTGTGCTACTACTAGTTGTGTGCTTTCAAACGCCATTCACAAGGAAAAAGCATACAGAACCGGCATAACATTTAAAAAAAAAATCGCATTAGCAAGAAGTAGTATAAAGTAGAAGTCAATTTACGGAAGAACCCGGGAAACCAAGCTTACAGTTACAGGCAGAGAATATGCCATAAAGACTAAAGGCTTAAGAGCCATATACCTTATTAAGAAGTGAATCCACAGAGAAGAAATGAAAATCAGCAGCGACGGAGACAGCGAGAATGGAATCATCCGCAGAGAGAGACAGTATACGAACGTTGCCAACGGGAACATCCACGAGGCTCAAATTCTGGAGATAAACCCTGGTACCTTTCCCGTTACTATTCTTCAAAGCAGAAATTACATCCTTGGTCTTTGCAACAAGAAACCCTAATTTTCACACAAAAACGGCCACATACATTAAACAGCACGAGCAAAAACCTGGACAATCATCACCGATTAAGAATACTAACCGGAGGAATGTGCGACGAAAACGACGCCGTGGCGTTCGGAGATAGCTAGAGGCTGTGAGGGAGGGTTTTCGAGATCGTATAGAGCGTCTTCCTCTTTGATACAGATAGGTTCGCCGATTCTATCGAAGTAGTAATCGGTAGTTCCGACGCGATCTCCTTCTACTTCTTCTTTAATCTCAACTTTACCCATTTTTTGAAATCTCCTCAAGCTGTTGCGGCTGCTTCAATGGCCGAATCGAGAGAGTTAAAGGTTTTTAGGCGGGAATGAGAGAAGAGAACGAACCAGGAGGGCTCGTAGGAGACTCGAGAGTTTGAGTATCTCTGATTTTACAAGTACCGGCGCTACTTGGTCCGGTGAGTCGATGACTCTGTTCAAGTTTCGTCTTATTTATTTCAAATTGGGCCGGGTCGGAATGTGAATGGCCCTTACCCGACAGTTACCAAAACGTAGCCGTTTATCTCCTGTGTACCGTTAAATTCAGACCGATTTCTCGTCGCTAAACCAGATTCGGTTAAATAACTACAAAACGGCGTCGTTTTCCGCTACTCCTTACCAACACAGACCAGATTTGAGGACCGGAGATGAAGCTGTCTTCTTGTTAGTTCTTCGTTTACCTCTACTCCTTTCCTGCCCTTCTTAACACATTGAAGGTAAGCTAGTTTTACTTAACTTCTAGAACAATAGAACATACATACAATTTTTATACATTGATACTCTCTGAAGCCTTAACAATAATTAACATTCAGTTCTTCGTATTTTTACCAGAATCTGTTTACAGCTTCTAGTTTCTCGTTGGCATTCCCATATATATCTGCACCAGAGGAGGAAAGGATGGAAAATTTGTTGTTTCAGGGCTTAAAGAAGCTTGTTCTCATAATGTTGGAGTCAGCAATATCGTGTTCTCAGACTCGTGTTTCGTTGAGGATGGAACAACTCAGAAACTATCGAAAGTGCAGTCTTTCAAAGTCATCTGATTGTTCTGACGTTTATGTTTTCCAGAGTCCCATGCACCCTTACTCTTGAACCTTCTGATTTACCTATAAATTATCGATCGACAGGATCATCTGGTTGCTAGAAAAGAAACAAGAAAAGAAGGGGAAACCGACTTGGTTGTGGTCTGCTCTGAGGGATCTGAATCATCGACTCAATCTTACCAGTCACCTTCAGATCGTAAGTGGACAGATCATGGTTACAAAAGAAGTCATAGCATGCATTTAGATACTCGTTTTAAGTTAACTAAGTTTTCTTTGAACCATTATCTGCAGGTGAAATCATCTCTGAGCTTGTTGGTTCAGTAGAGCATTCTGGAACTAAATACGCAACCCTATATGTCTCTGATCCTTATTGGTACACTCCTTACCAAACTCTCCAAAGGTTTTTGGCTGAAACAGCCACAGGAAACACTACAGCTGAAGCTTCTACAACCTGTGATGAACTCTGCAAATTCAAGTCATCACTCTTAGAGGGAATCTTAGTGGTAAAGCTACCCACTTTTAAAGCAAATTTCTTCTAATGCACATTCTTTAATTGTCTCGAGCTGGAAGCTTGTGTTTCCATAAGAAGTCTTTGTGATAAGGTCTCTTGCCTCTTTTCAGGGAATCGTCCTGCTTACCATCTTGATAAGTGGACTTTGTTGTATGGCGGGCATCGACACACCGACTAGATTCGAGACTCCTCAAGATTAAGCAATTACATCTCTCTGTCTTTGCCTTCATGTGCTGATTTTTTTGCGTTGTGAGGGTTTTCAAATGTTTTGTATATTATAAGGTGTATACACATGTTTGTATGTTGGCTTTATCGAAAAGGCTTGTACTACTTGTAATAATTGAGAACTTTGAATTTTTTTTTTTTTTTTGGGTCGAGAACGTTGAATAAAACACAGAGTTTTACCAGATCTTGAAGCCTAGTGGGTTTTTTACTTTAAACATTACTGTTTGTTTGGTAATTAAATCATGCGTGTAGATACATACACGGTCTACTGTATATGCATATAATGATGGATCCCACGAGAAATGTATATAATTGGTGCAGAGTATTAACTACGAAGGGCCTATATATGTCTTGCGAGTTGGGAGCCATTAACCCACACAGGCAGTGAAATACAAATAACACCATGCACCTTTTCTTTGAATGAAGGAGAGGACCAATATGATACGACTCCTTGGAAAAAAAAAAAAAAAAACAGGACCAGTAGTAAATGAAGGATAAATTAGTTCGATTTTAGAAATGAAAATTCAAAAAAAAAAAAAAAATGAAAACTATAGATTGATGTCAAGGGTAAGGTTCGATCGACTTCATTGAGAATTATCATGGATCATTTCTTTCTCATTGTGTGAAGTAAAAAAGTATTTTGCATAAATTTAGTTAGTGACTTGCATTAGAAGACCATATGTGATCGGATTAGGTCACGCTTAACTTAACTCTAGAGTCTAGACTAATAGGCGATCGACTGCAATGTATATAATCACTATATATATAGGTTTGGTGGATGAGATGCCATATATATCGGTCCGGTTGATTAGGTTATATGGCATGTGATCACATATGTCGAGAGAGAGAGAGCGTGTGAGGCATGGCCGAATTACGACAGTCATGTCTCTCTCTCTATGCAATATCATTCAATGCTCTCAATGGTGCTCGGACGACAGTATATGAAATCTCTTTTGGACCGAGATGCTTATTCCTTGGATAAAATATTACAAACTCTATTTTCTTACTACATTATCTATGTATAATTATGGGAAAAGGTCGTATTCAATTATTCATGCATAACATAACCATTCATGGGAAATAAAGGTTATTTGACATTACTAAGTTGCATAGATGTTTGGGTCAACCTATATTGGGAAAAAATAACAAATCTTCTGTTCATCGACCATTGGTCTATGTTGGCGTTTTTTCCAAAACGTGATAATACTACAGTATTAAAGATTATTATCTATTCTTTCTACTTTTTGTTCTTGCTAAAAATAGTTCTTTCTATTTTTTCTTTTTCTTTTTTGCTAACTTGTAAATATCATAAAAAATGAAAGTTGGATATTACAAAAGCAAATCCCCTATACATGTTACCTTGGCGAAAAGAAATAAAAAACAAGGCAACGGATATTGATTTAGCTAAGGAAAAATTAATACAGTAGATCGTAACTCGTAAGAAAGAGACATTGACGAGACTTTTACTCTAACCATAGACTATAACAAGTGAGATTGCGTTATCCATTGATGGATCCATCGTGGCAGGTGAACTATTTCGTTGCACTATCTAAGCTGCAAAATATTTAATTACTTGAGTTAGTTTTGAAGAATTTGAAATTTGTTGTGATGTTATTTGATTGCGTCGATAATTTTTTTAGACGACTACATAGTACAACTTATTTTATTTGAATCTAATAACATTAATTTTTTTTTTGGGAAAGAGAATTTAATTATTTATGAGAAAATTAGAATTATAGGACAAAAAACTCACCTATTGTCCATTTGATACTTTTTCACTCAACATTGTCCAATTAGTATTGATAATATTAAAATTTCAGTACTACCCCTAAATAATAAAAACAAATATTTTTCAAAATGTAAAAAAAAAAACTATTAGATATTACTCTGAAGAAAAAAACATGTGAAACAAAACTAAAATAAAACCAAAAGTATTGTATTTAACTAATAGAGTTATTTACATTTTGGATGAAATGTTAGTCATTGCAAATGACAAAAGTAGATTATAAAAATGTATTGGAAGCTAAAACTATTTAGAAAAATGTATAGTACTAAATTCGAAAGCGAAATTCAAAAAAAAAAACAAAGAACATGCTAACTGTTTTAAATTATAAAAATGCATAAAAAAGGGTTTTATGCGAATAAACTCATCATTTTTATTATTTTTTTTGTAAGAATGATGCTCTTCTTTAGAAAATGCAGATCAATACTCTTACTTTTAAAGTCAGGCCCAATACAAACTCCGCGTGAAATCATCATTATAACGTTAATAGAATTCAGTATGCCGCGTTTTGAATAAGAAAAATAGTTAAAACATTGTAGCCACGTGTCTTATATTTATGAGAATTGACACGCTGTTTTTTCTAATTATAGTATTTTTTAATACAAATTAGATTAGATTATATTATAGACCGATTGTCCGTTTTTCTTTATAAACAACATCTTGTTAAGGTAAAATAAAATATAAAAAGGAAATTCATATATACAAATACTAATTTTGGTTATTTTGGTTATTTTAGTTATATTATTCTATTTGGTTATTTATATAAATTTAGACTATGACTTTAAATTTAATAGTATAAAATAAAGCATAAACACTAAATTTGGTTCAAATAGTTACTTTAGACAAATAAAAAACAAAGCTGTAAAAATAATTGATAGCTTGGATGAACTCATCCACAGCCGTTAAGCTGATTAGATAAAAATATCTCTAAGTAGCATTTTCATCAATATTGTTCCAGCCAAAAAGGGGGAATAGTAATTAATTTCTTTGAATAATAGTTATACAAATTTTTTAATTCTCCATTTAGTGATAGACAAGTGTTAAGTTCAGCTAAAATTTTCTCTCCCCAAGGTAAAACTAACAAAAACAATATATATTTTGTATTATAAGGGCCTGTAATTATATATATACATGGCACCTGCAGAGATTTTTGCTTATGAAGAACATTCTCTCCACATCTTTGTCCTCTTAAAAAAAAAAACTATTCTCCAGATTCCGCCATTGATGAGCTCTGACCCAAATTTCACTACTTCCCTCTCTTTCCTCTAACTTTCTCGGCAAAAGTTCAGTGAAATCAAAATCTGATTCCTGCGAATTGCTCTGTTTTCTAATCAAGATCAAGATTTGGTGTAATGGAGGGAAGAAGGCCGAAACCAGTTCGGGATTTGCCGGAGACAATCCATTCATTACTCGGTTTGAAATCTCATTTGACTTCAGCTTGGGTTAAATCTGTCTGCAACATCGTCAAGAATGTTTCATCTTCTGAGATTTCTTCATCGTCAAAGGAAGAAGACGACTCTGCTTTCATCGAAGTACAGAGCCTTAGAGGTACTTCTCTCGGATTCCCCATTTCCCCATTTCCCCATTTGTTAAAGATTTTTTTCTCTTTCTGGTTTTTTGTTCTTCAATTTTTTTTTGGTATTCTCTTCTGAATCAAATTCTTGTTTTCTTGTGAAAAATTAAAATCCTTTGGTGGAGATTACCTACTACATGCAAAGCATCTGAACCGTTGGATCACATGTTCTTGTACTGTATTAAAGTGACGTGGCAGTCATCTAACGGCTCTTTGATCATTCGTTTTCACATTTTTTTCATTTTACAATTTAAGTGGGTTCAATATTTCTGTAGTCAAGATTTCTACCGGATAATAAATACTTAAAGTCAAGATAAGATTTGTCAACTCCGGGTTTTATTATGTAGATTTTTATTTTTTTGGTATTATATTATGTAGAATTAATTTGAGAATGTATATTTAATTCAGATAGTGATACTATATCAAAAATTCCAACAAAGTTTCAATTTTTACTTATGGGTTTCACTCTGTGTCCTCTGTTTTTGTGTTACAGATAAACTCTATGCACTAACAGTTCAAGTAAATGATCAGAGCAAACAAAGAAGACGGATTCTTAACGAGTTTTTGGACCTTAAAGGTCAGTATTCGATTTTTTTTTTAAACTACGATTTATACTGTAAATTCCAAGTTTAAGAGTCTAGTTTCATCGATTTCGATTTGGAAAATTGGTCAGGAAACATTCGTGTGTTTTGTCGAGTAAAACCCTTGGACTCCCAAAACTTGAGAGCACCAGTTGCTTCGGATACAAGAAACGTTGTCCTAAAGTTAACAGAAACCAAGAGGAAAACCTACAACTTCGACAGAGTTTTCCAACCTGATTCATCACAAGGTAAGTTTCTTACAAGCTTCATAGTGGCGTACACTATAATCACGACGTCGTTTAGTGGAAGTTCATTACAACGTCATTTACAATTGATTACGCATACATTAAAGTGTTCTTGAAGATATATAGTATACAAATTTTTTGCAGATGATGTTTTCTTAGAGATCGAACCAGTAATAAAATCGGTTATCGATGGATACAACGCCTGCATTTTTGCGTACGGACAAACCGGTACTGGGAAAACTTATACAATGGTAAGAAGGATCAATCAAAAACATCTCTTTGATTACCATGTTGTTTCCATCTCTTAAAGTTGATATTTAAATATTGGGATGAATATTTATGCAGGAGGGTCTTCCGAAATCTCCAGGTATTGTTCCTAGAGCGATAAAGGGATTATTCAAACAAGTCGAGGAAAGCAATCATAAGTTTGTGATCAACTTTAGTATGCTTGAGATTTACATGGGAAATCTCAGAGACTTGCTTGTTTCTCAAGCAACTAAACCCATTGATCCAATACCTCCAAGGTAATAATACTCATAATAACATGTGCAGAGAATATCCATTGAAGGATCGGGTTTGGAATGCAACTCAATGAGTTTTGTTTCTCTGTTTCAGTCTTCTGATTCACACAGACGCAAAGGGAGAGGTAGACATCGAGAACTTGGTGACTATTAAAGTGAAAGACTTTAATCAAGTCTTCAAGTTATACAAATTAGGTTGTCGAAACAGAGCAACTGCCTCCACTAACTCTAACTCTGCATCCAGCAGATCACACTGGTAAGACCTCAAAATTTTGATTTTTGATTTTTTTTTCCTCTTACCCTATGTTATTTGATCTCTCATATATGGATGAAAATCATGGAACAGTATGATCCGAGTATCGATCACTTGTCTTGGAGCTCCTGAGAGGCGGCGTGAAACAAACAAGATTTGGCTAGTGGATCTTGGAGGAAGCGAGCGCGTGTTGAAAACTAGAGCCACTGGTCGTCGTTTTGATGAAGGCAAAGCCATTAATCTCTCTTTATCTGCTCTTGGAGATGTCATCAACTCTCTTCAACGCAAGAATGGTCACATTCCTTACAGGTAAACATATCCTCTCTTTTTTATGTAACCCTTACTACATTAATCTCTGAAACTTTTGAGTTTTTTGTTCTTTGTATTTCAGGAACAGCAAGCTCACACAGGTCCTGAAAGACTCCCTCGGTAACTAAGATCTTCCGAAAGATCTTGATCTTAACTGAAGTTATTTGCTCTCTTCTCTGAGTTTCTTTCCTAGTTTTGCAGGGCAAGACTCTAAAACATTGATGCTTGTTCATATCAGCCCGAAAGAAGATGATCTGTGTGAAACCATATGCTCTCTGAACTTCGCAACGAGGGCAAATAACATCCATTTAGGACAGGACGAATCAAAGGTAATGGAAACATTAACTTGCATAACACATCAACTTACCCTAGAGTGTAACAATCTCTGATGGGTTTAGGATTCTTTTGATGCGTAGGAAGAACAAGAGAAAAAGGAGGCTGTGTTGATGAATCTGCAGAATATGATGGAAAAGATCGAGCAAGAGCGTGAGACAACGTTAAAAGAGATCAGATATCTAAACGAGAGATTAGAGAAACTCTCTGGGAAGCCTCATTTTACTGAGGAAGAAGAAGAGGATGAGATAAGAGAAGAGATTCAAATTACCCCGAAGATACCAAAAAACAAATCAAGACGTGCTTCAGATGTTTTTCCTAGCTTCATGAGACCAACAGCTAGTAGCAACAGAAGATTATCAGGGACAGATTTCAGCGTAATCTCCAATGGTCCAGGCTTTAAGTCTAGAAGAAACTCAATGATATCTGTCCGAGCTGAATCTGTGTGTCTTCCGGTGAAGAAGAACGGATTTGATTCCGCGTGTGGCTCATCAGAGAGGAGCGTTTCGAAGTCCATTTGCTTTATGCGTCCGAATACAGCGGATGATGCAGCAACGGTTTATAGTCAGGACATATCTGAATGTGATATTAAGTTGGTTGTGTCGGAGCACAAACCAAAGGTACTGCAGATGGGCCCCGGATCTGCAAACAAATCTCGCTCCAAGATCGGTTTCTTTGAGAAAAACGTTAACCAGAAAGAGGGTGGAACAGAGTTCTCAAGGATTAACAGTTGGCTTCATTCGCAATCCGAAAACAGGAGTTACGTGCTTGACAAGAAACGACTTCCTGCAACTCCTTTCCCGGCTAAACCGGGCAGACTAAGCAGAGACAGGTCGCTGGATCAGTCATCTACAAAGAGGTTTACAACGGAGAAAATCACTGGCACTGAAATCGTTGAAGAGTTCAAAACAGAGGAAACAGGGATTAAACCTACACCGATGCTTAAAGATCTGTTTGAGCTGCAATGTCTATGTTCTTCTGAAACAGAAGATCAGATTCTGTCCAGATACTTAAATCCTGACGACGAAGAATCTCTTTATCCTCCAAGCTTAGTATATGATGGACTTAGCCAACACATAGACAATGTATGGTTTGGAGTTGATCACAGCTCGGATTGGGAGCAAGATTCACCGGCCTCGATCTTGCTGTCAGAAGGAAAATCTGATCTCAAACAGCTCTTACCGGAAACGGGTTTGGATCAATCGCACAAACCGAAATCTGAGAGAGTTTTGGGATTCACGGAGGATGTAGCTCCACCATTGCGTAGACCACAAGAAATCATGGGCGGGAGAGGTAAACAATTTGGACCGACGTTTGTGTGTTTCGTGTAGATCTTATCTTGTGTTTTTTTGCTTCTGAGATTCCGTATTTTGGTTGCAGGAAAAGCTCATAGGTTTATGCGGAAACTTCAGGCTTTATGCTTCCGTATTCTTCTGGGATTAGGGTTTATTGATGTGGGCTATGGTAACGACTTCTTCAACGGGTTAACGAAGTAAAGACAAAGAACAGCAGGCAGTCTTGATCCCCCAATTTTTTTTGTTGAATAAAAGAGAGTTTTGTTTAGTGTTTAATGATTCAGTTTTTGTTTTTAATTTTTTTGGAGGAGATGCCAGTTATAGTTTTGTTGTTCAATGCTTAGGAAAAACCTGTCATATCTTAATTTTTTTGGTAATGGCATATTTCAGAAAAATTGTTTCCTTTTTGTTATAAGTATGTGAATACCCGCATGTAACGTGCGGATTTTTTTCATCAACTATTTCAAATATATATATTTTGTATTTTCTTAAAAAAATATAATCATTATTTATTATGTGTTAGTATATTATTATAAATCCATCAATTTTAAATATAATATCATTAAAAATCAAAAGTTTATAACATAAATTCCGTGTTTAATATTTACATAAATGTTATTTAAAAATCAATTAATAGATTTTTTCTTATTTTTGAGTAGTTTAAATTTAATATTAAAATTTATTAATTAATTTTTCTCTTTAAACTGTAATTTTAAATAGCTTTTTTCTTCAACTATTTCAAATTTATATATTTGTATTTTTTTAAGTATGATCATCATTTGTTATTTGTTAGTATATTATTATAAATCAATTAATTTAAAATATAATATTATTAAAAAACAAAAAATGATTAAAAAATACTAATTTTTAATTAATTATAACATAAATTTTTGTTTAATATTTACATAAATGTTATTTAAGAATCAATTAACAAAAATACTTTTCATTTTTTTGAGTGGTTGAACACTTAATATTAAAATTTATTAATTAATTTTCTTTAAAAACTATAATTTTAAATAAAAAATGACACATGTCATTCCCATATCAATTCTCAAATGATGATATGTCACTCATATGGAAAAAGTTGAGCAATTTTTATATATAACTAGATGAGTACCCACGCATATGCGTGGGTTTTCTTTTTAATATTTTTATAATGTTTAAAACTGAAGTTTAGTTTTATCCTTAAATTTCAGTTTACAATTCCTTCACTATATCACACATTTCACGCATGAAGAATTCGAAGGCAAACATTCTAGCAAAAAAGCGCTTGTGTCCACCTACAAATTATTATTTACATAAATTCGATATCTTCGGTTTGGGTAACCAAACCGTTCTAGGTATCTAGACTGTCGATCAAAAACCAAAAGAAACTGAAATTAAATTTAGATTTTTGATGATGTTAAAAAAAAAATTTAGATTTTTGGTTTTTTTGGACTGGCCATATATATGTTTAGAGAGATTAGTTGTTAACTTGTTTTGTTAAAGTGATTTTGTTTTAATTAGTTTTTTTCTTGACTTTTTTTTTGGTTTTATGAAATCTTATGAGAAATTTTCTCTATTAAGAAACGTTGTCTTCAATTAAACGTGAAAAATTATCTTGAACATTATAAACAAAGATATGAGAATCCAGCAAATACTAAATATTATGATTAGGAACCTAAGAGGTATATTCTCAAAATAAATGGATAACTTTATTCCATAAAATTTTCATATTCTCATTGGCAAAACCGTCACAATATCCACTAAAATTAGAAAAGTTAGGAAATGAATATAGCATGAAAATCTGTGATATTTCATACTATATATTATCTTTTGCATCACAGGTAGAGTTTAGAACTTTAGATAAGCATGACCAGCTATCGTAAAAGCTTACCAAATACGTCTTTCTCCATTTTCACCATCGGATTTGGCTCTTGCCGCTCCAGTGGCTTTTTATTGCAGTACTTGGGAGAACCAATACTCCAACTCCAAGATCTGATGGAGATAAAACAAGCTACATTTCATGCACATAAAATGATATAAATTATATTTATCTTTTCTCCACAAAGATTTCTTTAATTATTATTCATTAAGACGAGATTTTTATCATTTCTTGTAAAAACATAGATATTAAAAAATTTACTAATGGATGTAATAAGTTTTTCGGAGTATTATTTTTCTCCCTTAAAATTTTCTCTAAAACAAAAATAAATAGAATATATAACTTACACCAGCTTAACTTAAAACAAAGTTTTTAGAAATTATTATTATAGCTTCGTCGCCGAATTATTATTATTTTAGAAATTATTATTATAACTTTGTCTTGCTATTTACTCTTCACAGAATTCTCGAAACTATCATACAAAATCTTCTTTTTAAAAGCAAAATTCTTCTTTTCCTTTAAATGAACACAAACGATGGTATTAAATGTAGATGTCTCTGCCCATGACCAAGAAATAAATCTTAGACCGTGGATTTGTGAACAACATTCACTTTAGTAAGCTTCTATATAGAAATTTGCATAAGTTACAACGTGCAAGCTGTAGATTAGAGATTTATTAAAAAATCTTAGATAATATTTACTTTTTTCCATGTCTTCTCCTCTATATTTGCTGATTATTTTTTATGCGTTGAAACATGAGTAACCAATATTTAAGACAACGTTTGAAGCATCATTAAAAATAGGAAGCATCAAAAATGGGAGTCAAAAAGCCATGAGGCCCATGATGGTAAATAAATCAGTGCACAGAAATATGAACATAAAAGTAATTAGCTTAAATTAATTAGAGTTTTACTAAAGTTTTTAAATAACAAATAAATGAGTTGATGTGTCATTCAAAGGAGTGCTGATGTGTCAAGTTTGTGAGACTCAACTGAGTCTTTATATAATAGATATATATATTAAACATCTCTAAATCAACAAAAAGGAAATAAAGCTTAAGATGGTAACTGATCTGACGGAAAATAGTCGCTCTTAATAATTGTTCTGGTCAAAACCTGCCGCCGATTTTAATTCCGGCACAGCTGATGGTGTTACATTCCGGATAATTTTTTAGGGTTCGAGATCTCTGTTTGGAATTGTTGTTCTAACATAGAGCTACAACATATCTGGGTCACCTTTTGCAACGATTTTGAACAGTCTACTGATTGATATCAGCAAGAAATCTGTCGTCACAAGTTCATCCTACAACGAGAAGAGAAGCTGAGCTAATTAGCAACTTGGCGGATGATGATAAGGTGCAGAGAGACAAGAACGAGAGTACAGATTGTGAACAATTGGCGTAAACATAGGCATGCAAGGCTCTTCTTCTTCAATGGTTGCATGTGCACAGATATTTCTGTTGCTCTTCTTGAGGCCACTTCCAGTGAAGCTAATTAAGTCTAATTAAGTGTGGTCTTTGAATAAGAGAAACATTGTGGAAGAAGCATATTATCATAGAGAATTGTGAAGAAGTGGACTTGGTGATCAAGGGAAACAATGCAAATTCTCACAAAAAGCATTGGTTCTGGATCAAACATAACAATGCTATAAGGAACCTAAAGCAATCCTTAACAAGAATATGGTTCACGGCCATAACATATATAAGATCCTTGGTCTGTTGGTCAGTGAAAAATACACCCTCCAAACCATGTTCTATTCCAGGCTTCAATTTTTCTATTTATGTACAAGCACAGATTGTTGGGCTCCGTTAAATTCATAGCATCAGCAACCCAAAGACTTTCATGGATCTCTTATTCAATATTTTAATATTATAATTGAATTAGAGATTTTCTTGTGAGACTTATATAATTTGCATGGTGCAATGTAGAAACTCATCGAAGGATTGAAAAAAAAAGCCCAAGCAAAATAATTATATTTTCCCCATATTTTTTGACCTCTAGACACGTGACATCTGGCCCAAGAGACGTCTCTCCCCGTCGCCAGATAAAGACGTTTTTACAATTTAAGCCCAACTTTCTCAACTTTTATCTCTATATTATTATTTGAGTAAAACATTTTAAAATATAACCTTTATTTTGTAAAATATTACATGATATGTCATTACAAATAACAAAAAATAATTAAAATAGGAAAGGATATAGTTGTCTTTCAACTCTATTGCTAAAAATATGGAAAGTCTTTATTTCTCACTTAATAGAGTATATTTATTATTTAATTTCTAAATTCAAAAATCTGATAGTTTTTATTATTTCTATTTTCAAATGATATTATAAAGTATATTTAATTAAAACCGTGAAAATAAAATTTTGAATTTAGAAATATTATAAAAGTCAAAATTAAAAGTTATGATATTAAAAAAAGTGGTGAAGTGTTTTTTTCAATAATTTGCTACATTTGATTGATTATATACAAAAATACCTTTTTAGTTATTTTACTAAAAATTTGATATGAAAAATTGATTTTTAAATAAAAAAAGTTTGTGGTGAAATAAGAGTTATTAAACGGTGAATATTATAAAGTTTAAATAAAAAAAACGGTGAATATTATAATTAATTATTAAATTTTAATCCAATACAAATATGTTAAGTAAACGGGTTAGTTCGATATGAACAGATTATAATTTTAATTTTTTAATACCCACAAAAAATCTCAAAATTCAAAATATTAATTTTTAAAATAAGTAATATATTCAATCTACTAAATTATATATATTTTAAATTAAATATAATTTGTTGTATATTTATTTATTATAAATCAAACCTAAGTGTAAAGAATATTATATTATTTTCATATATAGTTAAAAAGATAAAATTAAATTTTTATAGTTAGTGAACAGATTATAAATGTCAATTATTAAACTATGCAAATTAGAGTTGATGATTATAATATTATAATTTTTATATAATAGCTTAGATAATATTTTAGTTTAGTGCCAACGGGTTTAAAACAACTTATTTTGCTTTACACTCTTATAAAATAACTTCATATACGGATTAACTCATTTTTTATAATTCAAAAATATATATATATATATAGATCAATTCATTATTTAAAATTCACAAAAATATGTACTATATTATTGTAAACTTTATAACAATAACTGTTTTTACAAAATAACTGTTTTCATCAAATTATTTAAATTAATTAAAAATTAAAAATATATCTCCGGCGCAAATTAATCCCTAGTTATTAAAATATTTGAAGAGACCCATTAAACGACCCCGTTAATGATTGTCTAACGCTCACGGGCACGTATCAGATTTTCATAAAAAAATATTGCCGACAAAAAATAGATTCATTCAAAGTACGAAAAAATGCAAATAACGGACGAAAGACGTTGGTTTAAATCATATATGGGTTCTGAGCCCAAAGAAAATTCAAAGCCCAGAAAAAAAAGAAAGAGATAGGGTTCGGTTCCAAGAGGTTTCTGAGTAAATGGGAGAAGATCTGTCTGTGTCGTTTGGAGAGAGAAAATCTGATGGAAAATCCTAGAAATTTCTTATTGACATTTTAGATTTTTATTATGAAAAGGAAAGTGTCGAGGTTTTTGAGTATTAGCTAGGAGAAGATCTGTGTTGTGGTGAGAGAGAATATCCTTTTCCTTGATCTGATGAAAATTCTCCTTATTGAAATTCTAGATTGAAGGAAAGGAAAATGTTGAAATTCTCCTATGTATTTGTTATTACTTGCAGTATATATAATAAGCCTCTGTATCTCATCAATGGCTACGGAGACAAGGCAAGAATGTGGAAAAGACGTCGCTTGATGATGGAATGCGGTGCCACACGATGTCGTAGAGCTTATCTTGGAGAGACTTGCGGTGAATTCTCTGCTGAGATTCAAGGCTGTGTCGAAGCAATGGAAATCAACGATCGAATCACCAGTCTTTGAAGAAAGACAGTTGAAGAAGCGACAGCAATCAGGAGATCCAGATGTACTCTTGGTGTCAGGATGTCCTCACCCGCCGGACATAGAATCTCTAAGAACACTGGTGTTGGGTTCATCCTCATCGGTCAAGATCCCTACTCCTTGGGAGAAGGAAAACAACACGCAGTACTTCGTCTCCTTTGATAGCTGTGACGGTCTGGTTTGTCTTTATCATCACAAACAATCAGGGTTTGTGGTCAACCCCACCACTAGATGGTTTCGCCCTCTTCCTCTATGCCAATTTCAGCAACTCATGATCGACTTACGAGAAAGTTACTTCGAACTTGGACACTCATTCTTTAAGCTTGGATTCGGTAAAGACATATCCAGAGGCACATACAAGCTCATTTGGCTATACAACTCTTTAGAAATAGGCCTTGAAAACGCTACTACATGTGAAGTTTTCGACTTTAGCACCAACGCTTGGAGGTATGTCACTCCTGCTTCTCCTTATCGGATTGCTGGTTGTGCCGATCCCGTTTTTGTACATGGGTCGCTTCATTGGTTCACGGAATGCCAAGAAACCAAAGTTCTATTTTTTGATCTTCACACGGAAGCTTTTCAAGTCGTATCTAAAGCTTCTTTTGCAGCCAATCCAGAGCGTACTCCTTACGATATCGTCATGTGTATCCGAGAAGAATAGCAACCTCGACATCCAAGTGATATGGTCGTTCAATTCCAGCAACAATACATGGGACAAAATTTGTTCCATAAATCTGCTTGTAATTTCTATTATTTATGGTAGCCCAACATTATGCGCGTTCCATCCACTAGCACTTTTGGATGGGAAGAATAATACTAATAAGAAGAAGAAGAAAAAGGAGTTGCTGTTTTATGATCTTGTGCAAATGAAAACACTGATGACCCATGACCCTGAAACCGAGAATGATCTTGTTGTTTTTGATGCTGAATCCACTGGATATTCTGTTTGTTATTTCCAGAGTTTAATCTCTATTTCATAAATTTGGTTAATGTAACCTTTGTTTCTTCCATCAAAACTATGTCCTTGTCCAAGATTTCAACTCTTCAAGTTATTGCTTGTTTGTTATATATTGCTTCAAGGGATTATACATTTAATTAACCAGCAAAGAAAAACACATGCATAAATGTTTCTTCGATCCTACCTATTTCACGTAACTCCTGTTTTCGGATTGCAAATGAAGCCAACTGTTTAATCCTTGAGAACTCTGTTCCACCCTCTTTCTGGTTAACGTTTTTCTCAAGAAACCGATCTTGGAGCGGGATTTGTTTGCAGATCCGGGGCCCATCTGCAGTACCTTTGGTTTGTGCTCCGACACGACCAACTTAATATCACATTCAGATATGTCCTGACTATAAACCGTTGCTGCATCATCCGCTGTATTCGGACGCATAACGCAAGTCGACTTCGAAACGCTCCTCTCTGGTGAGTCACACGCGGGATCAAATCCGTTCTTCTTCACCGGAAGACACACAGATTCAGCTCGGACAGATATCATTGAGTTTCTTCTAGACTTAAAGCCTGGACGACCATTGGAGATTACGCTAAAATCTGTCCCTGATAATCTTCTGTTGCTACTAGCTGTTGGTCTCATGAAGCTAGGAAAAACATCTGAAGCACGTCTTGATTTGTTTTTTTGGTATCTTTGGGGTAACTTGAATCTCTTCTCTGATCTCATCCTCTTTCTTTTTTGGGGACAAGAGAAGTACTCGCAAGAGAAGTACTCGCCTCTTTCATGGCACAAGTCTGGTATTATAGAAAAGGAAAAAGCATACCACATGAGTTCTTTGAGATGTAAATCCAGGGCGCGTGTCTTATGCATTGGGAAACATTGGCCTATGGCCTAATTTAAATAAAATATCTATAAAAGTTTATTTTTTTACAAAATCTATTATATTATAATTTCACGTTTAATTTTTGTTCATTCATAAAAGCATTAAAAAAAATCTAATTAATATTGCTTGTAAATTTATAAATTGTTATACAAATTATCTTTCAACAAATTGATTTGCAATTTCTGATTTAGTGGTCAATATTAAGATTAATTGGATAAGATGTTTATAGCGAATTTGTATGTTGTTATTTGTGGTGATTATGATCGTATTTTTAATTTTTTTTAATCAGACATTATATTATAAAACTAGATTTGTTTTTAAACGAATAAGCTAAAAAATCAAACAAAGCAAAAACTACATCATCTAAAGTCTTCTACCAAATTTATTCAAAATAAATGAAAATTATAAATTCTAAATTACAATTTGAGATCACCTTTATATTGACTAGTTCATATCAAAAATTTAAAGTTAAGCTAGTTTTGGACTAATTTAATATAATCAAAAAGTATATTTAATCAAAGTGAATTTTTGGCCGGTTTATAGTATTTGTTATTTTGCTAATAATTAATATTCAATAAATTTTGTTAAGCATAGGACGAAACTAAAAAAAATAGTTCATAAAATACATTTGTGAAACTTTGAAGAGTTATTAAGTTTTTCATCCAATGAACATCGAAATTGATTTACTACAAAGACTTATTAAGTTCATTTATAGATGAATATTCTTCTCACATGCCTAAACTAAAATTGGATAAACTAAACCAATATTCACATATTACACTATTTTGTGTGTTGATGTGGATACAAATTCATTTCACATATGTTTGAGTATTTGAATTTATAATATTTTCGAAGGCCAATATGTTCACATACTTACTGTTTTATATAGTTTAGTAAAATTAGACAAATGATTAAAATCTCAGACCAATTCTTGCACAATCATTTTGTTTTGTTTTTAATTTTTTAAAACTTATGACTGCCTCTACTTAGGATCTTCATTAGTATAGGTACGGCTCTATGTAAATCAAAAGAAAAAACGTAAACCCTCTAAGCTTGAAACACAAAACACAAACCTTTTCTCATCTTCACTAATTGCCATAGCAAGCTTCAAAAATAACTGATTGCACTGCTGATTAATTCTTCTGCAAATAACTTTTTTTTCTCATATAAGAAATTAAAGGTTCATTGAATTCTATCGGCTTCCATGTCATCGCCGATATATCTCAAAAATTTTCTTTGCAGTGGTGGATGTGGCAGTGACGACGTGGGCATGGCTGAAAGCACCCAAATCTCTCTTTAAGCATACGCCTTTACCCTTGGCGTAAAAAACACAAAGTTTTTTTTCGGTAGAATTGAGAAAAACTGAATATTGAGGAGAAAATTAGGTCTAATCGAGGAGCGTTTATTTAGGAGAGAAAAAACAGAGAAAATTATAGGAGTGTTATTTATTATTGTTAAAAATAAATATAGCCGTTTTTTCAAGGAGAGGAAATTAGAAGAGTATAGACCGCTTTTTTGAATTTTAAATTAAAATGAAATGAGAGGGTTTTCCTTTTTCTCTCTTTTGTTTCTAGCGACCGTTTTCATCAACTTACGTAACAAAAAAAAATTACTACTCCGAAATATGGATAACATTATATTTAGCTCAAAACTGAAGAAGCCTAAATAATATAAACGTTTGGTCTGATTTACATCTAACAGAAAATTATATGTTATGTTAATCAACTTTTCTTTCGTTGTGGACTTCAATAGTTCAAAGAAAGTAACGTCAACTAAAAAAAAATCAAAGTTATAATTGGCATTTCAAATAATTGTAAAGTCGCAGATAGGCATGGGCAAAATATCCTGAACCGAATCGGAACCAAATGATAGATACTAGTCAAATATTGTAATTAATTTGATTGATATGATTAGATTATAGGCTTGTCAATCAAAGGAGAATCCCGTTAATTAAGTCTCTTGACCTCTGTATATATTGATGTAATTGGTGGTGAATAAACTTCAGGGAAATTATTCAGATTTCATGGTATCAGAGCTTTTTGGCTAACGCCACTGAACCATTTTTCTCCCTCTCTCATTCTTTCTTCCTCTCTCGCTCTCTCTCATTCTTCAGATTTCACCAAACCACAATAGAATTATAGGTATTTCAATAAGAGGTGTTAGGCATTTCCATGAGGTTGTTCATCAATAAGTGGTGGTCACTGCTCATTATCTGGTATTCTATTTTGTTTCAATCCAAGCCTTGTTTTGTCGTGAATCTGGACTAACTTTACATCTTGGGATTCTTTCCTTTTTTATAGTACAAACTAGTTGTGGTGCTCAATACGAAACTTGTTTCAACTGAGGACAAAACTTGGTCTATAATTGTGATTTGTGGTTAATGATAGTATAGTTGAACTGTAGACTGTAGTTTACAAATTACACACTTCAAATTAGGAAAGGGTTAATTAGCAAATCATTAGTATGCACCCCACTTGTGGAGTGAGTGGTTAATTATTTTAAGTGTAGATTGCAGGCATTGGCAAGCCCTTGACGATGCCACAGAGGTTAGTGTTGAGGGGGATGTTGTATTCGTCCCTTAGCGATTTCTCAGGTGACAGAACGCTCGCATATAACTGTTGACCAAGGTATCTCCTCTCCCAGTTCTCAGACCTGATGTTCCACATACCTGCGTTGTCGAATGTCAGTAGAATAGCTGACCAAGACTTGGGGTATACTTGCACCGTGTGTCTGCTAACAGCATCCAGCAAGTTGTAGTTCTTTCTCTTTTCAGGTGTCCACCTCCCTGGCTCAGAACTAGGAAACAAGAACAGCAAAAAGTTAGTTAGAAAGAGAGAGTTAAAAGAAAGAAAGAAAGACAAAGCAAAAGGGATCACAAAAAAGAGCCTTACGCGACTGCAAAGAAGGAGTAACCATCCAGATGGAATGATTGCATACTCTTCTCGTGGTTCTCGAAAATGATTTCTACAAAGGTACGGAAAGTGATGTTGAGCACATTCGGTTCTACTGTCAATGCTGTGATTTTGGCTGCTGGCTCGTCCTTGATCACGTTGTACTTGAACACCTTCTCTGCCATTTGGAAGTACTCTGCCAGCTTTAAAGGAGTCTCGGTGTCAACGTGTGATACACTGTTGAAGCCAAACCTGACTTTACCGTTCACCATGTTCTTAGAGCTGACAAGCTTGATGCTACGGGTGATGTTGATCTTTCCATAATGGTACGAGCCCTGCGGGTTGGGCCTTGCAGCACTAGCGGTGAGGTTCCACCTGAAGGATCTGAACTGGTTCAAAGACCAAGCCCAACCAACGGGAGCCTTGGGGAGCTCAGCTGAAGCCTGGACGTTGCTTCCTGCGTACCGGATCACACCAACGGTGCTCAATTCCTTCTTTAGGAACCTAGTTGATGCAACCATGTAGTAGTCCTTAGCTGCCTGGTCAGCAGTCACAAGAACTGAAAAGCACTGGCCAACATGGACATCGAGTGAGTCATAGTCGTTCTGAAGAACATGAGAGCCTTCCATCTCCACAAGCTTCATCTTGTGGTTCTGGATCCTAAAGTTAAGAGTAGACTTGAATCCAACATTGCATAGCCTGTACTTGTAGGTCTTTCCGGGCTTCATCGTGAACAAAGGCTCGTTGTTTCCTCCCACCTTTCCGGACTTTCCATTGATCAAAACACCGTTAGGCAAACCAAGGGTGCGTCCACTGTCAAGGAAGTTCTTGAGAGCGGTGTGGCCACTTGTGTACCAGTCACCGAGAAGGACAGTGTAATCATCCTCAGGGTCAGCATAAGGAACAGGAATAAGGAGACGGCTGTTTACACGGAGACCACCAAAACCACCAGCAAACCGGTGGAGAGAAGTGGTCGGGTAGTAGAAGTAGGAACCGATCTGGTCCTTGGGCTGGAAGTGATAAGTAAAGTTCTGTCCTGCTGGGATGGGGCATGAAGTCCCAGCCACACCATCTTGCCAGCAGTTCTTCCTGTGCTGAATCCCACTCCTGCAGTCACAATCCCATCATTAATACTCATTTCTTTTTCTTTTTTCCTAAGGTAAATCATGAACCGGTCTGTTCCCTCGAGATCAAATAATGGGTACTGTGGCTCAAGCTTTAGAACGAGGAGTGGACTAAAACTGTCTAAACTGAAAATGATCCGGTCCTTGAAAACAACCCTAATAACATATAATCAGAAACTAGCTAAAGAATGGGGATATATGGATACGTACCAGGTCAAGAGGAAAGGCTCGTCTAGGTTGTTGAAGACATTGATGACGATGTTGTTGTTAGAGGTTGAGTTTAGGTTAGGACCAGGAAACTGGCCGTTGATGAGAATCACCTTTTGAGGAACACCGAGAGGTGAGGCGGTTCCGTAGGTTACATTCCATGTATAGAAGAAGTAAGGATCGCCGGCGTTCACTATCGCCACCGTAGAGACGAGGCAGACCAACACCGTCAATAACCTCCCCTCCATATTATTATTTTTTATTTTTTCTCTTTTTCTTCTAGAAAAAGAGATTAATTTTACTTTCTGTGTTACGTATAATTAACCCTTTCCTTTGAGGAATCCTCTTGTAACTTGGGTGATTTGAAGTATTTATGAAGGGTAAACATAACTTCTTTCGCAAGTTATCGTCACCATATTTTACGCTTCATCTCTAATTCAATTTTCTATATGTGAAAATGGTGATGCAACAAACAGTTTTCTCTCTCTTTCTCTTTCTGGTTTTTAAGGTTCCAGAACTTTTTGAATTATTACAACTCGGATTGTATTCTAATATTGGAAATGTCCCTAACGATGTCAATAACTGGTTCACACGTCAAATGAATTGTTACCCGAAAAATGTTGTCAAGACAAAATTCGTGACTAAACAAATATAATCGTTTGAGTTAACTTTTTATGAACTTGTGAGGAATGAATTAGCGTTGAATAAATAACCCGAGTTATAATTATTTGTGGTTTTCAGAATTTGCGACCGGGTATTTTATTTATGAGACTATTTTTTCGTCTCAAAAGCTTAATTGATTTCCTTGTAGTGACTGTGCTTTGTAGTCATGTAATGTGAACTGTACTTCAATCACTGACCCATCATTCAAAAATAGGTTGGTTCAAATACCTTTTTCTTTAAGTTGAAAATCTCATATTTGCTTTTTAAAAAATTATTTAATGTATATTTAACTATCAATACAATCAAATTTGAAAACATTATTTTTAGACATATAAAATGTTAGAAAATAGTCAACTAATTAAAGTTTGATAACTATTTTATCCCCACTGCACGATTACTGTTCTTTATTGTTGACAAAACAAATTTATTAAGTTCTTATTCAAAATTTGTTTTGTTTGTTTTTTATTGCTTTTTTGGGTTAAATGTGAAAATACTATTAGATGAAGCTATGAAAACAGAACTTTGTAGTTTATAAAAAGAATAATAATAATAATTTTAGCAAAATTTGAATCAAAACTGATATGCTAGCTATGAAGAAGGAACCATCGACGATTTGGAGCTTGATTGATTTACTTAATTTGAATATGTACTGCTTGATCCATCCGATTTGCATGTTCCATGTTAAACCATATTTGTTCACCCCATCAACTTGTTTCACTATGTTCTCGATTTCTCACGTCAAATCAATTACTAGTCATCACTAGCTCATTAATTAGTTTGTATAACTATTTTCAATCGAGCATAACTGAATATTTGTACAATCTTATTGCCAAATGACATTAAATCATCATAGCCAACCCAAATTGATTTGTCTAGGAAATAAAGTTTAGTCATATGCGTTATTACTAGACCACACGTATATGAACAGACTCACAAATATATTCTTCAAAATGAGCAAAATACGCGAAGACACTGTGGGAAAAATATTCTAGAAAAAAAAAAAGTTACACCAAAAATAGCGAGAGGTCAAACTGAATATTCCTAATATGGACGACAGGGAGAGCGTGACGAGAGGACCTGAAGAAACGAGAAAAATAAGGAAACTGTAAATTCGATTAAACTATAAAAACGTCGTCTAACATTTGAAGGAGAAAAAAAAAACTAAATTCAAACCCCTCAAAAAAAAAAAAACATTACAAAACCAAAAAAATATCACTTTTTTTCTTTCTAACACTTGAAAAAGAAAATCAAAAAGTTTATTATCTAGTAAAGTTTAATATTGGTAATTAATGAAGGGAGGGGTTAAACTGTTGGCCGTGTGCCTATGCCTTGCGGTGGCGACCGTCGTCGTAGCGGAGGATCCTTACTTTCACTACGTGTGGAACGTGACGTACGGAACCGCATCTCCTCTCGGAGTTCCACAACAAGTCATTCTCATCAACGGTCAGTTCCCTGGTCCTAACATCAACTCAACTTCTAACAACAACATCATCGTTAATGTCTTCAACAACCTCGACGAGCCTTTCCTCCTTACTTGGTACGTTTTTCTTCATATATAGGGCGCTACGAATGGTCATTATATTTGGATATATATAATTCGGTTTTATTGTTTGGTTATCTAAAAATCAATATTTTATCAGTTTGAATTGTATATTAAATGAATAATTAAATCGTAAAATAGTCAAATGTTAGATGAACAATCGAACATAGTTTCTGTAAAATGTTAATAAAACGCTAAAATAAACAAAGTAGATCAATGATCACAGATTTTTATTTCTAATAATATATATACTTTTTAACATTTCAATAGAAAATTTTGAAACTGAAAAATTTGATGGAGAAGATGGTAAAAAAAAAAAAAAATTAGCATAAAGTTGTCAAAATATACAAAAAATGTAAATATTATTACATACTGTTTTTTCTCTATTTAATACATTTCGATTTTATTAATAGTCAATGCTGCCAATACCTTCTGATTCGGGTTTTATTTTGGCAAATTTATAAATAGGAATGGAATTCAGCATAGGAAGAACTCATGGCAAGATGGTACAGCCGGAACAATGTGTCCCATTCCACCGGGTAAGAACTTCACATACCATTTCCAGCCTAAGGATCAGATCGGTAGCTATTTCTACTACCCGACCACAGCTATGCATCGTGCCGCGGGTGCCTTTGGTGGTCTCCGTGTGAACAGCCGTCTCCTAATCCCCGTCCCGTACGCTGATCCTGAAGATGACTACACTATCCTTATCAACGACTGGTATACGAAAAGCCACACTCAGCTCAAAAAGTTCCTCGATAGTGGCCGTACTATTGGCCGTCCAGACGGCATTCTCATCAATGGTAAGGCCGGGAAAGGTGACGGCTCCGACCAGCCTCTTTTCACCTTGAAGCAAGGAAAAACCTACAGAGTCCGTATTTGTAACGTGGGTCTCAAGGCATCTCTCAACTTCAGAATTCAGAACCACAAGATGAAACTTGTTGAGATGGAAGGCTCACACGTTCTCCAGAATGATTATGACTCGCTTGACGTCCACGTCGGTCAATGCTTTGGTGTTCTCGTCACCGCGAACCAAGAACCTAAAGATTACTACATGGTAGCTTCCACAAGGTTCTTGAAAAACGCTTTGACCACCACAGGGCTCCTCCGCTACGAGGGAGGAAAAGGCCCCGCCTCTTCTCAGCTACCTGCGGCTCCTGTTGGTTGGGCTTGGTCTTTGAACCAGTTCCGCTCTTTTAGATGGAACTTGACAGCCAGTGCAGCTAGACCTAACCCACAGGGATCGTACCACTACGGAAAGATTAATATCACTCGCACCATCAAGCTCGTGAATACTCAGGGCAAGATCGATGGCAAGCTCAGGTACGCATTGAGTGGTGTCTCACACACAGACCCAGAGACACCCTTGAAGCTTGCTGAGTACTTTGGCGTTGTCGATAAGGTTTTCAAGTATGACAGCATCTCCGATAACCCTACCTCGGATCAGATCAAGAACATCAAGATCGAACCCAATGTTCTTAACATCACTCACCGCAACTTCATCGAAATTGTGTTTGAGAACCATGAGAGGAGCGTTCAGTCTTGGCACTTGGATGGCTATTCCTTCTTCGCTGTAGCGTAAGTAACACTCTACATCCCTTTTCGTGCACTATACGAGTAAAAAAAACTATAAATTCTAATTAAAGCGTCTTTCATTGTATTAAACAGAGTTGAGCCAGGGACATGGACACCAGAGAAGAGGAAGAACTACAACCTTTTAGACGCAGTGAGCCGACACACAGTCCAAGTCTACCCCAAGTGTTGGGCTGCAATCTTGCTCACATTTGACAACTGTGGAATGTGGAACATTAGGTCAGAGAATTCCGAAAGACGTTACTTGGGACAGCAACTCTACGCAAGCGTTTTGTCGCCGGAAAAATCTCTCCGGGACGAATACAATATGCCGGAGTCAAGCCTCCAATGTGGTCTAGTCAAGGACAAACCTAAGATTAACCCTTATGCCGGAGCCTAATTTTTGTTTAAGACTTTTATTTAACAGAAAAAAGAGTTTGTTTTTGTTTTGTTGAGACCAATTTGGAATCGAACGGATTATATTATGATTTTCGGATCTTTTGATTATTTAATTCAAGTTATTATTAATTTGCCATAAGACAATATTTTTTATACATATGCATGAATTGTGAAATGTATGTATGTTTTATTCCTTGAGTAAGACTTCTTCATCTAAACAATGAATTAATTAAACGGTAAGACTTCTTCTTCTAAACAAATGAATTAATTAAGGGAATCATTATTAACTTTAATTTGGCGTCCTTCTGTTTATTGTTTTATTTAATCATATATAGCTAAACCTTGAACTAATTAACGATATGAGTAGAGATAATGATGTAGCTTTTGCTACCTAATGATTTTTTTTTTCACATCTGAAAGAGTATATTATAATATCAAGCGATGTTACCACGTCGAATAAACCATAATTTAACCCGAAAATTTAACCTTTGAACAATAGTCACAAAACCGGTAAAGTTAGAAATTCTTCTGGAGCGAATAGCTCCCCCCCCCCCCAAAAAAAAAAAACAAACAACTACAAACTAAACATAAAACAAATTAACCAAAAACCAAAACATAAAAGGCAATAAGGCAGGCATGATTAACTCTATTAGGATCCAAAATAACAATACTTAAAATGAATTACAGTTGTAATCCGATTGTAACTTGTCAGAATGATAGGATATATCTATATATGTTTTTTTTTTGTAATAAATGAATGATCACGTTGACACCACATTGATATCGGGCCGAATGACTAGGGCTGTGATGAGGCCTAGAGAGTATCATAACACAAAATATCATACATTCACACTGCGATGTTATTCAATCATATTCAGATACACGAGAACTGCATGAGATTATCGTGTAGTAAATAAATGGATAGAAATATAATAGCGTGATAGGCTATAAAAAGAAAGAAAAAACAAATCAAACTTTTGTCGGGAAATTGTATATGCAGATAGCTAAATAGATTAGGGACATATATTGATATCTATGTGAGTTATTGAGAGTGGAGCTGACAAGGATCTTGACGTGCACGTGCTTGTCGCGTGCGACACAGATGAGGTGAAACGTTAAAAAAGCTTTCTTCTGCTCGTTTTGATCTTCAACCATAAGGAGACATATATCTCTCAACTTCAAGCAATTGAAAAGCTAACACAAAAAGCTTCACTACTTTTTTACCATTTTTTCTAATTTCTTGATAATATTGTGAATTTGATACACGTGTGTTCAAGGTCTTCACGTAAGTTAGCGCATGTAATTGTTAGCGATGGTTTGTTGGGAAAGGAACGTATCTTCTAAACGCATCAAATCTAATTGTTTAAGTCCAAAAAATCATTAATTAGGAACAGAAAGAATGTTCGTATTTTAATTATAGGAATGGCAGTGGAGGGTAGGAAGGAAATACCTCATTCCAATATGTCCCATCCAACGTGGCAGCCAAAGATACACAAAATAAAATAACAAATTTTACTTTTATTAATTGAAGGAAAGAAAGAAAATAAAAAAAGTGAGAAAGGCAAAAGTGTCAGCCTTTCGTCCAATCTTTTGGGTTAAACTTCCTGCCTCTCCCTTCCCTCATTTATTTCATTGCGTGCTTCTTCTTGTTCTTCTTTGTTTTTTTTTTATTTATTTATTTGTTTGTCCTACTTTCTAACTTATTTTTTTTTCACTGAAATTTTTTTTTTCTTATATAATTCAAAGATAGAATACAAAAGTAGAACACAATTTTGATACACAAAACCAGCGGAAAACAGGAATTCTCCAAAAACTAAATCCGATACATGGGATACATATAATAAGATACTAAAGTCAAAAGTAAAATTCTCGAAACATAGAAAAGTTGGAAGAGTACAATAGCGAAACTACATAACTCAAAAGAACGCTGATCAGGGGATTTACAACTTTAAACGAAAAAAAAAACCGAAGATAGAAAAAACCACGAAAAAATAGTTCAACTAAAATGATTAATCCAAACATAAAAGCCAATAACGCTAGTTTTTAACTATTATAGCACAATAAATCAATAAAAAAATTTAATGCTCATATAATAGCGCTATATTATGAATATTAATATATGGATGTCCACTATAAGGCCCATTACTAATATTGTATTTGTCTCACATTGGAAATTTGTGGTGATACCTAAGTCTTTGTAACACTATATATACTCCTCATTATCTCCGGAATAAGACACACCAATTTCTTTTTTCTCTTGATAACTGATTCACAACACGTTATTAGCGCGATCGTCTCTCGATCTATTCTCACACCGAAAAGGTGAGAGTTAGTTTAAATTTTTTTTTTCTCTCAAACCGAAAAAGTGAAAGTTAGTTCAAAATTTTATTTTGGGACGAGAAGTTTTTCTTTCCCCGAAGAATGAAGACTATGCCTCCTCCATGCTTAGGGTTTACCCTAAATCTGCACGATTTTATAATCTACACTATTTATGATCCGTTTTTGCACAAGAACATCATATATGCCCAATCTGTGCACACCTGGATTTTATCATAAATCGTTTTATACACGATTTATGCACGGCGAGATTATAAGAGCACAAGATATGCCCTATCTATGCACGGCGGCGAGGTTATATGAGCATAATATATGCTCTATTTATGCACGGTGAGATTATAACAGCATAATATAAATATATGTCCTATCTGTGCACGGCTGAATTTTTTCTGTTTTATTTGATAAGGTTTTCTAAAACGAAACAAATTATATCATGCTTTATCACGAAATTTACACATTCATATTATATGAAATTGTTTGATGAATTGATTGATTGATTTAAAAACTAGGTTAAAGGTAAAATATTAATGAATTAATGAATGATTGAAATATTATATGTGATTATATCCTGATTTATGATTTTTCAATTAATATAACTTAGCACATAGAGATGTTGCCAGAGTTTATAATATAATTGCTTTATATAAACTATGTTAAATTATTATTAATCTTCATATAAGTCCATAATTAATCATTTATGTGAGTAATATTAAATTAGATTAAATCCTTATTAGTAATCGTACTATTGTTATTAATTATGGTGATAGAATACGACAATCAAAATATTTTATTACATAAGTTTTGTGCTGGTTGGATATCATAATTGATTGAGTACAATTAAATTGTGTTAGTCAAAATCATTTGCTTTGTGATATTTGTTCAAATCGATGCATGCTTTAAGTGATAGAACATTTAACGTTCATAAGATAATTGCATCTGGGTTGATTATCATATTTTTTGAAATTTGAACAAATTTTCGTGATTATATTTATGTGATAATGCCTCTTTGTTGATCTTAAGATCGAGTACTTGACCAAAAAGATCCACAAAATTTTGAATCACCAAAATGTGATATTACACTCATTATGATTGGTTGAATCTAAAATAATGTGATTTAAAGTCTGCAGTGAGTTTGGCTCGGTTATGTTCAGATATTATGTGAAGATAATATCGTTGATCCAAAGATGTTAAAAGACATACTCTACCATTTAGAGAATGAGATGTTGTCTTGTAGACACAATACACTTTGAGAAGTGTTATAAACTTGTATATGGGTCTAAAAGAGGCTGAGCAACATAATGAGTTAAAAAGAGAAAAATCAGGATATACTTCTGATTTGAGATAGTCCATTCCCTGAAGTGAATGTGACACCCTATATTGAGAAAGAAAATACCACATGATTGATATAGGCCAAATATGGCTATGAAAGTGGTTGCAGACATAAATGTGGATATGGATATGGATATGGTCAAGGTCAAGGTTGAGGCCAAAGAGTTTCTTTTAAGAATTCTGATATTCACTAGAACTGAGAGAATAAAGATGGTAACATACAAGAGATATGTATATCATATGATGATAAAATAAACTAGTGTGAGTACAAGATGAGATTGTATAAAATATTAGAAGCTCCAGAAGAGCAGATATGATTGCCTATGAAAGGATTTGGAATCATTAATGGATTATACTTTCTTAAGTCTCAAAGGTCAAAAGGATCTAAGATATAATATAAAACCCAAGTTGGGTATGTTGTTGATCCTAGAGTGGGATTCGATTCGAGATGAATGGAACTGAAGTGTCATCATCATCTCGAGAGGGAGAATTGTAGAATCCCACAATTCTTAGTAAGTGGAACATCCAGAAGATCATGTTCACACTCATGTTCGATAAATCATGTGTACAGAAAATCTAAAAGATTTTAAGATTTATCAAGTTGAGACAATGAGTGAAGGAAATGATTAACATCTTCACATCATGAGTATTATCCAAGACAGTAAAAGTAATTTAGAGAAACTACTTGTATTCTCTATTGAATTGTACTACACTAGTATATGAGATATAAATGGATCTAGTAAACAAGAAGTTCACAGAAAATCTCACTGTTTTGGCATAACTGGTTAAGCCATTCCAGTTAAATAACAATGCGCAAAAGATCCAGAAGATTCTTATGTGTTTGGTTTTCACTCTCCAATAAATTTGGATATGTTAATTTTCTGGTACATACACAAAGAGATATTTTGGACTGATCACCCACTATGTATCTTTGTGAAAGTATTTGGTTAATTGATTAAGAGTGAAACCACATTGATTCGCATTATGCCAACGAATATTTTGAGTTCTCCCCATGGTTGGTTTTGGTCAGGAACCTGATGTTTCCCATCTAAAAGTTTTGGATAATTTTGCTCCACCACATTGATCTATGATGGGACCTCAAAAGAGGAATATATGTTGGATATGGATCTCCCTTGATGAGTAAATGTATTAAGCCATCAAATAAGGGATAAGATTAGAATTACAGACTGTAATTTCAGTGAGTCAGTCTTTCCAACAATTAAGGAAGGGAGAGAAAATAAACAGCTAGAAAATCAGTAAAAGAAATTATCTTGATCCTCTGAAAGAATGTGCACTAAAAGTTTGAAAGATAATTTATTTGCAAAGTTAAGCAAATTTGATGCTAGAAGCAGTATCTGGCCCTGATTAAGTTATACCAGCTGTGCTCCAATTAATATTGATGTCCCGGGGGGACAATATCAACTGCTATAGAGGCTAAAGATCGCATGAAGCGTGATAGACCTACTGATTCCAAAGATAAGATCCTCGAAAGAAAAAAGAGCATAATATAAAATGGCAAGGTTGAGGAAGTATTCTCTAGATGAGATATAGACATGAGAAAGAAAGAAATCTAGGTACCTATTAATGATAAGAGATTTCAACTAACTGAGTCATGTCTGGAATGAATGGAATCAAAAGCAAATCAACGTTGATAATATTTTTGCATGTAATGAAGCAATTGATGATGAGAAATGAGGATCAAAAACCGCGGTACAAAAGATGTATTGAAAAACACGTAAACCGATGATTGGCCAATCATGATAGAGGCCGTAAAGGCAAAGATTAAATATCTTGTAAAGAAGAATTTGGACCAGTAGTCCGTCTACTTGAAAGTGTAAAAATTATGAGACATAAGTGGATCTTTATACGAAAGATGAATGAAAGTGATACATGAAAAGATATACTTTCTTGTGGTGGATGCAACTATTTTACAGATCCTTTATCAGTCTAAGAATGAGAAAAGTACTTGATTTAGTCCTAAAAGGAAATCAAATTGCCAGAAGCAATTAGAAGGATTAATGATTTCAAAATGAGGTTCTCAAGAACATTGGCTATTAGATTATTGAGTTAAAGCAAATATGCTTCATGCGGATATTATATGATAATCAATATACTCATGTGTATGTATCAAAAGATTATGGATCAATGGAATCTTTGGTTTGGATATAATAAAAACTCCTGAAGAGTTACCGGAAGTCGAAATTTGGAAGAATAAACTTTGGAATGACAAGTTTGTCTTGAGGTTCTCCAAATTGTAAACTAAAGAAAGAGATATTGTCTCAAAGATCCTCATATTATTTTATATACAAAATGCTCATACATAGTTGGTCTTGGAGTACCACACTTAAAATGATATTTGAGAAAGTTGTTGATCTCTTTCATGATTGAAAGATGTGCTTTGGTATGGCAAGAAAGAAATCCAACATGATAGATGTTACAAGAAGAGCATGAATAAGTCGTATGTACAAATATGTACAATATGAATATGTAGAAGATTGTATGTAAAAAAAAATTTGGCATAAAGTCCAAATGGAAGAAGAAAATATCTTCTATGAGAAAGGATGTTATGGACTAGAAATCCACTAACCTGAGAAAGTTTGATAAGCATATGAGTGTATTAACTAAGGTTGTGCTTATATCAATTCCCTAAAAGATGATATATGATTAGAATGCATCTCTTGAAGAAGATGCTTACAGAGGGAGAAATATGATGATCTGCGTGGTTGTACTCTTTTTCTTTCTCATGTTTTTATCTCACTGGGTTTTTCCATGAAAAGGTTTTAGCGAGGCAACAAGAACACGCAAATGATAGTAACCTAAAAGGAATGTAAATATGAAAGTGTATCACGACTAAAGAGATTATTAAGATCATCAAAAGCAAAGAGAAATATTAAGATGGATCATCCAGGACACTCGATAATTGCAATGTATGTTGATGATTTAAACATCATTGGAACTCATGTAGAGATTTCTCAGATAGTGGAATATCTGAATAAATAATTTGAGATGAAAGATCTCGGGAAAATAAAATTTTGCTTGAGATTGCAAATTGAGCATCTAAAGGATGGAACCCTAGTGCATTTAACGACATATACAGAAAAGGTGCTTAAAAGAATTAATATGGATGATGCACATCCCTTAAGTAGCCCTATGGTCGTAATATCAATTGATGTGTTAAAAGACCCCTCTCTTCCTCGAGAAGACGATGAAAAAGTACTTGGTCCTGAAGTACCATATTTAAATATAATAAAGGCATTGATGTACCTTGCTAATCATACAAAACCTGACATATCTTTTGCAGTAAATTTATTTACAAGGTTTAGCTCATGTTCAACTCGAAGACATTGAAATGAGATTAAACATATATTTTGTTAACTCAAAGGAACAAATTATATGGATTTATTATTTTTTAATCCATCCAAAGAAGATTTGATTGGTTTTGCAGATGCTGGATATTTATCTGATCCACATAATGCCAGATCACAGAGAGGATATGTATTCAGATATGGTGGTACAACTATTGCTTGGTGTTCTATGAAGCAAACCATTATAGCTACTTCTTCTAACCATGCTGAGATTTTAGCTATTTATGAAGCCGGTCGAGAGTGTGTATGGTTAAGGTCTGTCATTCAACATATTCGAGAAGATTGTGGTTTATCAAAAGGAAAAGAAGCTCCAACAATTATGTATGAAGACAATGCTGCTTGCATCGCTCAATTTAAGGAAGGATACATCAAAGAAGATAGAACAAAGCATATTCTACCGAAATTCTTTCTTTATACATGACTTGCAGAAGAATGAGGATATTCGTGTTCTACAGATCCGTTCAAGCGATAATTTGGTGGATTTATTTACCAAGGCGCTTCCAACTGCTACTTTCAAGAATTTGGTTCAGCTTATTGGATTACAACGTCTCAAGGACCTAGACGGAGGTACACATGAGGGGGAGTAAATGCGTGCTGCACTCTTTTTCCCTTAACTATGGTTTTTCCCACAGGATTTTTCTAGTAAGGTTTTTAATGAGGCAACATCTTACGCGCTTTACTACAATATCGTTATAATGGTCATCAGGGGGAGTATTATGAATATTAATATATGGATGCCCATTATAAGACCCATTACTAATATTGTATTTGTCCCACATCGGAAACTTGTGGTGATAGCTAAGTCTTTGTAACACTATATATACTCTTCATTATCTCCGGAATAAGACACACCAATTTCCTTTCTTTCTTGATAACTGATTCACAACACGCTATGTTTTTTTATGTCTTTTTTTACTTCTAACTCCTTATTCAATTTATAGTGTGTTAACGGCGTTATCTGAGTTTTTTTACTATCACATTCATCCAAACACAACATTAGATCATAAAATGTATTTTTTGTAACTACATTTTTAATTAACAACTGAAAATATAAAAAATTAATCTACATTTTGATTAAAATATTTAACCCAAAAGAACATAAAATGTAAAGCATCTATGGATATTAATAATAGTTGGATTCATGTTAAACAGTTACCTTTTTTGTATTGAGGTTTAAGAAATCGATTTACGTGGATGATTGATGGTAATGTTTAGTCAAATTAGAAATATCATCTGAAAAGACTTGTCAAAAGAAAGTTTAGTGCCAAAAAAAAAAAAAACCTATGGGATCGCTATGTGTTTTCCAGACTAAAAAGCACATCCATCTCCTTTGTCCTCATTGACGACTACTACTCTTTCTACCAGCTCCTAATTATTATTCATTTAATGCAGACACTATTTATTTATATCACTTACTTATATTTTAGTTTTTGTATTAAGTTGATTTGACTAGGATCCAATTTGAAATACTATGATTTCCCATATATAATAATTTTCTCTGAAAATCCACCACATACACAAAAATATAATTACGTGAATGAATTACCGGTTCGAGGATAAGAAAATATCGTTTATAGCAAGAAGAATGAATAATTCAGGAATACTTACGAGCCACTGTGATGCATACACCAAACGATTTAAGTCATGAACTTTGAAAGCATCTTTCTCCTTGGTGGAACTATGTATGTAAGATTTTATATTAAAAAGTGTATGTAAATGCATTTATCATTCGATAAGATGCTTCGTATATATAGTACAAGATGATATGATGACATGAGCAATAAAGTCGCCAATCCAATTATAGATGCTCTAATTATATACATACATAATGTAGTGAGAGTCTGAGAGAGAGAATCCTTTTCACTTGAAGGGTCGCAGCATTTCCATTTTGGTAAATCCAATAAATGAGAAAGTGTAATAATTAGCAATTTGGGGTTACCTTTTCGATTTTGCAAGCAAAGCTATTTCTTTCTTTTTGTACATCCCAAGATTATCAGATTCCTTCATCTTATATGATTGTTTTATTTTATTTGTAAACAAAATTATTTCTTTTAGCTAGATCTCGTAAATTGGCATCCTCGGCATCAGAATCTCAGCGAGAATTCCTATTTTACGCATCTAATATTGGAACCTATAAGCATAATTCCTGCAAACGCCATATAATCAATTAACACAGTGGGCCACCTTCACGATCCATCCACCGCACAAATATACTCACATAAGTATATATTATCCTGTCGACGAAGGCGTGTGAATGCAGAAAATATTATGTATACGACTGATGTTGAACTGTTTTAGTTTATATTTTTTATTTGTGTTTTTATTTAATTAGTATCTATTGTTGTGGGGAAATATACTAATACAGCAATTGCTTTATTATATTTAGTGCACGTCGATAAATAAATGAAAGATTCCTTGGCTGCAAAGATAGAAAAGGATTCAAGAGTGTGCTAAATTCTAATAAACCGAACTGAAACAAATTTGGTCTTAGAATTTAGTGTGTAAAATTGAAACACAAGATGAGAAAATGTTAAATGTATATATATGTTTCAAACTAAACTTCAAACACAAGAATTTAATGATTGTACTTTGTATAGTTTTTTACTCAACTATTGTTTCAAGCTACGTGAGATATATAAACAAAGTAAATTTTTAATTAATCATAAAACCGGCTTGAGGATTCTCATGGACCCTTGAATGGTTTGGTCGGTCCATCTTCAACTCTATCCATAGATTTGTGTTATGTGTATAGATATATATATATATATATATATATATGCGTGTACACACATGCTATAGCTAATGTGGAATTTATTTATAATAATGCAAGCAATATACCTTCAGGTAAAGAAAAATAATATTTATTATTACCCATTGAAAAGGACTCATTTGATCGAGAGAGAAAACGAATCTATCATATGAACCAAAAGCATCTTTCAATCTTTTCAAATGCTTGCTTCCTTCAAATCCTCTAGCTCCTCCTCCGAAGATGCCACCACCACCACCGAGAATCCTCCTCCTCCGTTATGCCTCGCCTCCTCCTCCGCCTCCTCCTCCGCCTCACATCACCTCCGTCGTCTCCTTTTCACCGCCGCGGATTTCGTCTCTCAGTCAAACTTCTCCGCCGCTCAGAACTTGCTCTCGATCCTCTCCGCAAACTCTTCTCCTTACGGCGATTCCACCGAGCGGCTCGTCCACCTCTTCTCAAAAGCCTTGTCCATACGGATCAACCGTCAACAACAAGATCCAACGGCTGAAAACGTTGCCACGTGGACAACGAACGAAATGACTAGCTCCACGGTGTTTACAAGTAGTGTATGCAAAGAACAGTTCTTGTTTCGAACCAAGAACAACAACAACTCCGAATTCGAGTCTTGTTACTATCTTTGGCTGAACCAACTAACGCCTTTTATTCGGTTCGGTCATTTGACGGCGAACCAAGCGATCCTCGACGCGACGGAGACAAACGGTGACGGAGCTTTACATATACTTGATTTAGATATCTCACAAGGGCTTCAATGGCCTCCACTGATGCAAGCCCTAGCTGAGAGATCATCAAACCCTAACAGTCCACCTCCATCTCTCCGCATAACCGGTTGTGGTCGAGACGTTACCGGGTTAAACCGAACCGGAGACCGTTTAACTCGGTTTGCTAACTCTCTAGGTCTTCAGTTTCAGTTTCACACGCTTGTGATCGTTGAAGAAGATCTCGCCGGACTTTTGCTACAGATCCGATTGTTAGCTCTCTCCGCCGTACAAGGAGAGACCATCGCAGTAAACTGCGTTCACTTCCTCCACAGATTCTCTAACGACGACGGAGATATGATCGGTCACTTTTTGTCGGCGATCAAGAGCTTAAACCCTAGAATCGTGACAATGGCAGAGAGAGAAGCCAACCACGGAGATCATTCGTTCTTGAACAGATTCGCAGAAGCTGTGGATCATTACGTGGCGATCTTTGATTCGCTGGAAGCCACTTTGCCGCCGAATAGCCGAGAGAGGCTAACCCTAGAGCAACGGTGGTTCGGAAAAGAGATTTTGGATGTTGTGGCGGCGAAAGCGGAGGAGAGAAAGCAAAGACATCGGAGGTTTGAGATCTGGGAAGAGATTATGAAGAGATTTGGCTTCGTTAACGTTCCCATAGGAAGCTTTGCTTTCTCTCAAGCTAAGCTTCTTCTTAGACTCCATTATCCTTCAGAAGGTTATAATCTTCAGTTTCTTAACAATTCTTTGTTTCTTGGATGGCAAAATCGTCCTCTCTTCTTTGTTTCATCGTGGAAATGATCGGAAGAAGAAAACCTAAGAGTTAGGTTTAATAGAGAAAAAGAATATCGATCATTTTTGCTGTTAGGGCAAGAAAGATCATTTTGTAGATGACGACGGAGGACGGTGGCTCCGGCGAAGGAATCTTGGGACGTGTGACTTTTACTTTCTTGGGAAGCTCAGACAAAGAGACAACCTAATCTTTTGTGTTTAACCTACTAAGATTTTTTTTTCTTCAAACTCAAATCTTAGGTGTATCGTTTTGACATATATATTCCCATTTTATCTATTTTCTTTTAATTTAATTTGATTAATTAGTCGATCCACTAGTATATTGGATGCATTTTTAAGATTTATTATATGTATCCACTGATGATTCAAATGTATTTTAAATTTCTATATTATATTTATATATGATTATGGTAAATTTTAATAGTAGGTGAGAGTTTTAAATAACTAATTGGTTGAAATCGTCTGATTTAAATTAGTCACGTCATAGTTATAAATTTAAAGAGACCTTTAAATTCGTGGAAATGGCCTTATTTGGACTCAACCAGTTTAATAATATAATCAGCACGAGAGAGTAGTTAATCTGTCTCTTCGATCTTTTAAGAGATTCCACTTTCTCATGCTTTTTAATTTGTTTTCTATTTATTTTAGTATTATGTTTATATGTAGTCGTGATGATAATATATATATGAGAATGAGAGTACCGCCCTCTTGTATCACAATTCTATACTTTAGTTTTTTGTTTAGTTTTTTTTTCTAAGCCTACAAGCCCTTCATTAGTCAATCCGAACTATCAAATGATACAAGAAAAAAAAACATCATTAATCCATCATGCGTTCCAAAACTAACTCTAAACCGAATTTGAAGCAGCTGATCAGCTCCGAGTTGACTTTATGGGTTTAACACCAAGATCTTCATAAAACAACTCCTCAATCAAGAGTCAAATATGTCCATTCAAAGAATATCTAATTTCAGGGTCCAACAATTACACTCTGAAAAAATACTGAGCCGTATCGAAGTGTAGATAACTCTAAGACGTTAATTATTCGTTCATGGCTAAACTTTATAAATGACAATTTAGCAATATAGGAGTTTTTATTTAGTTTGTGTTAAGGGAGGAGCACTCAATTTGAAATCATTTAGAAGATCTCTTTCTAGTCCCCAAACTTTTGTGTGTGGGATTTTATATACTAGTGCGCTAACAGAGGTTTCACAATACATATCGTTTTAATTTTCATTTTCACATATTTACAAAACTATTAAGAACATTTTTATGTTTCCTTTTCGGAATTAGCAGCTTCTTAATAAGTTGAAAACCCATATTACATCTTATATATATATATATATATATATTTATTTCGTTTCAAAATATTCGATGTTTTATAGATAAAAATTATCTCAGATTATATGATGTTTTTAAATTTCATTGCAATTTATTTTCTATGTTTTATGATCATTTATATCATACAGTTTGTTTTATCAGTGGTTAAATTGTATCTAGGTGGATAATAAAAGATGCTTTTTATATAGGGAAAACTAATAATAAGCTTTTTTTTAATCTGTATGCAAAAATATTAAACATCAGTTATTTTCAAATGGAAGAAGCTAGTCTTTTCTGATACTTAACAAACAAATTATAGTATATATAATATTTAGCTGTATATTCCTGTGAAAGACTGAAGCCAATTCTCTTTTTACGTCGACGAAAGCCACCTATCCAACAAATTGAAGAAGTCAAGGTTAAAAAAAATTGAAGTAATAAAACTAATTAATATCTACCATGAGTACCATAATTCTTACTTAGACTACTAAGAAACCACCATTTGGATGCCAAAAGAGAAACCCTTTGTTTAATTAATTATTAGGGTTAATGTCGACAGAAGAGATCTTAGAGGAATAATCAAACAACCACTGGGTTCCTCTTGTTTCCCGAAAATTCTTTTTTCTTTGTCGAGTTTTAAAATGATGCGTTTTCGTTATTTCCGAGAAAGGTACTTATCGATTATTTATACTCCATTCAAAGTAATTAATATTATATCCAGAGATAGTAAAATAATGGGGTGAAAAAAGGGATTTGTCTTTGGGGAAGAAACAGGTAATGAAAACCCTAAAAGGTGCCGATTTGTCGGGTGAAACAAAAGCATCAAAGTTGTCAAAAATAAAACAAATGGGTGTGTTTTTTTATAGTTATGTTATACGGTAGATTTAAATTGAAATGAAAGGCTGTTTTGATTTCATAGTTAATCATGCTATAATTTTAATTAATGAAACACAAACACACAAGTCGTGGTTCATAGGTATCTCTCTCGTCTCGCGTGTCTCGTTGCCTCCCTTCTCTTCCCTTTTTTTCATACCCTTTTGTTCACTCTTTGCCCTAACACATTTACTATCTTATTTAAAAATAAGACTAAAACATTGCACACATATCTATACACCTACACGCACACGCGTCTAGTTGGGTCTGAATTCTAAATGTAATGATCAAATTTAGATCGGATCTTTCTGATCAAACCATATACAGGAACACGAGTCCATGCACTATGATACATTTATATGCATACATAAACATATATTAACAATTGCGAACTTGATTGATTATTTTATTTTTACCGGCATTTCCTGTATATAAGTGATTTAATATATAAATGTAGCAAATACATTGATTAGTATTCCAAGGTAATATATCTACGTTACAAATTACTATTTCATTGAGAAAAATACACTGACTATTTCATCATAAAGCCAACTATATGCTAACATAGGAGAAAACATTAGTGATCATAGCCCTATAATATGTTATAAGTATACACATAATATGATCGGAAATGGATAATATATGCATAGCCCTATACTTTTTTTAACGAAAACATTTGTAGCCCTACACTTCTTTTTTCTCAGAGATCAAACATCAAATAATTACTTATGACAAGACGGTGAAATTAATATGTAACAAAGACGGGAAGAAGATGACGTACGTCGTCATGAGCTGAAAGGCGATTTTTGCGTGTGGATAGAAACCTAAACCTCACCCACCAAATTAAGTTATATATATATATATATATATATATATATATGAATATGAAAAAAAAAATTGTAGTGATGAAAAGGAAAAAGAAAGAAGAGAAAAAGGATTTAGGGTTTGAGTTGAAATCTATATATTTCATATGCTTACTGACAGAAGCAATCCCTCATGCTCTTGTACACACACCCACTCTCTTTTTACTTCCATCCATCAATCTCAATCTATTTTTGTCTTGACTTTTTTACTTTTTCTTTTTTCATATACATTTTCCAAAGTTTTATAATCTATTGGCTGGTCAAATAATTTTCCTTACCAAGTATTTCAGCTGGTTAGTTAGTTCTTCATATTACTTATGTTGAAATAAATATCTGATGTAAACTATGACTAAATTACATATATAAAGATTTTTGATGTATTTTTGGATTCTATGTAAATCTATATATATTAATAGAAAATATGACTAACTAGAAATATATACAGATGAGAATATTGTAATGAACTAAAAAAGAATCCAAAAAACGAATTGTAAAGGGGAAGACAACACTCTGGTTTTCGGGTGTTCGGTTTGTGAGACCGACACGTGATGTTGATTCAGGTTACATTTGTCGTTAATGTGTAGTCTGTAGATATGTGAATGCCTCTTCAATTAATTAATTCAGAAATATGGGTATCTAGCTTGTTTTTCTTAATTAGCCTATAACTACTTAATCAATCATATAAGTCAAATCTTTAGTAGTTGGCTTGGCTCCAGATTTTAAGTATATGTTGCCATCTGCTAAGGCTAACATATAGGCACTTGAATCCTTTTGCCTTTCCAATTGTTTTTTTTTAGTTTTATGCAATCGTTTTGTCACTTTTTTTGTGCATTTTTGGAATTAATTTCAACTATAACCCACGACACTTAAATTTAGTTACAATATAATTTAAAGAAAATAAAAAGTTTCAAATAAATTACACATTCTTGTACATTGAATCATTTTTCTGAACGATTTTTAGAATTTATACAATACATAAACTAGTTAGACGACGAGCTTCCTCAATGGCGTTGAGGCGTGTGGAATTCCCAACCATCATAGCATCCAAGCTCACACCCATCAAAACACAACGTGAGCCAGGGTCTCTGCTCGCGGAACCTAGCTGTCTCCTTACGACCAGCGAACCGTGTCTGTCCCAATCCGAACCAATGGAGACCTGCAAATGACGGCTTGCTCAGCCATCTCAGTGCTCCAGTCGTCAACCTCACACAGTTATGGACGTTGAGCTTCCTCAACTGTTTGCTTCCTCCCTCTGCTTGTCTTTCCCTTGTAGCAAGCCACTCTATCGAAGAATCTGTCACGTGAAAGCAACTCCTAAGACTTAGCTCTGTTAAAGCCTTGCAATAGCGCGTGATTGTGTGTACAGCTCTGTCTGAGATTCCTGGCATGTGACCGAGATCAAGTGTTGACAATGTTCTGCTGATTGTTCCTTCACTGTTCAACAGATAGGAAATTCCTCTGTCACTGACTCTCTTACAGCCGCGGAGGGAGAGTTGCGTGATGGGAACATCCGACTTACCAAGTGCAAGCATGCCACTGTCTGTTATATCAGCTCCTGCGAGATTCAGAGAAGTTAACTTTCTGAGGGCTGAAACAGTATTTAGGCAAGAATCTGATATACTTTTGCAGCTTCCTAAGTCGAGCAGCTCAAGATTGCTACACAACCCCAGTTTCTTCACGGCTTCGCTGGTTATGAGAGGGCACGTGGAGAGCCTGACCTCTTGGAGAGAACAAGAAGATCCTGTGACATCATGGAATGCCAAATCAGACAACAGGAAGGCGCCTCGAACTTCAAACCTTTTCAGGTTCCGGCACGAGTGAAGGAGCGATGCGAAACCAGCATCGCTGACTTTTGGGAACCCGCCAAGTCTCACTGACTCTAAACCTTTGCAAGCCTCGGAAAGGAGAAATATACCCATGTCATTAATTCTCTTGAATGATATCTTGCGGTTGTAACAACTTCGAACTAGAGAGAGGCTTGTGAGTTGCTGACAATAACCCAGAGACTGAAGCCCAGTGTAAGTCAAGTCACTGTCAGGAAATGGCTCTTTTTCAGGACGGTCTTCAAGGTCCAGTTTGACAAGTTGAGGAAGAGAACCTGTGATAGCTATGATTAGCCTGTCAGAAATCAAGTCCAGTACAAGAGACAGACTTTGCAAAGTCAAAGAAGGTGAAGGAGAAAGCAAGGCACTATAATCAGCCTTAGATAAACAACTTCCGGAGACTTTGAATCTGTTCATGAGAAGAATTGCCTCGGACTCGAGCAATGGCTGTAACCTTAGAACTTTGAGGGTTTCAGGCAAGGAGAATCTAACAGACTGGAAAGGGGTGGCATCTACTAGGATACCTCGGATATTTAGTTGCAGAGACTGCAAGCATCACAAGAATATAAAAACCCAATTCAATTTCACACTTTCTCGCTTCTTCGGACCAATCCCTCAGCAAGCTTTAAGAAATTACCTCCAGATACGGGCACCCATTAAGCATTTGTGTCAGGTTTGATTGAAAAACAACGGGTGAATCCAGGTCTGTCATTTCCAGCGTAAGAACCCTGTAATTATAAAACCAAATTAGCTGACTTTCATACCTTCAATGCTCTATAGAAAGAAACTCAATTCTGTATGATTGACAAAAAGCCATAGCTAATCTCAAACACGTAAACGCTTGCCTTCAAGGAAAGACAAATTATCAGCAGGTGGGTTTCGATTCTTTTAGTGAAAGTCTAATATGAGAACCAGAAACTAAAAAGACGTCCTATCATCTACCGGATCATAGCTCTCTCTATATATGGAATTGATCGATAGTCCCTAAGTCAAAGAAAAAGGGATCAAATTTTCCATTTTTTTTCAGTCTATCAAACTACTAAATCGCAGAAATAAATATAGCCCACAAGCACGAGAATTCATTGAGTCACCTATCGCACTATCATGGGGAAAACGGAAATTGTACCGGAGATTTGGGCAGAGGCTCCCGATGGAATTGAGGACGGTGGAGTTAAGAAGTGAACACCTGAGCAAGTGAAGTTCCCGGAGGTGTGGCCCGAGAACCCCACGCACAGCAGCAACGCTGAGGCGGAGACAGTTCAGAGTTAGGCTCCTGAGTCCGATGCAACCACGCAGCATGTAATTCAGAGTTTCCTCGTCGGGAGAGAAAACCTAACAACACAAGGGAACGAAAGTCGATAAATTTCATCAATTTCCAAGAGAGAAAAAACGCGGAATTATAGAGGATCGGAGACTTACAGAGAGATCGAGAGAGGTAAGAGAAGGGAGAACGCCGGAGACAACGGCGGAGCGGAGCGTGGTGGAAACACAGGCGACGGAACAGAGATTCTCGAGATCTAAACGCTTCAGTATTTCCTCTGCTAACACAGATCTCGTCACTTCCTCCATGGTGAATTATCTCTCTATCTCTTCTCCCACTTCAATTCAATTCAATTCCAGAATCTCAAATTTGTTCATGTTCTTCCCCTTTTGAGCCGTTGACACGAATAAAAAGACGAGCGGTGTTTGGACGCAAGGCTAGTCGTATCCTTACCGACTTGTCCGAGTCATTACCGATCGGTTTAAAGAAAACTCCTTGATCCGATTTTCGATTTTTTAATTAGGCATTTCTAACTCAAATTATTAGAAATTAAACCGTTCAGCACAAAGAGTAACATTCATTAAAAATCATAAAATAAGCTCTGATGAGTACAAGTTTTTGTATATCTTGTATATTATTGTATAAGGGATGATATCAATGCGGATACGGATTTAAAAAAAAATAAAAAAATCAACTCTTTTTAGTTGTTGTTGAAAACGGTTTGCACCTAAAATTGGAGACCAAACTCAAGAGATAGCCGATGCATGATCCCCTTGTAGACCTCTGAGCCGTCCGGTATCACATTCGGTTCATCATTTCGGTACGTAGAACCAGTATTCTGGTTAACCGGTAAAGTGGGCAGCCTAGAGAGTCCGGACATATAGAACTGTGTCATATCAATTTGTGGGGCCGAAGAAGAAGAGAGCGGCCTCATCATGGCTTGAGACGAAGAAGGCGGCCTGCCTAACCGAGCGGTTCGATTGGTAGAATCTTGAGTCACTGATGATGAACCGGACCGACTCCTTGGACCAGAATGGCTAATGCGTGCAGCTGGTGCAGCGTGCTCGTGTTTCCCATCGTATGTGGTCACCACTAACTTCGCATTGTCTGCTCCTCTCTCCACATGCTTCTTCACTTGGCACTCGTTGTACGTGCATTTGTAGTAACTCCTGCCATTACCATTAATTTATACCAAAACACAAAAAATATCTTTTTTTTTTAAGATTTAGCATCGAATTGGTTATTAAAAAAAAAAAGAGCTAGGAACATGGTGAAATGACAACCTCGGATTTGGATTCCCTTTGACAACTTTCTGACCGTATTTCCTCCAGCGAAAACCATCGTCAGGAAGGTCTTCTTCGCATTCCATCTGAATTATGACCCTTTCGTTCTTGCTTGTTCTTGTCGCTCCAATCATGTTTGATACCTCAAATTTCCTGCAAGAGAATTCGGTCATTAACTTTGGTTTAATTAAAATTGAGATGTTCTTTAATTAGTATTATCGATTATGATATGTTAAACTAATTCTGTTTGGACCTTCTCTTTGGAGATGAAGGTTCGACTTCTAGTTCAGCAACAATGTCGTCGTCTTCTTCTTCGTCTACATCTTCATCTTCGTTGTATTCTTCGTCCTCGCCCTCGTTCTCATCCTCGTCCTCGTCCTCGCTTTCGCTATTGATGTTGATGATCAGTGGTGGATCTAAAAAAAAATAGTTGGGAGCATAAGTTTATAAGTATGATAAACAAAATTAGTTGGAGACAATTTTTTTTCTATCACTAAATTAAAAGTAATTTAAATAAATTTATTTAAATATTTAAATAAATAAAAAAAAGAGTAAGGGCACGTGATCCCATTACTCTTTCACTACCTCCGCCCCTGTTGATGATATCGGTCTGGTCAACAATTTCAAATTCAAAAGATGCGTTTAAAGGAGCACCAATGGGATCAGCAAGAGATTCATGAGATGGGATATTAACGGACTCTTCCGTTGGAATACCATCAGAGCCTGTTTCACATGTAAAAAAAAAAAAAGAACCGATAAAAAGATTCGAAAAATACAAAATAGAAGCAAACTTGAGACACAAGCAACTCTATTACCTTCTTCAGGAGGCAGATCAACGTGCAGCGGCTGATGAGGAAGATCGTTGTTGAATATCATCGTCGTTTCGTCGTTGTCACCGCAACTTTCCACCGTCTCGCCGTTGGCCATCGGAGACGAAGGGATAATCTGAAAAATACATTACCAAACATAATACTAGTACTATGGAGACATCATTTGTAAAATTTGTAAATTTTTGCGTAAAATTTTATTCGGCGGTGAAATGAAATATAAAGGTAAAATGTTTTATTATGAAGACATCATTTGTAAATAGTAAACTCATATAGGTATTTGACCCCAAAAAAAAAAAAAACTCAAATAGGTATAATAAATGTCAAACGTGAACAAAAAGGAAATTACAGATTCTGTGTTTACCGATAGATAATGTTACTACTTATATTTTTTCCACCTAATCATTTTAAAATAACATACGTAATTAATTACATTCCCAAATATTTGTTTAATCATTTGTTTATTCAACCTTTTTAATTTATCATATGATTATAATTTTTTTTGGGCTAAATGTTAAATCATAATTAATATAAATTTAAACACGAATTATAAAATAAAACAATCGTAAAAACATACATAAAAGACATTGTTATTTACCTGTGAGGAATTAGAGAACATATCTGGAGATAGCAACAGAGCAGATGGGCTGAATCCTGGAGAGATTTCGACGACAGGAGAAGGAACAGTCGTCGAGTTCCTGAAAAATGCAGAAATTGGACTGATGTTCTCTGCGTCTAGTGGAGGAAGATTAAATCCTATTCTTGCAGCTACTCTCTCGCCGAGACCAGATCTTTGTTCAGACTGATGATGATGATAAGTTGATAAGTTGGTTTGAGGGAAGATCTCGCTGATTGGATTTATACCATTATCGGTTTGATTCAGCATCTCTAGAATCGTTCTTGGGCTAGGACTGGACGGTGGAGCCCAAAACGATATCGTTTCCATGAAATTTCCATCATGATCGATCATTTTTTTGTTTTTTTTTTTAGAGAACACTTGGATGTCAAGAAACACACACAACGAAAACAAAAGAGAGTTAGAAGACGAAATATATCAGTTTGGAATATTGTGTAAAAGTGATATAATTTGGGAGAATTCGAATGATTAGGTTATTTAATAAAAAGCATTATATATGTAAAGGAGAGACCTCTTTCTTGAGAGGAATTTAGCCGAACGAAGAAGAAGAAGAAGAAAAAAAGAAAAAAGAAGAAGAAAAAAGAGATGTGTGCACTTAGCTAGGAGGAAGATGGTGTTCTTATATAACAAAATTCGTCACCATTTACTTTGGTAACAATTTTAAATGGTCAAACATCGTCATCCAAGTGTCAACAATGCCTAAAGAAGTTTTTATTACTTCTTTTTTTTTTCGATTTTTGGTTTTTATGCGAGGGGTTTACTTCGGTTTGGGTTTATCAAAACAATACCGAAAGCATGATGTAAATAAAAGAAATTCGACTTTTTACTTTCTTGTAGAATAATAAACAAAAACTAATTTAATTTTTTTTTAAATTCATAATTTACGTAACCAAGATATATCAAAAAATTTAAAATATTAAACTCAAAAACAGCATTCTGATAAGTGATTATTAATATCACAAAGTTAAATTAAATAGACTATCACTATGATTTAATATTTATTAATAACTCAGTTAAAAAGTACATATATACATTTTAATTTATTTTAAATTATGCCGTTTTTGCCATCAAGTAATCATTATAAATATAACATATATAAACTAGATATAATATCACCGCGATTTTATATTTATTATCTAATATTTTTTTAAAAAATCAAGGTTATACGTACAGTTTATTTAATTTTAAATTTGTTGTATCATTTTCAAAAAAATAATATATTATAATGATTATATTTATTTAGAATCTAATCTTTTAAAATTTTTTTAAGTTATTCATATATTTTAACTAGTTTTATATCAAAATTATACGTTTATTTTAATTTATTTTAAATTATGCTGTTTTTACCATCAAGTAATTATTATTAGTATAACATATATAAATTAGACATAATATTACTGCGATTATATATTTATTATCTAACATATTTTTTAAAAAATCGAGATTATACGTATAATTTAGTTAATAAAATCGAAGTTTAATCAATTTTAGATCCGTTATATCGTTTTCATAAAATAATATATTACCATAATAATTATATATTAATTATATATATTAACTAGTTTTATATCTTATATGATATTTTAGCGTGTTTTAAATTGTCTTTAGTGTTTTTTTTCTTTTTAAAGACTATTGTCAATATCTTTTGACGTTCTTAAAACTATTGAAGTAATATATATTATGGTCGAATTTAAAATAATATATATTAGAATATCTGTGAACTTTTGAAAGTGGTTGCTGTATTTCTTATCAATTTTAAGGTTGGCGGTTCCACTGGTTTGATCTGGACCTTGTAAATTAACCAAAATTTTGGTTTATTTTTGGTTCAGTTTTAAAATACGGGTATGTGTTTTAGTGGTTAACACAAATGTGGAAATAACATAAATAGAACCAAAAAAATGTTGACCGAGGAATATGGCAAGTGCACAAATTCTAAAAGGAATATATAGTTATCTCAAAATAGCCATAACAGGTAAGTCGATGCATTGACCATTAACAATTAAAATATAATCCACAACCACGAACTACATAGTATTAGGATTTAGGAATAGATTTTATTTTCTTTTGGGATAGAAAAGGCTTAAACGCGTTTGAGAACAATTTATTAAACTTTGGTTCATGTGTTTCAGTGTTTGTCCGAGGTGGACTTACGAGAAACTCTTGCCAAGAGAGTTATTCACACCATGTTAATCAGAAAACTTTTGTATTAATTTGGCATTGCCAATACATTTTTCTGTGTGAGTATGTCACAGTTTCTAATGAATCAAACCTCATATTATGGATCTAGTGAGCGTTGGTGTTCACCCCGGCCACTCAGTAACTTTCGTTAAATTTCTTTTCCCTTTTCGTAGGTAATATTTTAAAGAACATTTTTACGTAGTATATAAAACAAATTAAATTAGTCGATGTGGTTTTCCAAGTTTGAATGTTACATATAAAAAATCTAGAATATCGTAAAATCATAATCTAGAGTTGTTAGATAACTTAACGTGTAAAGGGAACTAATCTCTAATTTACATCTTTACATCAACAAAACAACTTCTCAACCGGTACGTAGAATCTACTAATCCACTACCACCATCACCATGAGTGATATATTAATTTTTATACATTCAAGTGAGATATTAATTTTTATACATTCAAGTGAATATTAATTTTTATACATTCAAGTGATATATTAATTTTTATACATTCAAGTGAATATTAATTTTTATACATTCTAGTTTTAATAACTACCTCCAAATCCAAGACACAAGAGTTGGAGTCTGGAGCTGACCAGAAAGATGCATTTCGCATCAGTATATAAAACATATAAAACAAATTAGTCGATGTAGTTTTCCAAGTTTGAATGTTACATTTACATATAATTCGACCAAAAATATATATGAATGTTAAGAAATCTAGAATATCGTAAAACCAAACCGTTTGTGCCTGTCATCTCTTAGAAAAAGAGAGTTGTTAGATAATCTGATAGAGTAGCGGAAGCTATAACAACAAGGGATCGACGAAGTTCGATCACAAGCTGTAGAGAAACTGATTTAGAGGTCGACAACGAGGACTAAATCAGTAAAAGATGTGAATACTCTTCACAGTGCTCGAAAGCTCTTAAAAACTTCAATATCAATTCAACGTCCTTACAATAACGGAGGTGTCGAGTACTTATAACTAATAGAGAATCTAAAGAAATCTATGAAATCTAAGTAGTTAAGATATGAATAAATCCTAAACAATGATACGATAACTTTCGTAAAAAGAAACAAAATAACTCAAACCCAAGACGTCACTCAAATATAACCCAAGTTCGTAATATGCCCTTCATCATAATCTCATGAGTAAAGGGAACTAATCTCCAATTTACATCTTTACATCTACAAAACAACTTCTGAACCGGTAGAAACTGCTAATCCACTACTACTACCAATCTACCATCACCATGAGTGATATATTAATTTTTGTTACATTCAGGTGAAAAAAAGGGTGTAGATTACATCACTGGTTAGATTTTGTTAGTCAACACTTAGTTAATGGGTTCCTTTTCTAGTATTGCACTTGGCATAATCATATTTTCCGGTGAAATGTGACTTTGAGCATATGGTCCCCACTTTTCTAGTATTGCACTTGGCATAATCATATTTTCCGGTGAAATGTGACTTTGAGCATATGGTCCCCACATAATCCACATTACACTGGGATTTTAAATTCGACCCATAAATAGCCCGTTTTAGTATTTCATATTCCATGGATCTCGTTATTTCAATCCTGAATCAGAAACCAAACTGATTTCATAAAAACCCAAACTTTATATTATTTTTAATCTAACTTTTGTTGACTTTTCACGTTGTAAACTTGTAGTAATTTGTCTTGTTAAAAAAAAAAGTTCCAAATTATGTGTGTGTTTATTTCATGGTTTGTTAGATTACGTCATACTGTTGAACTTGAATATATTGTTTATTGTATTCTTTCAGGAACAAGGAAAGCATACAAGTATTTGCAGAAGTTAAATGAAGATGGTGGAAGGGAAACTTTTTGCAGCAGATAAAATGATAAATTTCTAACAATCGTTTAACAAATTAAAAATAAAATCTGACTCAAGATGTTTGGAAAGAACGCAAGAAAACATCACATTATTAAATGGAAAGTTATAAAAGTTCAAAATGAAGAACTTCTCTTACCGTGTATTACAAGTTAACCAAATACAAAAACCCTCAAAGCGAGCTTAACAACTACAATAAATCTTCAATGGCTACTTCCACTTCTGCTCAATCTGACCGTCTCGCTCAAGCTTCTTCTGTTATATACAGTGACACAAAAAATTTGAAACAAGTAACAGAGCATACTCAGTCTTCGATATTAAGGCTCCTTATCTCGAGAATCTTCCACCAAAGGAGTTTCCTTAAGCGAAAAGTCATCAAGACTTTCGTCTTCCTCTGTATCAGCCTTAAGCTCTTTGAACATGGCCATCACTTGAATCATTGTTGGCCGCTTAAAGGGTCGATCGTCCAAGCATTGAGACGCGATCTTCAAGTAATGAAACAGCTCAACATCGCCTGATTTCTCGGTTACAAGCTCCGGGTCGAGAATCTCAGCTCCTCTTTTCTCTCTATAGAGCTGTTTCGCCCACCCGACAAGGTTATTGTCTTCTCCAAACTCTCCTGGATCTATCGGTTTCTTACCAGAGAGAAGCTCAAGAAGCACAACTCCGTAGCTGTAAACATCCCCTTTGGCCGTACACCGGAAACTCTGGTAATATTCCGGCGGGACGTATCCTGGAGTACCTGCGAGCGTGCTCACGCTCAGATGCGTGTCTAGAGCGCTAACTAGCCTCGCCATCCCGAAATCCGACACACGTGCTTCCAAGTCTTGGTCTAGAAGAACATTGCTCGACTTCATGTCTCTGTGGATTATGTGAGGAATGCAGCTATGGTGCAGAAACGCTAGACCTCTTGCAGCTCCAATGGCAATCTTCTTCCTCGCGGCCCAATTCAGAAAGATTCCGCCTTTTTTGGATACCTCGTGAAGAACAGTTTCCAAGCTTCCCCATTTCATGTATTCATAGACAAGAAGCCTCTCTTCCCCGATCTTGCAGTATCCCAAAAGCGGAACGAGGTTTCTGTGTTTGATTTTTCCGATTGTTTCCATCTCAGCCATGAACTCTCTGTCGCCTTGCCCCGTGACTCGGATCAACTTCTTGATCGCTACAACAGATCCGTCTCTGAGTTGAGCCTTGTAGACTTCTCCAAACCCACCAGATCCGATCATAGTCTCTGCGCTAAACCCGTTTGTGGCTTCAAGAAGATGCGCGAAAGTAAGCTTTCTCAGTGGTTTCTCGAACG